GTTGGAATTAGAATCTCCGAAAGATCTTGACCCAAGCACTACACAGCATGTGCGAGGATGCCTTCTTTTATTGGAGAGACTGTGGAAATCGTAAGGAGTTTCCGTTATTCAAACGGTTTATACTGCTTGTTACAAAAAAGTTACAAAACATTTAGCGAATATCTTTAATTCAGAAACTACAGAATAAAATTACCCATATATAAACAGATGCTAAAGAAATTAATCAAAAACGACAACATTATTTTACGTCACTGTACTGATTTTAATGGACTTATATCATTAATATTCCTTGCACCAACTTACAGCATTTGATCCAAACTCGACGCGGTTGCATGTACCTTTTCATAAAGTCCGAAACGCGACTTCTTTTGAAGTCCTGAAGCGTCTTTCAGACCGAGAGACCAGGGCGAAGCCATGACAGTTCATTAATTACTTTAAGTGGATTCACACAGTTAATAACATTAAAGGCGTCATTAATGAACAATCATTGATTTTTAACATCATTCACGAATACATGATTAATTCAATTCATTTAATGTTTTCATATTTCTAAAGGAAGGGTGAGCCAAAAACTAGAGATAAAGCGGTGTATTGAAAATAAAAGCATCAACGACGAAATTGGAATTCGTTAAACTTTTGACGGTGAGAGGTTTCGTAATGACATACAATCGGGAAAACAATTTACGCAAGAATATTTTAAAATCTATTCATTAGTTGAAGTTCGTTGAAATTGAAAAAGAAGGTGGAATTAAGTTCGATTCCACTTGAATTTCATTTTCAGCTTAGCGAATGCGGTTTGTAGTTTTCCGCTGAATGGACAATGTATGAACAGAGTGAAATAAATGCATATGACGTTTTTGCGGGTCAAAAGCGGGAATGGGTGAGCTTGTAAATTGCTGCAAAGAACATTTAAGGTGAACAGGAAATTGTTGTAGATGGTAATATTAAAGACTTGTTTTTCAAATGTTTTAACAACACAAAAGAAATATTTAGATATACCATACATAACGAGACAGAGATTTTCGAACAGTAGCAACAAACCCTCCTGGTTATGCTTGCGTTGTATGATGGTTAGAGACTATAAACCACGAACGACGGGGAAGAAGACATGAACAACAGAGCCAACGGGCTTCAGAGCCACATAGTGGCGGGATACTGGTTCGGGTTATCAAGACATTAAAAAACGTTGTATCTGAAGTTATTAGGATTTATTTAGAGGAGTTAATGATTCAATTTCAAACATTCTATAAGCCCTCGATGAAGAAATAAATTAACAGATTTATATTATTCGTCATTATTGCAGAACTAATGAAGAGAATAAGAAAAAGAATGTGTGATATCATTAATGTCAGCGTGTAATGATGAAAAGAAATTTTGGACATCATTATTTACAAAACCGAAAACAGAATATAGTCGCTTTATGTACGTAATTACCGAATTAATGAAAAAAGGATTATGATATATAAGAGTTCATGGCGGAAGAAGTGAATTAGAGGTGAATTGATGTTAATGCTGAGAAATTAGCCGAAAAAGCAGATAAAAACCACGTTCATATATATAATTCAGACGAAACAGATTATAACGGACTACCATGGATATTTAACACGAAAGTGATGAAGCGAAGACAAAAGAATGGTTAATGGAAGAAGATATAAATACATTCGTTGGCTAAAGGTCTATGACATATAAGCTGTAACTGTACAGTATGATGTAGTAAAGCACCAGAAGCATTTGGTTATACGGTGAAATTTATGCCTACTTACTTTCAATAGTTAACGGTGTATTAGTTGAACCAGATTTATGTTAAGAGTTAAGGCAAAAATAACGTTTGAAGATGCTATTAAAAGTAAAGCTGACAAAGATGAACTTGACGCAACGAAACAAAGTTTTTGAAATCTCATAAAACACAACATCTCCGATATAAATGAACTTCAAGCTACATTAGACAGTTAAAGCTGACAAAAATCATACACATAAATCCTTCACTACTGTTAGAGCAGACGACATAATATTTGAACTTTGACCTTGGTTCAAGTGCACCTTTAGAGAATCCAAGTACAAGCGTAAAAGATACACTAAACTCCTTAAATAGTAAATGTATGAACATTGAAGGTCAATGTCAGAAACTTGAAACACATGAACTACCCAGCAATGTTAGAAAGAAAGCAGATAAGAACCATACACATGATTTCTTCACAACTGTTGGTATAGAAAGTATTGAAGAACGGTTGAAGGCAACTGGTGGGGATGCATTATATTTGGAAACCTCCTAACTTTCCACAAGGGTTTAACATCGGAGGAAAACACTAAAGACGATGAAATACATTAGATGTAGAAAATGTTATGTCATGGAGATGAAAAATAATGTTAAATTCACTGCTCAAGATTTATATTGATAAGAAAGCTGAAAAGAACCATACACATAAATTGCTTACTACTGTGTTAGAGCCAGACGACAAATATATGAATACTTTGAACTTGGTTCAAAGTGCACCATTAGAAATCCAAGATACAAGCCGTAAAGATACCTTAACAGTTTAGATAAGAGTTGCAGAACATTGAAAGTCATGCCAAGAACTTTGAAAGACATGAACTACAACAATTGTTACTGATAAGAAAGTCAGACAAAACTTATGGGATGCAGAACAAACAAAGGAATTTTTCGAAACCAGATACAGATGAATTTAACAGACAGAAATTGATAATGGTGAACCAGCAACTCCATTTGAATTTGTTAGAGGTTCTTCAACCGGATACTTTGAATTTTTCTGGATAATTTCTATTGAAACTAACATTACCTATTTATAAAAGTGCGGAACAAAATGCAACATTTCATCCGGTAGATACAGTTCCAAATGGTTATTTTAATGACATAAGTTCTTTATCTTTTGTCAGTAGTTCTTATCTTTATACACAGCTCCTGTCTCAGTGAATTTCAACAATATTTTCATTCGTTAGCTTTACATTCAAACCCTTGTCGAGTATATTGTTCATTTCATACATATAAAGTTTTTATTCTATATGAAATGAGAAGCAAATCCATCTTAGCTGGTGCCGTTAATGTTCCAATTGAACCAACATCAAATGTTGACTCACGAACGACAAACAATATTGTCATAAAGAACTATAGTTCGAGTGTTTGAAAGAAAAAACCAGACTTTAAGTCGTGAATTTAAACACAGCTTCAAACGCTAACGCTACATCAAATGTTAAGTTAGAGTATCCACACTGGACCAAGTTCTTTCAAGAGAAGCCAACGACAAACCCTTACACAAATGTTCAAACAAATCCTTCAGATAACGTAGACCAATTACCTTTTCAGTTTACCAAACAATTTTTACTCAAAGACGATAAGAAGCTTTTGACAAATCTTATAAAGAACCAAAAAATTCTAACAAAGGAGACCTTGAAAATGTTATCTACGAATAACAGGGAACAATGTTTCATTGACTATCTCGACCCTGAAATCGAATGCTGTGGTCAAACTCCACTATTATGAAATAGGTAACATCGCATCATTGAAACACCGAGGAACTACAGGATTGAGTTTAAGTATAAATATTCGAACGAGTATACAAAACTATCTACGACTATAAGCTTTGTTTGAAATTTTATAATTAAGCAGTCAGACTTGTACTGCCTTTGCCTAGTCAAAATTAAGTAGCAATTTGTAATATCTATCCAAAACTTCTTCACAGTATCGAACTCATCTTCATAATGCAAACCTAATCTTATTGATCTTGTGCAGTTTTTCACTAACACAATATTTTTTGCTCGCTTCGTTGGACTGACATAAACTAACTCATTTGTTTCATCAAACAGCAACAACCAAAGTTCATGACCTAATACATAAACATGCATACTTTTTATATTTTAGCTCTGAGGTCTCTTGTAAGCTGTTGCATTTAATATTTTCTAAAAAGTCAACTCAACAGTCATTCGCACTGTGCCTTAGCTTCGACAGGCTCTCCTGAAATCAACAAGTCTGAATTGCATGTCTTTCAAATTATGAGGACTAATGCGAAACCCATTTACCTAAATGATTGCTATGACAGGAACGTTGGAATGAACATTTGAATTACTCATAACAGAAGGATTTATATTCTACTGAACCTTTACTATTAACTCCTGAAATCTGCCTGTGACATTAGCTATTTTAGACTCAATGTATAAACAATTACCATAACATACGTATGGAACAGATTTCATCTCAATCGTTTGTCACACTTTTCAAAGGAAATGTCATATGGTATGCACCAAGAAGTTTACTCTATGACTCATTCGTTGTATTCTTGAACTCTTTCTCGATGCACTGAACTTCAATGTTCCCTTCAGAAGAGAGTTCGACAATCTATGATTAGTCAATAGTTCTTCATTTAATCGAGAGTATCTATGATCCAGCAATTTATCTATTTCTAATACCACAAGCTTAGTTAGGAAATGTAATCATACAACTTTCTCTTTTGTCACTATTTCAATCTCTATGAAACCATCGTCGCTTATCATCTGTATATGACAAATAGTTTGCATGATAGTATTGAAGTCAACAAATCTGAAAGAAGCGGCTTCCATTCTGAAGACTGTAGAGTTGTGTTGTGAGCGTGTTATGTACGGCCAGTATTCGTTGTGGGATCTGTAACTTCTGCAATGAACAACTATTTATATTAACCTCTATACAAATATGACCTACTGCATATGCGTATGAAACAAATGAAGCAAGAAGAGCACATGAACTAGTAAACGAAAACTCAACTTTAACCATTGAAGGCAATGATTTAGTCATTGACGATGGAAAAACTAAAAAAGTCATTGATTTCGATACTTTTAACACTTATGACCCATTCATTACAACAAGCAAGGTTCCCATCATAAATGATGGAACGGTGCAATATATAAATTCTACAGTAGATGCCTCATTAGTGAAAGTATTAAATATTCTCATTGAATTGTTAAAGAGCTTTCGATTTGACGACAACATTAAATGCCTAAAGAATTTAGTCATGAATGAGAAACAAATTCTCGGCGTTGCTGGTAGCAGTAATGATGTACACCTTATGACATTAGAATATTATAACGAACATAAAGATGAACTGAAAGGAGAGAAGGGTGACACCGGACCTCAAGGACCACAAGGAATACAAGGAATACAAGGAATACAAGGACCTCAAGGCGAAAACGGTTTGGATGGTGAAGATGGAAAGGATGGAAAAACTGCTAAATCATGGATATGGAACCTTATAAATACTGGTTTAACAGCTGCTTCATATGGAGTTCTTCAATACCAAATCGGAAAGATATGGGCAGTACTTGGTGAAGAAGTTTTAGATGACGTTAAAAATGCTTTGAACTTCATTTCAAATGGTTCGGATACTATTAAAACTTTATCTGGTTGGATGCAAGAAACAAGGAGTCAAATAGATACTGTAAGACGTATAGCAAACAATGCACGTACGGGATTGGATACTTTACGAGAAGCACAAAATACACTAAAGGAAGCAAATGATATTCTTGGCTCAGTATCAGACATGCATGAAGATTGGCTTAAAGGTATTGACAAATCTTTAAAAAATCACAGTCAGTCTATTGCTGACTACAAGAAAAGTATAGATTTTTACATAGTGCTATGGACGTACATGATGGAAGCATAAGGAACTTACTTAATGCTAACAATAACTTACCAGGAACTATTAAAGCATTTATAAAGTCCTTTGTAAAACCTGGTGCTCTAACATTTAGGTCTTTGAGAGCAAGAGCATTGAAGTCAAGAGATGCAGAAACTCCAACAGAACCTACAGAAGGAACTGAAACAACAGAAACTCTAGAAGAACCACCAAAACCAACAGCTAATGAAATATTGTTCGAATATTTTCCAAGGTACTCTGTTCTCATTGCATACATTCAAGAAATACTTAAGAAAGCAGACTTGACTTTAGGAGATGATGAAAGTTCTGTATATCTTTCGTTCCAGTTTCAAATAGCAGAACTTTTGAGACAGATATGCTTAATGTATGACAACATCTCTGATTTCACAAGATATGATGACGACCATGACCCCGAACACGGTGAAGAAGAAGTTTTACAAACATCCATTAAGACAGGAAAGGTTTTAACTCAAAGTCTCATTATTGACACCAAAGATGGCGAAGTGGACGTTCTTCAAGAGCTGAAGAAAAATACTTCTTCGGGAGGTGGTGGTAGGCATGAACTTGAAATAAATGAGATAGAAGAGAAATTAGCCGAAAAAGCAGATAAAAACCATGTTCATTATATAAGTTCAGACGAACAGATTATAACGGACTACCATGGATATTTAATACAGGATGAACAAATAAGCACTGAAGATGTTAATGAAAGAAGATATAAATTCATTCGTGCTAAAGGTTATGACATACACTGTACTGTACAGTATGACACAGGTAAAGCACCAGAAGCATTTGGTTATAACAATGAAATTTATGCTTCATACTTCTTTGTTAACGGTGTATTAGTTGAACCAAGATTTACATTGAGAGTTAAGGCAAAAATAACTTTTGAAGATGCTATTAAAAGTAAAGCTGACAAAGATGAACTTGACGCAACGAACAAAGTTTTGAAATCTCATAAACACAATATCTCCGATATAAATGAACTTCAAGCTACATTAAATAGTAAAGCTGACAAGAACCATACACATGAATCCTTCACTACTGTTAGAGCAGACGACATAATATTGAACTATACCCTTGGTTCAAGTGCACCTTTAGAGAATCCAAGTACAAGCGTAAAAGATACACTAAACTCCTTAAATAGTAAATGTATGAACATTGAAGGTCATGTCAGAAACTTTGAAACATATAAACTACCAGCAATGTTAGATAAAAAAGCAGATAAAGAACATACACATAACTCCTTCTCAACTGTTGCTATAGAAAGTATTGAAGGAACGGTTGGCGGAACTGGTGGGGATGCATTATATTATAAACCTCCTAACTTTCCACAAGGTTTAACATCGAATGAAAACATAACAACGAAGAAAGAAATTAGCTGTAAAAATGTTTATGTCATGGATGATGAAAATAATGTTAAATTCACTGCTCAAGATTTATATGATAAGAAAGCAGACAAAACAGAGCTTCAAACATTAAAGACTGAAATACTTCAAACATTAGATCCTATAGGCTCTATTTATACGTCAATGAACTCAACAAATCCCGCAACAGTTCTGGGTTTTGGTACATGGCAGCAGATTGTAGACAAATTCTTATACTGTGCTAACTCTTCAAAGCAAACAGGAGGCTCAAAGAAAATTAAAGAAGCAAACTTACCTGCGCACACTCATACAGGAACGACAAACTTTTCTGGCGACCATAGCCACTCATTAAGAGACCACCCATTATACAACTCAGACTATGAAGCCGGTCATGATGTTTTATCTCCATCTTATAACAATTCAGCAAAAAAGACTTTTCGACCAACTGAACCAGGAGGAAATCATTCACACACTTTCACAACAAATCCAACAGGCTCGGGTGAAGATTATATGCCACCATTTATGACGGTTTATGCATGGTACCGCGTTCAATGAACGCGCTTGAGCCTAGACCTTTTGGGTCAAGGCTTACCGTCTTGAATAAAATCTTTAACTTTACATAAATGAGCTTGAAAGAAGTATTCGAACAACATCCATGGAGATCATTTAAGAAGTTCAATGAAGCAGCAAAAAGTTGGGGATTTACTAACAGAGCTGAAGTTAAAAAGTTCTTTGACAAAAATGTTGTACATCAAACAAAAATAAACCCTTACGACTACTTTTTACCAATTTACTCCAACACTCCTGACGCATACCAATTTGACACTCTCATTCAAAGCAGAAAAGGAGGACATAAACCATTCCTCATCTTCATTAATGTTAACACTCGCAAAGCATATGCATATCCAATGAGGAATAAAGGAACTCGTGAAGTGTTAAGAGTTTTACAAAAGTTTGTAGCAGAACATAGCCCAAGTACTTTAACATCAGACCAAGACAGTGCATACCTCAGCAATGAAATCACAGATTTTCTCATTAAGCATAACATAACTCACTACACTACTGAAGACCATAACCATAACATACTCGCATCATAAACCGCTTCATAAGGACTCTCAGAGATTTAAATCAAGAGCGAGACTTTACCGAAGAAACAATGAAACATTTTCTCGAAGTATATAATTCCTCAACACATTCTACAACAGGACATACACCAAATTCAATGACACAACAACAAGAAGAAAAGTATATACAAAAGAAACGAAGCCAAACACAAAATATCAGAAATTCAACACAATTTACCCTCATTCCTGGTACAAAAGTTCGTGTAGTTCTTGACGACAAACCGTTGACAAAGAAACGTTTAAGGTTAAGTCGAAATTATTATATCGTAGACTCTACGCAAGGTAATGGATATCTTATAAAAGCTGCCGACGACTCTATTGCGTTTTATCCTCGTCATAAATTAGTCGAAAGTAGTAATGGCAAACTTGCTGAAACCATTGACGAAGCAAAGCGAGGAGTGGTTATTGAAATACTTGGCTATAACACAAACGATGACACTTATAAAGTAAGATATGAAGGAGGCGTTGAAGATGTTATACCATCTAAGAACTTGAGAGAGTCGAAGCCAACACATCTGGGACCATTAGAGCGGGAGTACTGGAAAGACAAAAATATGCCAGAAAGAATAAGAAAATTCTTCTAAACTTTTTCATTAGATGTAAATCAGACATGAACGAGAAAAGTCATGATATCATTAATGGTACCATTTATTTTAACATAAAGACGCAAAGCGGCGGGGCATAGCCCATGAACAAAAATAATTTTTAGGGTAGATGGGTATATCTAACCTCATTTCTACCCTCATGAATTTTTAACATTTCTTTAACACAGAAAAAATAAAGTTAGTTTTATTTTTATTTATTTTTTTATTTTGTATGTAAGAACAGAAATGACAACATTAGAGAACACAACAACTGCTATCGTTCATGAAGCCATTAATGAAGAATATGAATACATACAGTATAACAAACAATTGAGACTCATTCGTTCAGTCAAAGACGATATGTACCAAATGCAAAGTATAATGAATGCTCTTCGTTCTACAAAGCAAGCATATCATTGGTTTGAAAACCAACAGACAAAAGAACTTTTAGAAGAATTTCCTCATATGATTGCTTCCCTCGGAAAACCGAGGGGAGAGATTCCGTATGAAAATCGCAAGAATTTGGCTCCCGGTTTGAAAGGTTATTATGTTCATAGACTTTTAGTAAACGCTGTAGCAATGTGGACTTCACCTCGTTATGCTTGTTATATTTTCATGATGTTAGATGAACTATATAAAGCAGAACGTGGAGAGTTGGAAAAGAAACTTCAAGCAAAAGATGAAGTCATTGAATCCAAAGACAAAAGCATACAGAAAAGAATACCGCGTTCAGTACCAAAAGGAAAGGAAAAGAGTTATAAGTATATGATATATACTGAAGAGTTGGAGAAAGAAGAAATAAAGATATGGTTATGTTACATTTAGTCAGAAGAAACAACAAGAGCTTTTATGACTTAGCTAAGATATATAAATCTGACAGAAACTGGTTCTATCGTGAAAACTTACCGATTTCAATGACACCGAATGAACAAATAAAGGAAATTGTCAAAAATACTCTTCCTCAAACACACTATGACATCAAAGGTTGTACAATACTTACATTCAAAGAAGACTTAACATTACTGAAGGAAAAAATAACAGAATATTTCGACAACTTCAAAGAGGAAGAATGAAAAAAAATCTCGTCGGGTGCCACGTTAGGACCATAGTGGAGAAAACCACGATAAAAAACAAAACCCTTCGTCATTATTTTGTTTTTACCATTTAATTGTTTCCATAAATGCTCCGTGTCGAACATAATTGACGAAGGGAGAATTGTCTGATCGTCATTATTTTGTTTTTACCATTTAATTGTTTCCATAAATGCTCCGTGTCGAACATAATTGACGAAGGGAGAATTGTCTGATCGTCAAGTTTATTAGTTAACGGGAGGGTTAGATATATTCCATCGCAACTGAAAAATGATGACAACATGACATTTAGACAACAGTCCAGGAAATAAATGTTTTCGTTTATGTTTTCATTAATTTTTTCAGTGTCACCACGTCACCATCAGTTATTCAAAAATAAATTTTCTTATAAAGCTTCAGGGTCTATTTCTTCAACCATTTCACTTCCTTCGTCAATGTTAATAGAAGCTTCTTCAACCTTTGGTAAGAATTTCTGTATAACATCTTTGTTCGTTATTGTCTTCAGAGATGAAGGATAATATTTCACAGATGTTTCACCCTTCTTATATTCTTTCTGTTCGGAAAGATTTAAAGCAATACTGAAGAAGTCAACGTTAGAGTTCTTTATGACAGTATAATGAGTATCTTTGACATTCACGAAGAAACTCTTTTGTTTCAAAACTACTGCTAACTCTTGTGAAGTATAACGTTTGCGGTCAATGACGATAGCTAATGGTCTGACATACTGACCAAACTTAGATTCTTTCACAAACTTCTTGTTAAAGATAACATTAACATTTGAAGCATTATTGAACTCATTCTTGATGGCAGTAGCGAGAGCATTGTATGAAAAGAACTTGCAATCTTGCATGTGTTTCATTAAAATAAAAATATTAAATTATTTTGAAAAATAACTTAAAAAAAAATCTAATCTAATTTTTTCAAAAATATTTTTTTATTTCCTACTAAAGATGTATCGGAAGTTGTCTAAGTTAGAACACTCGGAAATAAAACAACTTCTTACAGAAGCTAATATAGATGTTGCAAAGCATTACGCAACAAACAAAAAAGCATTCGCTGACATCCTCAATGACTATAATGGTGCAATAAGTTATGATAGAATTCATGAGTTCATAAAGCCGCAACGCGGCGAGGACGAAGTCCATGCAAGAGCATTTCCTTTAAATGACGTTGCTATTGACTTATATCATAGACGTTCAGTACCTCATGAAGTAAGAAGAGAAATGTTTGACATAACAAATGCAAACGTTGGTGAAACAAGAAGAAGAACGACACACTGAAACAACAGAGAAGAGAGATGTTTAAGAGCGCTATAGAACAAGTTCGCAAAGCTAACGATGTCCTTCGTTCCATTGACGACAAACCAAAAGAAGGTGAGAGATGGTTAAAGAAAGATGAAGAGAATAGGAAGAGGAATGTTAAGACAGGCAATAGACTCATTGACTTTAACATCGAAGCTTTAGATGAACCAAACAGAGACTACTTACACAAACATTTCGGTAAGGTTTTCATGAGACTCTTAGAGAAGATTAAAATAAACTCCCAACAAAGATGGATGGTATGTTATAAACTTGGTGGAAAGTATGAATGTTCTACGTTAAACCTCAATAATATTGGAACATTACTACATCAGCTCTTGAAGGAGAACTTTATATCAGAGATAGAAGCAAATGCTGCAGGTATTGTTGAAATGCACTATGACTTCTTCTTGACAAACATAAAGAATCTTACTGAAATAAAGATGTATGATTTAACAGAATATGAAGGCTTAACGATGTCAGATGTAAAGAAAGGCAAACCAAAAAAGAGACCATATAGAGATGAAAGCACACTGACAAATGACCAGAAAGCCATTTTGGAAGCTCTTAAGCAAACAGGAAACCCAGCACTTATAGAAAGCTTTTGGAAAGATAATGGTGAAAAGAAGTTTTATAAGAAGAGAAGCGGTCAGTTCTGGAAGTATCTTTGCACATTACCTATAAATCTTGAACGCTACCAAATCTTCAATGAACTGAACAAAAGAACTGCAATACTTATGACAGAAGATAACTGCTTCGTTTATGCTTGCATTCAGGCTGGAGTAAATGAAGAAACTATTGACCACATGAGAGAAGTCATTCGTGTTAGAGACTTTCCTCAAAGTAAAGTACAAGAAATTTCTGACGCAACAGGTATAGCATTTAATGTTACCATTGGTTACTTCAATGACTCAAGACATAATGAAATAAAGAGATACATACCAAAAGAATGTGAAACTGTTCGAACTATTGACTTACTTCTTGTTGAAGACCACTACATGCTAAATGAAAGATTACCAATGACAACATATTTCATTCGCAACTATATAGAAATCTTGAAGGAGTGTGGTGGAATGAACATTGAGAAACAGATGAAGATTTATACAAAGAGAGAGAACAAATATGTAGTTCGTTATGATAGAACAACACCGTTATGGGATGTTATGAAAACATTGTGGGAGTGCAAATATTTCGAACCTATTTCTTATGGAGAACTTTTCACATATACGACTGACTTATATAAACAGAACCTTGCACCATTTAAAGATTTGACATATGCTCCAAAGTATTGTGTACAACTGAAGAAGAAAGCCGAGTCAAAAGAAGTAAATAAAGCTAAATGTAAGTTCATTCCTGAGCACGTTTTCTTTGCTGACTTTGAATGTAGCACTGATGGAGTTCATAAAGCCTTTAACATTTGTTATGACAGTGAAGATGGTTCAGTGAGTGAAAGCATTTGGGGTCAGAACTGTGCAACAGAATTTTTGGAACGACTTCCTGACAAGAGTTTAATATATTTCCATAACCTCAGTTATGATATAAACTTCATCTTAAGACACATGACAGAAGTGAAAGGAACTCCCATCATTAAAGGTTCACGAACAATGCAGATAACGGGAATATATAAAGGTAAAGCAATCATTATTAAAGATTCATACACTGTTATAAATAAGAAGCTTAAACTATTTCCTGAAATGTTTCATTTGCAGTGTGGTGAAAAGGAAGTATTTCCGTATCAATATTATTCAAGCTCTTTATTAGCAAATGACAACAGAACTGGTGTCATTTCTGAAGCGTGTAAGTTTGTAAAAGATATTGATACGTTCATGAAAAACATAGATTCCATCAAAGGTTGCAGAATAGATGAAAACCACTTCGACTTAGAAAAGTATAGCACATTTTATTGCAAACAAGATGTAAGAATTTTAAGAGAAGGTTTTGTTAAGTTCCGCAATGATATATTAAAAGAATTTGATTTAAACGTTTATGACTACGTTAGTATTTGTTCTATTGCTAACAAATTGTTTGAGAACAGAGTGTACTTCCCGAATGGAAATTTATATGACCTCTCAAATAAACCAAGAGAATTTATTTCACGCTGCATTCAAGGTGGAAGATGTATGCTGTCAGATAACATTAAACAAAAGAGCGAAAAGAAACTCATTGCTGACTTCGATGCTGTTTCATTATATCCCTCAGCTATCGCGAGACTTTATACTTTAGAAGGAATTCCAAAGGTTATGAAGAAAGAAATGTTAAGCACAGAGTATCTCATGAGACATTTATTCGATGACGACCAAAAGGAACCCATTGGTGAAAAGTTTATGTCTGGCTTCTTTGTTTTAATAAAAATAACCGAGATTGGCATACATAGACACTTTCCTTTAATAGTTTGTGACCCTGAACTAAATCCAGAACTTAACGTTCCCAGAAGTTCAAACACTTGCTGTTTAATGTATGTTGACCATATAACATTACAAGACCTCATAAAATATCAAGGTGTCAAATGTGAAGTGTTGCAAGGATACTATTACGATGGAAACAGAGATATTAGAATAAGAGATGAAGTAAAGAAGTTGTTTGAGTTAAGGTTAAAGTATAAGAAAGAAGGAAATCCTTTGCAAGAAAATATAAAGCTCATTCTGAACAGTATTTATGGCAAAACTATTCTACCTCCTATTGAGTCAAAAATAACCATAGTAAATGACAAAGATGCTATAAGATATGCCATCAGAAACTACAACCATATAGTGAAGTTCGAAGGTTTGGATGGTTCAGATAAAACTATTTTCAAGCTAACGAAAAGCATTTGCAGACACTTTAACTTCTGTCCACTTGGTGTTAATATTCTGTCAATGTCGAAGAGAATAATGAACGAAGTATTCTGTACTGCAGAAGATATGGGACTTCAAATATTTTACCAGGACTGTGATAGCATGCATATTTTCAATGAAGACATACCAAAGCTTGCAGCAGAGTTTAAGAAGAGATACGGTCGCGAACTTATAGGAAAGAACCTTGGTCAATTTCATTCTGACTTCGCAGAAATAACACCTGGAAAACAAAGTTTAGCATACAAGTCAATATTTTGTGGAAAGAAGACCTACATAGACTTACTCACTAACGATTTAAATGAAGTTGCATTCCATGCACGTTGCAAAGGTGTCAAACAAGACGTCCTTGCTTTAACAGCAAATGAAATGTTTCCTGAAGCTATACAATGCTATTACAATGAAGATAAGAACATTCACATACCTGTTGGAACATATGACAAAGACTCTGAGTTCAGTTTAATGAAACTTTACAAAGCACTTTATGACGGTCAAGAGATTGGATTTGACTTATGTAAGTCATGTCAACCTTGCTTTGAAGAGAAGTTTAACTTCTCAATAACGACTAAAACAAGCTTTATTCGTAAGTTGAAGTTCTGAGGTCATTTATTTTTGTCAGCAATGAGGTCATTCGTGATAAAAATAAGCCGCTAGCGGCAAGGGCGAAGCCCATGTGGTCATTTACAATACTGCGATGGTAGAGTTTAAGAGTTCTGCTTCAATGTAGAGACAGTCCTTATGGTCTGGAGGTAAGAACACTGGGCAGTTATGGTCATGAGTGGAGAACATGTCTATCCAAAACTCACGATTGAAGCCAGTTAATTTATAGTATTTAGGGTTAGGAAGTGGTGAAGTTCTTGTATGACCAATGAACTCATTTTCAACTCCCTTACTTAAGTTTGAATATAATATAGCTTGCTTTCTATCCCAAATGCCAGGTGTTACAATCTTTGAAAATTCATTTTTCCTCGGAAGCATTGCATCATAATTGAAAACATTCTTGAAGTCTTCATTGGGTTCAGAGATTTGAAATCTTATACATAATGGATTTTCTTTCTCTTTAGCGACTTCATTGAATGGTGAATATATAACAAACTGACAGTCATGTGTTCCATCTTCATTTTCATTAAATTCATAATGAAAGTCTATAAGTTGTGGCCGACTACCTTCTTCTTTCAGTTGTGCAAGAAACTCACGTAAAGGCTGTAAAGTTTGTACTTCAATGTTAAACTTTTTCTCGAACATCTCATTAAATGAAATCATACATTGTAGCAATGTTGTATCGTCTTTAAAGTATTTGTATATGTGAATGTTTTGGGCGCTTAAAGACTGTTCGTCATTTTCTATCTCGACTTGAAGTATAAAGTCAACCTTTCTGAAAGCACGTGTTATATACATAGATGTTATGCCAATGTACTTCTCTTCATTTATGTTCACAATCCAGTCTGTTGGAAACTTAAACGTTACTCTGTTCCCCTTTATTTTGACGTCAGGGTTTTCACTACTGAACGCAACAGATAAAGGTATTTGTCTATACATTTAATTCGGATAAAAATAAACCATTTACTCTTTCTTTGCTTCAGCTTCTTTAGCTTTTGCTTCAGCTTCTTCTCTAGCTTTTTCGCCAGTAGTCTTGGGTTCTTTTGTCTTCCAGCAGCTAATGCAGCAAGTTGTTTTTCACTAAGTTTTCTCTTTGGTCTCTCTGGCTTTTGTTCTTGTTTTTGTTCCTTCAGTTCGGATAAAATTTGCTCGCGAATTTCTTTCTTCAATGCTTCAACATCTATGACCCCTTGGGTCTTGTCCGTAGGGTTGTCTGAGTCATTTGACTGCAGATAAAAAACAAAATTAAAACTTTAACCGATGTAAAATGAGCTTGTCAAAATCAGAGCGAGAGTCTATTATATTAAATGACGCAAGAGGAATACAACATCCTTTCTATTACGTAAGTCAGAGTAAAGAAGGTAAAATATACGTAAGAAAAAGAAAGGTTCCATTAGCAAATGCAGAGAGCGACAGTATTAAGGTGCATGGCACCGAGGGCGAAGCCCATATAAAACCTTCTGTTCAAACTGAGCCACCAATAGAACCAGAAGAAAAGAAGCCAGATGTACTTTCAATAACGAACCAAGAGCTTATTGCAAAGTTCGTGAATTTCATTGAAAAACAAACCGAGTCAAAGAATTCTGACCCGCCAGTGAAAGAAGTTGAGACAAAAGAAAATGTACAGTTCATTGAAAATGTCAAGAAACAACTTCCACCACGAATGCCAAGAAGAAGAGTGAGAATAATGAAGTAAATAGATATTTTTATCCGAAGTAAATACATGCAGAACGAACAGTTAAACGAATTTACTCCAGCAGAGCATATTCATCAGATTCGCTCATATTTCGATATCATAGACAATGCAGTTCAAATTGGTGACACTAATAGAAAATATTCTGACGCAAAGATTCCATCACAACCTGGAACTGCTAAAGATAACACATGGGTAACATTCAATCTCTCACCTCCTGGTGAAAATATGTTGGACCTTTACAATACATTCATTACGTATAAAATGGAAGGTCAATTTATTGTAGATAAAGAAATTGGTTCAGGTTCCAATAAAACAAACCCACCAGGATTTTGGATTGGTTTCGATGACGCTTTCTATGCAGTTGCTGGATATCAAATCCTTGCAAATGGTCGTATCGTATATTCTCAAGACAACGCAAGAGAAGAAGCATATATAACTTCAAACTCACAAACTACCGAACAAATAAAGAAAGTAGATGTTTTCTCAAAGACTCGACATGAAGATGTATGGAGTCATTCGGGAACATGCAGAACAGGACAAATTGTTAGTGGTCCAATTACAGCAGGAAAATCATTTGATTTTAAGCTTCGTTTAAGAATTCCTGTTAGAAGATTCCTTCCATTAGAAGCTATTCGATTTATTCCAGCTTTTGCAGGAAACATTCAGCTTAAAGTAAAGTTCAGTAGCGACGCCTTACAATGCACATCTATATCTGTAAATATATCATTGCTTTCAATCCAACTCTTAAAGTTGCATTTGCTTCAGATTCAAATCCACCGACAAATAAATTTGTTCCATGGAATGAACCATTCACTATGATAACGAAGGCAGTAGAAGCTAGTGGAACAGTTACTATTACAACTGTAACCCAGCAACTATTTCGAACAAAGATGGATTTTAATGAATGTTTCATTCATCCAAAGTCATTCTCTTTAGACCCTAACATTTATACAGAACTTGTAGAACATTATACAAACGAGGCTTTATGTTTTCCTGTTAAAGTTCTGGATTGGATTCCTATGGACGGTTCATTCTCAAAGAATACAGATAGTTCAAGTGCAACATTTACAGCAGCTTATACGCCTATTAATGTTAAAAGTATTTGGGCACTATTTAGAAAGAAAGACAACTATTATGTTAATTTTGAGAACCCTAAGTTTAAATATCTTCAGCTTTCCATGGGAGCTTATGGAAATATGCCTGCAGAACCTGAAAAATCATATGGACCTGTATTTTATGAAATGGTTGCGAACGCTTGCAATACAAACAATGATATGATAGGATTTAATGAAGATGTTATGAGGTCATTGGTGGATGATGGTAGTGTGGAACATAAATGGGATAGCTATGACAACACACATTTCTTATGTGGTTTTCCAACAGAAGTGGACTTTTGCTTCCAGCAAGGTCAAACATCTACTGCTCCAATAACATACAAATTGTCTGTTAAAGGACCTATTGAACTAGCAACTGAAAATGTACCAAAGCCACTTATTGGATTTATGAGGGATTGTTGCTTTGCCATTCAGGTGCGTGCTAATGGCATCCCATAATAAGATTAGATGACTATAACTTAGCTACGGACGACAGTGAGGAATAAAGGATGAACGTTTATTTTTAAAGCTTATAAATGAGTTCTTCATCAAGCTCTCGTGAACCTTCACCATCTATGAAACAAACTTTACCAAACGATTATGGAGCACCTATTGAATATTTCTTACGAGCTGCACAATGGCAAAGAGCAGTCTCACCAAGGTTAGGTGTTCCACCAGCTCCTGTCAAAAATAGCATTTGGTCAAGTCCTTATATAAGATATGGTCTCCCACTAGGTTTGCTAGCTACAGCAGGAGCAGTTATGATGTTGAAAAGAAATAAAGCAAATGTTGTAAATAATACTGAAGTAGCTGAAGTTAAACAAACTCCAACACCTTCACAAGCAAAACCTTCAATGACTCCTGAACCTATGGAAGTACAAACTCCTGTTCAAAAGTCAACTCCTAAACCGACTCCAACATTTAAACCAGAACCTACTCCTCAAATAAATCGTAAAACTCCTGCGTTTCCTTACTGAAAAAATAACGTTATTTTTATTTAATATTAAAATTTTTATTTGATTGAAATGACAAGACTAAAGTCACTGAAGCAATGAAACAAAAGTTTTTGGTAGAATACATTAAATCAGGAACTATTCCAGAAGGTTTTTACATTCATACTATGAAGGATGGTAGAGTTCAGTTTAGAAAGATAAAGCAACCATTAGATAGAGAAGGTATATTAAGGAAGATTAAACTTCATGAGGACAACATTGCTGAACTTAAGAAGAAGTTAGAAGAGTTGGAGAAAGGAAGAGAGTTATAAAGCAATGAATTCAACAGGGTGAAAAACCGGGTGAAAAAAGAGGTGAGATTTCACCACTTCACCTAAATTTATTTTTGTGCTATGTTTTCATACGTGTGAGGGTGGTGATATCATTAATTTTTAAGTTTATTTTTTATTTTATTTTTATATAAATGACGAAAACTATTGAGATAACAAACTACAACGGTCATGAGTTCAAGAATTTGTTCTTCGTTCCTCGTGAAAATACATTCTATCAGATACGAGGGAGAAAGGGTAAAGTTAGTTTGAGCGTTTATGAAGGAATGAAGAATGGAAAGTTTATACAAGCATACGATACAAACGGTAAGCGTGTTTCATTAGCTTTGTCAAAACTTACTAACATTTATTTTGACAGTGACTTTGACTCTGACGATTGGAGCGACAGCAGTGATACTGAAGAATATGAAGTATTGTGTGAAGCACAGCAATGGGAGGAGTTGCAATACTTTTGTAAGTGAGAACGTTTATTTTTTACAGTAGTGAAGTCGTTTGTGAAAACGTTAGTGAGGTGAAGTGGTTGGTGGTTTTGTAAATATTTAAGGTTAAGTTGGTGTTGTCGTTTGTGTTGTAAAATATACGTTAATGGTTTTGTAAAGTGTCAAATTCACATATAATGGGTAAGGAGGCTCGCAGTGCCTCAGTACACATTATATGTATACTAACTAGCTTGTAAAGCCACAAAGTCATTAGGAGGATGTATTACTAAACACGGAAATGCACTTATTAAAGAATTAAATACAACCGTTACAGAAAATGTTCCAGGAATTGTTAAAAAGCTTATCGGCACCGTTGATAATGCAGTTAATGTTCTTTCGGGCTGGGTCACAGAAATTTTCAAATCAATCAAAAGGACTAATGACCAAACGCCAGCGGAATACAAACACTACACACTTTTCGATGCAGTTGACAATATACTCGAAAAATTAAATGATCTAAACAATGAAATTCAAAAGGTAAAAGATAAACACACAGGAACTACAACAGATGTCAAAAATATCTCAAGAAAAGATGTTGAAGATCTGATGGAAAAGATAGATAGCGTTAAAGAAAATGCAGTTGATAAACTCCATGATTACATAGATGATTACACGAAACCATATACAGACATGCTCCAGGAAGCCGCTGATAATACTTCAGTATTAGCCACTGATTTACAAGATCTTATTGACAGCTACTTTTCTGAAGAAAAGTTGAATGGATACTGCCAGCAGTACAACTTCTCATCTGTTGAACATATCGGCAAAATGATCAATGGGGTTATAACAGTTTTCTTCTTTTTCACCTTCATATGTTCACTTGTTGGCATTATATGGATGGCAAGGATTTTCTATGGCCACAGATGCTGCTCAAAGTGTACTGCATCATGCACATGCTGCAAGGTTTGCTGCGGTGGCTGGTGCTACTTCTGCTGTGGCTCATGTTCCACACTTATTGGCTGCACACTTGTTATAATCTTCCCGTTCTTTTCAAGTACAGTCAACTACTACTCAAAGTCAATATTGCCAGAGTTATTCGGCTCAAAGGCCATAGATGTAATTGTTGAGCCATTTCAATTCCAACTTGCTGACGAGACAATCTATGTTAAACCATACAAATTAACATTCCCACAGGGTAATCTTCTTGATGCTATTTGGCCAGAAGATCCTGATGAAAATGCAACATTCATTGGTTCTCTAATGTCAGGAATTAAGACATTCTTTAATTCAACAGCTTTTAGTGATGGTTTCCAGTATACTATGCATACAATCATACCTGCATTTGTAAAACAAATGATTTATAATCAAATCGAAGAGAATGTAAAGCCACAGATAGATGACTACGTTCCAGAAAACATACATTCCAATGAAATGATTGATAGCAAGATCCAACTAATCTACGAGAAACTCCAAGATATTGAAGATGAACTCAATAAACCAGAAAATACCCACTTAACACCTGAGGATAAGGAAGCAATTCGTGCAAGGATGAAAGCAGTCAATATTTCTATTGATTGTAATGAGTCTATTCCAGAAAATGAATCTCAATTATGCTTGGCTTACTCATATGCCCATGTTGTACAACATTCCATTAAAACGAACTTCGTCGATAAACTCATCGAAAAAGATACATTCTATAAAGAAACAGCTCACGAACTTGGTAAAGGAGTAAGCGAACTTTACAATTATTCAGTTGACACAATTGGTAATTTAAGTAAAGCTGTTTACTATAACTCACTTGGTTTATTAAAGGCATCACAGGTTTCAGCGACATTTAACGCAATCTCATCTCCATTATACCAGTACGCATACAGACAAGCAAAGATTTCTTTATACAACTTCCTCTGCTTCTTTGGCCTCTTCATCACAGCTATCTCCTATTGGATCAGACGTTCAGGTATGCTTATGCCAGACAAAGTTGAAGGCTACAGTGATGGTGATTATTCTGGTTCACAGCGCGGCCGTGGTGGAGCTGACATGAGAACAAAGTACGGTAAGACATCATCTTCTGGCTCCGCTAAGTACAGCTATAGCTCATCTTCATCAAAGAAGTCATACTCAAAGAGCTCTTACTCATACTCCAAGTCAGATTCATTCTACAAAGGACGGGAACAGGACAAATTTGTCACACGGCACTTTTTTTAAAGAAAATTAATGGAGCGGAGCGATACTCTGCTGCAGGAGCCCCAAGGCTCCCAATCATTACGAAAGGGAGCCTCAGGGCTCCTGAGAATCCATCAGCAGAGGCCTTTTCATTTGGCCTCTGCTGATCAAAGATTCGGCGAAGCCATTCTTCGTCTCAGGAGCCCCAAGGCTCCCAATCATTACGAAAGGGAGCCTCAGGGCTCCTGAGAAACCTCTTTGAGAAGGTTTTCTTAAAGAAAACCTTCTCAAAGATGATTGTCAGCATTCACTCAAAATCTACCAAGAGTTTCAAAGTTTCAAATCTATCTGAAATGAAGCTTTGAATCTCTTGTATATCTAATTGTAGAGGTACCTTTTCAAAATGTCTTCTATTGATTAAATTTAATCAGTAAAAGTCATTTTGAAAAGGTACATCTCTATAATTGCTATTGAGCATTCACTCTTGGAACCTTGGAGCTCTTGTGTAGTGCATGAAAACTTCAAGATTCTAGCATAAAACATATATCATAGACATAATTTCTTCAAATATAATTTAAGGTTATTTTTAAAAATTAGAAAAGCATAATTTAAGGTTATTGAAAAGTGACACTGGCAAATTTGTCCCGCACTCACAATGGACGCGAAGAAAATTAATTTAATATTTATTTTTTGTGATTGTAATTTACATCATAATGTCTTTTTATTTTTTACCATTGCTAAATAAATAATTTTATCTAATAAATAGAATGATCTATTTTTAAGTTTAAAAACTGAAATTATTTTAATTTTGACTCCGATTCTTATTTTGATCTTTTTGTTAATTCTTGTTAAGAATTAAATTGTAAAACCAATAAACATGAAATAAATCTATTTTTATGATATTTCTGAATACAATGAAACTGATATTAAGGGTCTACTGTAAGGCCAAATAAGGTCTATCGTCGTCCCAAAAATATTGCTCGAGATGGTGTTTACTAAGGCCCAAAACTTAAAAAAACACAAAAAAATTAACTTTACTCTTTTGAGATCCTTATCAGATGTGCATCAATTTGATGCAGTATCGCAGTTCAAATCTGATTTTTTAATGTAGATGTACTCTAACATCCTTTAAAAAATGCAAAATGATATTAATTAAGCTTTTCATTTCTGTATCATACACGAAACAAAATCGTTCATTATACTAAAATTTATCAAAGTTTGATTAATGAAAAAATAATATCTAAATTTTTACATTGAGTCGGCTATTGATATGGTTAATATTAAATCTTGCAAAAATTGGCATTATCCAGAATAATACCCACTAAAATACACATTTTTTTAAAAAAATTTTATCAATTGTTATGGTATATCTTTATGATAATGAATAAAATGCTTATTTTTCATAAGTAAATACATAATTTATGCTTAAACACAAAAAATAACACAAAAATTTTTGGCCAACATATCTAAACTAAGGATAATGGTTTGAATATATAAACAATAATACTTTGTCCAGGGAATTAAATTTGTGCTATCCAATTGTCAATTCTTTGAATTTTTTTTAAATGCAAGATATCCCGGCATTAGCCTCAATAAATATATATATTATGCATCATAATATTAGTTTGTAATGGCATTAAAGCGAAATTCCTAATTTCTTCTCAATTAAATTCCTTGAAAAACATTGGAATTAATGATTGGAAATAGGTCAAAAAATTCCTAATATAAAACTTATACTTAAGATAAAATTAAAATTCGAAAATATCTATTTTTCAAAACACGCATCCAAAAGCGAAAAAATTCGAAAAAATCATGTTCTTATAAAACTCACTGATTTTGCAATTTTTATGAGATTTGAAGTGATAGAATATATTAGGGTTGTTAGATTCCCGACGATAGGTGTCTTGGAAGATTTGCCTGGTGTCATCATAATGTCTTTAAATCAAAAATTTTATTTTGGAGTTAGTTTTATTGATTTTTCAATAAAAAACATTTCTAAAACAAGAAAATAAAACGATAAAATATTTATATTTTATATAAGGATCTTATATATTTAAAATAAATATCATTTTATTTTTTTCATTGGTGTCTGTCAAACCATAATACACTATTCAAAAATTCAATGTGTGTTGCGGTTTCAAAAGACACCTTCAAATTGAACGATAGCACAGACACTATTGAATTTTACCCATTTTATTTAGTTTTTACCCTTTTGATTTTTAAGAATGAATGACTGAAACAGCCGTTTTGCTATGACCTCAATCACTTTTATTTATTATTTTAAATATTATTTAATTTTATTATTTGAATATGCCAACTTATATTTGAGAAGCTCAATTTGAGACCACTTAATACATTGAAATATCATAAATATTGAAATATTAAAAAGTGTATTTCAAAATATTGAAATTATAAAAATTTATAATACTGAAATTGAGACAAATTAATAAATTCAATGTGTTTTTTTTTGAAATAACTCTCAAATATTATTTTTTTGTTTATTTAATGATGAATAAATATGATTGCTTTAGTCAATCATAAAAACTAATTTAAGTTTAAAATAATGAAAGGATAATTTGATCGTTTTTTAAAATACAATTATTTTTGATGATTTGCAAGAATCTTTGAAAAGAATATAATATAGGTTCTATTTTTGTAAAATTTATCCAAATCATGTATTACATAAATTATGATTAAAACGATGAAAGAACCAAAAAATGTGTTTTGTGTTTTGATGGATGCGGGATCCTGTTATTTCCGAAATCGACAAAAAATTTGGAAATTTAATTTCCGAAATCGAAATTATATTAATGTTTTTAATATTCTTATATCAAAAGGATTAAAGTTCATTAAGAGAAAAACAATTCTTCTTCTTCAATCTATTGGCGCATTTATTTCTACACGCCAATAAGGAAGGGAAAATTATAAGACACCATGGTGTCTTCAAAACGCTAATTTTTGATATTTTTAACAACCCTAAATATATTACCATCTTATTGAAACATATGCTTCATTGTTGTATTCACATAATATTAATCAGAACACTAGGAAAAGTGGATTTTCGAAAAATGACGATAACGATTATTTGCAAATCGCCTCTCAATTTTGAGAGACTTTCAATTTTTACAGTGGACCCTTAAAGCTATACTAAGAATTAGCCCAAGATTATTAAAAATTAAAACATTTACAATCATTTTTATGGACTTTAAATGAAATCTCTTTCGTTTTATTGCATACTATTCTAAATTCCAGAAAATTTTGAACTTATATATGCTAAAACAGTTATGATTCATGGAAATTAACATTTGTTCTTTACAGATATCGATATAAACAAAAATATAAATATTATTATTCTTCGGGAACCAAAGGTAAGCCATTTGACTCTGCAATCATCAATGGAGACTTACCATTATTGTTCTTTTGCTTTGGATCTGCACATTTTTCAATTAGCATTTTAGCAATTTCCTGATTTTTAGTTTTTGCAGCGACGTGAAGAGGAGAGTCTCCTATATTATTTTCCCAATTCGGATCAGCACCATTATCTAATATGTATTGAGTCAATTCCTTATTGCCAAATCTCACGGCGACATGAAGAGCTGTTTCACAATCTGAGTTTTCAAAGTTTATATCAATTCCCTTCTCAATGAAAGCAGAAAACACAGATACATTACCACCACTTGCAGCGGCAAAGTAAATATCCTTGCAATCTTCACCCAATTCAATCATCTTGTTAATAACGAAATTTGCAGATTCGAAATTTCCTTTTTTCATTGTGAGTTCGAACGCTGTTTTCCCATATATATCTCTCATGTGGTAATCAGCACCTTTTTGCATCAAGTAATCCATAACTTCTGCATGACAACATCCAAAATGAAGAGGTGTCATATTTTCTGTTGTTTGAGAATTTATTTCACAACCTTTATCAAGGAAGAAATCAATACATTCCATATTACCTGATTCGCACGCAAGATGCAAAGGTGTTATACCTGACTGTGCCCTCAATTCTATGGCATTGTCTTCCATTTTATTGATATCATACATCCAAATCAATGAAATTATCGAAAAGTGACCATATTTAGCGGCATAGTGAATAATTCCAAGTGATTTGTTATCACGACATGATCTATCTATGTCTAAATCAATAAGTCTCTGGAACAGCTCTTCATTTCCGCCTGCAGCAGCGAAATGTAAAACTGATCTGTTGAATTTATCTTTAATATTAAGATCTACACTGTTATCTACTAGAAAATTAAAGCAATCAGTTGCTCCGTAAAATGCAACATAAGAAATTAAAGGAATATTATTTTTTAAAATATCATCTTCTTCAGGAGAGATTTCATATGACTTGATGATAGTATTTATTGAAGCTCCACTACTGATATAGTTTATGACCGCATTAATATCTCTATCCCGAATCCCGTCCAAAGTTGCTTTTAACATTAGAAAAAGTGACAGCAATTTCGAAGTTTATCTGATATTTTCACTCTATATCAATAATAAAAACAGTTTGAAAACGGAGATTTTCCTTTTATTGAATTTTTTTGTGTCAATTTTTTTTTCAAGATGAATGATCTTCCTCCAATTGCTAATTTAATCAGCAATATTCTATTTGTTTTGCTGATTATCACATTCCTTTATGCATTGTGCTCGAGGTTCGTTTCAGATAAAACACTTTATGACTATACAATTTTACCAACTAATGATCCCGAAAAGATCAACTATTATATTGAACCATCTCCATCTCCAAAAGAGAAAATACCATTTCCTACAGTATTTTCTCCCTCAGAAGTTTACACTACATTCGTTGTTCCAGCTTACAACGAATCAAAGCGTATTACACCAATGCTCGATGAAACAGTTGCATATTTGGAGCGTAGAGCAAGTGAAAATCCAGAATTTACCTGGGAAATCATTGTTGTTAATGATGGATCGAAAGATAACACAGCAGAAATCGTTACGAACTATGCATTCAAGCACCCACAAATACGCCTTCTCAACCAACCAAAGAACATGGGCAAAGGAGCTGCTGTTCAAGCCGGTTGTTTACATTCTCGCGGAGAATTGATTTTAATGGTCGATGCCGACGGCGCTACAAAGATTGATGAGTTCGAAGAGCTCGAGAAGAAGATCAAAAGCCTCACAACTATCAATAAAGAAGCAATTGTCGTTGGATCAAGAGCTCATTTGGAAGGAGCAGAAAAAGCGAACAGAACACCATTACGAAAATTCCTTGGTCTCGGATTCCACATGTTAATTACAATTGCAGGAGTCCACGGAATAAAGGATACTCAATGCGGATTCAAATTGTTCACTCGCGAGGCTGCCAGGTGGCTATTTCCAAATCAGCATGTACAAAGATGGTGCTTCGACCCAGAATTACTCGTTATTGCTCAGTCAAGGCAAATGGAAGTCGCAGAAGTTCCAGTCGAATGGAATGAGATCGGTGACAGCAAAATGAAGATTTCTGGTATGATAAAGATGGCTATTGACCTCGTACAGATCGCAATTTACTTCAGAGCTGGCCTTTGGACAGTTAAAGACAAAGCTGATACTCCTATTTCAGATTTTGAAGTTTAATTTCATTATATTTCCTTGTTAAATTTAAAATTTTAAGTTTTAAAACTAATACTAATGTCTTTTTAGATGATTTAACAAAATATATTTTGATTTTTACCAAAATACATTGATTTATCGGACATTTTACTGAATTTTATTCAATAATAGATTATGATTCACATCAATTTCATCATCAACGCATCAAAGAAACTGCTAATTTCAAATCCACTTAAATAACAATATGCATAGCAGTAAATCATATACTATCTCTTATGCTTATGTAATCTCAATGTAATGTTAGAGGTTCTGCTTCATTTCAGCTATTTAGCCATATCAAAGGATCTAATTTGCTTTCAAACAGCCTGAAAGCATGCTTACACCATCAGAATAACATAAACTAGAATAATACACGCATATTGTACAATAAAACTACCAAAGATTCAGAATCTGCAATTTCAAATTTCAATTACACCTTGTTGGCCTGTTAAAGCCAATTTCTTAAATAATATATTGGATAGCTATGATTGTTAAGCTAAATGCAAGTCAGCTGAAGAAATTTTATAAAAACGGTTTTGATACGTTAGTAGAAAACTTTCGAAAAAATGATGACTACTTCAATGGCGGCCGGTGCTCGAAAGGATGATATTGCTACAAGTGGATTTTCTCGCGTCGATATTTTAGGAAACGAAGATCTTTTCCCAAACGAAGGCTTTGAATTTAAGCCAGGAAAATCAAAATTAACAAATTCATACAGAATGAGTGAAGATTCTCCATTCACAAATACAGTCAAGCAAAGTATGGCTCCAAAATCTGAAGAGCAAAAAGTTATGGAAGAACAAATGCCAAATATGATTCGTTCAGAACGTCTTTGCACAAAAACAGCAGCCAACGCCATTGCTACAGGCCAAATCGGTGAACTTCGTCCACTTCATTCTCAAATTGCACAAGATTGCGTCCAAAAGCAACTGAAGCAACAGTTGATAATGAAGGAGCAAACACGTGCAGCACGTATGAAAGATGATGCTCACTGGGCTCAAGTCGAACAAGAGGAAGCCGAGGCAACTCATGCCTTCTTAAACAGAAACGACAATTCTAAGCGCGATCAACAGAAGCAATTAGCCGAAGTATACAAGCGTGAGCTCAGACTTCATAAGCAGAAGGCTCTCGAGCAGCAGGAAATCGAAAAAGCCGAAGCTGCAAGAATAGCCAAAATCCAGGCCGAAGAAGCAGCCGCTGAGAAGGAAAAGGCCCGCAAGAAGAAGGAGGAAGAGAAGAAGGCCCTCGCAGAGTTCGAGAAAACAAACGGATCCCTTCTTAACCGCAAGAAACGTCAACAACAAGAAGAAGCCGCAATTGAAGCCGCTGTTCAGAAGGAGAAGGAGCAGATCGAAGCCCAGAAGGCAGAACGTGAAGCCCATCTCCAGAAGATCCGCGAAGAGAAAGAAAAACGTCGTGAAAAAATTTTCCAAATTCAATCGAAGAAATTCTTAGAACTTAAAGCAAAGAACGAACGTATTATTAATACAGCAGCCTCAGAGCTTGCAGAGCGTGAGGAAGCAGAGAGACTTGCTGAAATCGAGAGAAAACAACAGATGAGAAAACAAAGAAACGAAGATTGGCAGAATTCTCTCAAGCTCAAGGCTCAGAGAGAAGAGGAGAAGAAGAACAGACCAAAGACACCTATTGAAGACGACAAATACGACGAAGAACGCGCTTTCGAAGAAGTTACTCGTCGTGAGGAGATGAAGAGACTCCGCGAGGCCCAGTTAAGGCAGATTGCTGAGAGAAAGGCAAGAGAAGCAAAGGAGAGAGAAGAGGAACTGAAGCCTCAAAGCTGTTATTTCTTGAAGGATAATGATGATTGGTAAATGCTAATTTATTATATATTTTAGAAAAAAATAAATACGTCTTTTTAATATTTCACAAGATTTACATTGAATACTAACCTATTTTAGAAATTTTAGATAAGATTTGTTCATTTTCGGAAGCAATAAGGAATTAGATATTCTAAATCATTCTTATAATCACTTGTATGCAATTATTTTCTAAACAAAATCATCTTTGGGTCTATATTTGCTTTTAATATTCTGGAAATTATCAAAATTCATCGAGTTGATTATAATTCAATTTTGATAATTTATAATTCAATTACTAAACTTAGACTTACATTTATATGAACAAATTAAAGAATTTATTTCAAAATTCTTTATTAAAAAGGGAAGGAGATAATAAATAATGAATACTTTATTAATAAATAATAAATAAATAGTTAGCAAGAAAAGAACAGGCTTATTGCTTTGGCATCTTCCATTCGAGGTGCATGTTGTTAAGTGGCTGGAGACCACGTGTAGCACGGAGGATGTTCTCCATGCAAGCACGCTGCTGGAAGAGGGAGTTGATGACTGGTGTGCCTGTTGGTGTTCTTGGAGCCTTGAGGAGGAAGGAAAGAACAGAGTAGACGGAGTTCATGTGAGAGAATTCCTTCATTGTCTCATCCTTAAGCTGGACACGTGTGAAGAGTTCCATAAGGAGGATGAGGTCGAGCATAAGTGGAGCAGCAAGAAGGGAGTCTTCGCATGTGTTGTGGACGGAGATGATGTTCTTGCCACCACAGAAGATGTCGGAGTCGTATTCATCGAGAGCACGCTTTGAGTCGCCAACAGATGGGACGTACTTGATGACGACAACGTGATCTGGGTGCTCGCCGTTTGGATAGAGGATTGGGTTGTAGCCAACCATATCATCAATGACGGAGGACTTTGAGATCTGCTTGGAGCGGAAGCAAAGGTCGAAATCGAGGTTAAGGCCATCGTTGTTACCAAGGTGGTTGTAGGAAACAACAGCTGTTAACTTGAGACCAGATGAGATGAGGAAGTCAGCCATGACGGACTTGAACTTTGTCTGGCCTGTCTTGAAGTCATCACCCATGATGGCGACGCCCTCGCGCTCAGCAAGCTGGATAAGGCCTGGAACGAATGTGTTCTGTGGGGAACCATTGATGTATGGGATGTGCTCGAGGATAGCGGCAACGGCGTAGATCTGGGATGGAGCGATTTCGGCGTGGTTGTTCTTGATGGCATCAAGAAGTTGTTCTGGTGTCATGTGGACGCCTTCCTGAACATCGCAGTAACGCTCTGTGTTGGCTGTCCAAAGGATGATGACCTTCTCCAGCTTGTTTTGCTCCTTGAAGTCGCGCATCTGCTTACGGACTGTTTCGAGCTGTTCCCACTTTGTGCCTGGGATGACGTTGTTAGCACGTTCCTTCTGGTTTGGAGCAACGAAGTCTAAGTCGAAGACGGCTGGAAGTGGTTTCATCTTCTCGAGGTCGTCCTTGAGCATGTTGAGCATGACTGGCTCCATGACAAGAGCACGCTTAGCAGCATGGTAGATATCCATATCGTTAATATCCCAACCACCGATAACAAGATTATCTGGATCGACCATTGGGAGTAAAGCCTTGAATGGAGCCACGTATGTTGTGCCCTTCTCATCTTGGCCGAGGTATGTTGTGCCGCACTGTGTAAGGGAACCATGGTAGTTAGCCTTGACCTCACCACGCTTTGTATCCCAAACAAGTTTCTTCTTGTTAGCGAGAACGCCGGATGTAAGTGTTGTACCGTTGTTGCCACCCCAGCCGACAAGCATAACACCGGTCTTTGGAACGTGAAGATCTGTCTTGAATTCTAATTTCTTTGTCTCTGGAACAATCTTGATGCCTTCTGGACCGGCAACGACGTGGGATGTATGGTAATCATACTTTGTAATCATTTCCTCTCCCTTGATCTCAACATTTGAGCTGTCAACCTTGAACTCGTTAGCGAGCATTGTTAAAAGTGAAGTAATCAACAGTTTTCAAAATCGTTGTTCTTACTCAATTTTTTCAAAGCAGATTTGCGGTTTTCCGCTCATTCCGCTCACATTAATTTTTTTAATCGCACAAGAATGGACAAAACACCTTTTTAGTGAAAGTATTGTTGTATGTCGGATTGATGGAGGAAAACTAATTTTTTGATTGTATGAATAAATTACTATATAATGAAAGACTGCCAAGATTTAATATAAATGTTGTTTTTGCTATTCCACTTTTTCATAGTTATCTCAAATTCAGAGGAAAATAGCCCCAATTGAATCAATAGAGGAATCGTAGTAATAAATCATATTATGATAATATAAAATGTTCTTGCAAATTATTTTCAATTCAATGAAATTTTCGGTAACCGTCTGCAATTTTTTCAATTTTGAATTGAATGATAAAATGTTGGATATAGTTGGATAGACCCGAAAATGTATTAGAATTGATTAACAGTTATGATTTCAAAATAATGGCCTGTCAATCAAGACATTTAATTTAAAAAATATTAAAATAATCGCTGGGTTTCAAACAATTCTACCAGTTACACCAAAACGCATTAGATAATTCCATTCCAATGTGTAATTAAAGATTTTTTCGCCTTAATTTATCATTTTTATCGATTTTTGCCAAAAATCCCTTGTCTTTACCAATAAAGCTACAGATCAAATTGTTTGCAAAATTTGCTTGAAATCCTTATAATTTTAAGCAAATTTCGTAGAGAAACAAAATTTCAGATTTAAAACCCAGATTTTTCCCTAATTAAATTCATCAACTATAATCTTTGCAGTAATTAAAAAACGTTGTAAATACCGTAATGGCCGAATTGCTCTATTTCATTTTCGGAATTATCCATAAAGATTTTTTGATAAAAATTCAAATGAAATTTCTTTAAATCATCCTGCCTGATTCATTTTGGTGAATTTCCAGTATCTTGAGTTCGATGCCAAAATATTTCAACCCAATAAGATGAATTATCATTTCTCAGATAGAAATAATTTTACGATAACAAGTTAGGAGTTACATATTATCTAATCAAATGCCATATTTAATCTAATTCAATATTGATTTCTTTCATTCTAATTTGCTATGCTTTCTTATTGATGTTAGGAATTAGCTACTCAATTCATCATTATAAACCGAATAATTTACTTTGATATTTTTTTTTGAAATAAATTTAGGCATTGAAGCTTTAATATTATAAATAATAGATCACGGAAGACAATCAGCATGATTACCTATTTCATATTTTCATATTTTGCTACTTGTATTCTAATTTTTTTAAAATTTGTGAATTTAGCATTTAATTATCTATAAAATAACATTTTTACAAAATAATGATAAAATATAAAAATAATAATATCACGCAATCAGAAAAATAACAGATAAAGAAAGATTAAAAATTAATTTTTCAAGGATGGAAGGGAAGATGGATCTGCTTTCTTTGCTGGCGCCATCGGAGAAATGGTCATTAAGAATGAAGCAAGATTTTCATCTTTTTCGCAAATACCAAATTGAAGACTTAAAAGATGACTCAAAGCAGTTGCAGAGTTGTTAGACAACGAATTTGCCTTAACTTCTCCACGAAATCTGCCTCCTTTTGTTGTCATTTGAGTGACAAGTTTTGCACTTTTTGTCAAAAGAGCTTCTAATTTATGAACAGCAACATTCCATTTAGACAAAGCTGATTTTGTTGCAACTTCAACTTGATTTCTGAGCGGGGTAAGAGCATTGCTTAGATTCGTTGTTGATGATGTTGCTGAGTGCAAGAAAGAAGTAGATTTCAACAGTTTTACAGATGATTTCTTTCTTGAAATTTTTTCAGGAACTTCTTTTTGAGGAACTTCAACAGCTCCAACAACTTTTTCCATGTGACCAACTTCTTGCAATGTTAAACCAACATCAGACATCTCTGTGTTTAGTTCAGATATTTCACTTGCTTGTGCAACAATAACTGTAGGGATGATTCTAATTCCGGATCCTTTATGTTCTTCGTCTAATGTAACAGCGCCTAAGAAATAGTAGTAAATTCCTGAAATTTGAGATGATTTGTTTCTTGCTCCTGTTGCTGTTGTTGCTCTTGATGTTCCAGAAGTAATTGTACCTGGTGTCATTCCTGTTCTTGCTGTATGTGTTGCATTTGTCATTCCTTCATCAGAATTCTCAACTTTCATCGCTCTGCTGTCAACTTTGTACCATTGTCCAACAACATAATTTGTTTCTTGATTGTTATCAGGTGGCTGTCCAAGGCTCTTGAATACAGCACATTGTTCTTCGAAGCATCTGAAGAATAAAGAAGTTCTTGCTTCAATTAAGGTACAATCGAACAAAGGTTGATCCAAAGAACAAACATGAGAATAATAAGCAGCTGCAAGACCTCTTTGAGTTTGATCTTTGTTGTCATTTTGCAATAATTGTGGACAGTTTGTTGCAACTGTATCTTGACATTCAGCAACTAAACTTTGAATGAATCTTCTTGATGTCTTTACGGCATGAGCAACCATTAAAGTACTTAATGTCTTTTCGTTTCTTGCATTATCCCCTTGTGACAAACCAACTAAAAGAACAAGATCTAATATTACTTGTTGGCTTGCTGGATGAACAACACAATCAGGATGAGTAGCGAACATTTGTCTCATTTTCTCTGCCATCTGATCAACTTGCACAGCTGAAAATGATGGAAGAGTGACGTTCTTGAGTGAATCTCCTTCGACTTGTCTGTTCCAGAATTGAACAGCTGTTGGATTTTGCGAGATGAAATCCTGCATTTTAATCCTAGAAGCTGTTGAAGAAATAAGGAATGACAAACCATGAGAAGGATATGGACAAATAGAAGACATTGTTTGTGCAGCTTTCTCGAGAATTTCAAGAGAGTTTTCATTACCCTTGAATTTGATATTTGCATTGGCATACAAATACTGTAATCTGACTAATAAATGAGTATCTGCCAAATACAAGTTCTTTGATTCTTTCATTGCTAATTCCGAGATGTAGAAATACTCGACAGTTTGGAAAATTTGAGCCGCCAAAGGAATTGGAGAATATATTTGTCTTTGCTGTGGTTGAAGATTTCCTAATACAGTTTCAACTAAGTTCTTATCGAAGCAGAACAATTGAACTAACTGTGCACATGACAAAACATGTTCTCTGTAAAACGCTGTGATTGGTTTCGTCATTGAAATGTTCAATAACAGTTTCGCTGCTGATTCGAATTCTGCTTTTTGAATCAAAACTAAACTCTTGATATAAGGAGATCCATATTGATCAGCGATTGATGCATCATGTAAATTAAATGCGCATTCAGCAATGATCCTTGTTCTCATGTCTTCCAATCCACAAACTAAATTCATTGATTTATCTAAGACATTTGAACAATCGAATGTCAAGAAATCATTCGAAACTTCTTTCAAAGGATTTTCCAGATTCTTTGCAATCGACATTGCTGATTCCCACATCCACATGCTCATTTTAACACGTGCAAGTTCAAGTAGCAGCTCGTATTTGATTGTTAATTGGTCTTGTCCGAATTCTTTTGCAATCAAACCTGTCAACAAAGTTTCAGCCAATTTCAACAATGAATCAGAAATTTCACTCAATCCTGTCATACTCATTGAGCTTGATAATTCATCTTTCTTGTGATGAGATGCGGATTTCCTGTGCTTGGCTCTTGATGTTGTTTGCTTTGCTGTTGGAGTTGTTGCTGTTGATGCATTGTCTTGATTTTCTACAATTGGATTTTGTGAATTAGAAAGAACACGAAGTAATCTTGTAACACATAAAATGAATTGCAAACCAATTTGTGCACCGAATATTTGGGAAACATTATTGAATGTTTGTGGTATTGTTAAGTATTTGATGCATTCACTATTAGCTTGGAATGATGGTCCTTCTGTTTGATCATATTGATATCTCTTTACATTTGGAGGAGTCAAAGTAAATTCGATTGTATTATGTGGTTGTCCGAAATTAGTTATGACATCATTAAGAATTTGAACAGCACTAGAAACGAAACCGAATGTGCAACAGTTCAAAGCACCAATCAATCTTACTCTTGCAAGAATGTTTGGCTCGCGTATGATGAATCTGAAGAAATGACGAGCAAAAGCAATTGGCTTGAACATTTCGAAATATAATTCATAAGATTGCATTGCACTCAACAAATAAGTGATTGCTCCACTGATGTTTTGTGCTGGGCAACATTCTAACAATGGTTGGTTTGGATCCAATTCTGAGAAAATATCAACTCCTTGAACAATTTCTGGAGGTTCATAAGTAGCAAAATCAATTTGTTTCTTTGGATGCGTTGTTTCATTTGCGAATAAACTTCCTAATGAGAAAGATGCCAATTTGCACAAAGGTAATGCAATTTGTCTATCACTGTACATAGCAATGTAACTACTTAAGACAAAAATACTTAAACAACCTGCCCAAGAATGCTTTTGATAGAAAGAATCTTCGGTTTCATTTTGCAAAATTTGGTCAACTTTTTCATGAGCTCTGACTAATCTGAAGTGACATTCCAATGCATCTTGCCATCTCTTTAAAGCTGTTGCATCATCAAAGTGCTTCTTTGAATAGAAACCTAATCTCGTGAGCAAAGAAACAGACATGGAAAGCTTTTGTTTGTGTTGTAAGTTGATTGCAATATCCAAAACATTTTTGAGGGCTTGCTGTTTGTTATCGAAATGAAATGCATTTGGATCTTCTGTTGTTAACTTACAAAGCAAATCATTTGCAGTGTAAAATGCATTTTCAGCAGGATCTCTTCTTTGTAAACTTGCTTGTATTTTCTGCAGATCTTCTGGCATTTCTTCACCATCAATCATCCACAACATCTTACCCATTGATTGCTCTTTTGCACAAGCTGTTTGCATGTGTCCAACCAGAGCTTTGGTCTTTGAATCATTCAACAAGAACATGAAGACATCAAAAACAATACTTTGTGCCCATCTTTCATCCAATGGCAAATAAGAAACTAAAACATTGGAAAATGTCACCATTTTTGATGAAATGTTCTTGAAAATCGGAGATTTGTATTGAACAGTTGATAAGAAAACTCTCAACATCTCAGTTGCTGTTCTTTGGATATCAAATCTCTTCGATCTCTCTGAAATAACAATTGTCTGTATAATTGTTTGGAGGAAATTATTTGCAGCATCATAATTAAACTCGGCTTCAAATGTTGCAGCGTCCATGGATGGTCTTCTACTATGTCCATATCTTGATGATTTCCTTTGAAGACTGTGCTTTGGTGTGATTTTTCCAGAATTGTCTAATGGTGCTGGCCTTGCATGTTTCATTGTTTCATCCAATTCCAATTGGCACATTGCACTTAACATCAACAAAGCAGCTCTGTGCTGGTTGCATTCGAAGAACTTTTGATTCTTCTTTTGCCTTGTGTGATATTTAGTCCAACAATTCTGTATTTTTGTTGCCATTTGGTTCTGCAAAGCTTCTTCTGTGTTTTGCTTACCTTGGTCTTTGGCTTTGCCTTTAACAGGAGTCTTCTTTTTGATTACTGGTTTAGCACCTTTAGCTTTTCCTTTAACAGGGGTTTTCTGATCATCTTGTTCATGAACTAAAGATTTGATGTATTCCAAAGTTTGTTTCGACCAATTTGCACCTTGATTATTCATTCCTGCTGTGTGAGCCATAGTTATCAAGTAAACAGCAGCTGCTGGGAACAAAGGATCTAATTTGAATTTGTTAAACAATTCATCAAATGATTTTTCAGGTGATTGTCTGAAAATTTCTGCCGCGTAAATTGGCAAAACTTGTTCATTTACAACATTCGATTCTGTTAATTGATGCTGAGCGGCAAACATAATAAACGATTGTCTCCAATGACTGTTTGTTGGCAATTCTAAAACAGTACTTAATATATATTGAGATATCTGTCTTTCTTGGTATAATTTAACGAAAGCTGCATCTAAACAATAACTTGCGCAAGACAAAATTTGTTGATGTTCTTCTTCATTTCTTGTTGGTTTGTTGTTCTTTAAAGCATTGACAATTAACAACAAAGGTTGAATAACCCATTTAACATGGAATGATTTACCAATTAATGGCTGAAGTGTTGCTAAAATCTCACGACTTCCCGTTAAAATTAAATCAGGATTATTCAAAATTTGAGCTAAAATCAACGAAAGATGTTGAAAGGCTGTTGCATGGAGAGGTTTTGCAGCAAATAACCTTGCGCTCATCAACAAAACAGAAGCAAAGGATCGAATCAAAGGAGCAGGCTGCGAAATAATGTTGCTCTTCAAGATAAATCTGTTGAAAGGATTCATGTACTGATAAAACATGTTATCTTCTGATTGAACAGCAATTTCTGCAAAACATTGAATTAAATATGTCAAAGCTACATCGAAACTGACTAAATCATGAGATTTATAAGCAGCGGCTGCGATATAACTCCAAATCAACTCAACAGATAATGTATGACATGTTGAAACATAGAATGGCTCACTCAAAACATCAATTAATTCATTATGAGAATTATATCCGCCAAAAGCAAAAGTGTATAAAGTATTTGGCTTCAGTTTTGAGATCAAAAATGTTTCAACTTTATCTTGTTTGACACCACATCCTTGTAGATGAATGTTTGATGTTGTTAATCCAGTGTTTCCTACAACTTCTTTACCGAAAACTGCCACAGTTTTTGCGTTTTGACAATATTTGTTTGTGCAAACTAAAGCGATTTGAGTTCTATTTGCGAAAATTACTGGAGAATTGAGTTTATATGTTATTCCTTCTAGTTCTATTAATGACTGTCTTGCTTTTTCGAGGAATTCCTCTGCTTTCTGCGGTCTAAAGAATGACATTTGGATGTAAATCAATGCTTTGACAGCAAAATTATTTTTGAATTTTGTCAACAAATCTTCTTCAGCTGTTTTAGAATATGACGGTGGTTTAAATGGTCTGTTGATTGCTTCATCGAAGTGTTGTTTCTGTTTATTATCAAGAATACCGTATAATTGTTTAGTTTTCGCGTATTCGTCTTTCTTATCTTGAATGTCTTTTTCATATTTCTGTGCTTGTTTATCTGTATCATTAATTAAACCAAATCTAAGTGTTGATGATATCCAAACTGACAACAAATCAACATGCAAACATTCTAGCCAGTTCTCAAAGAGTATATATGACTTGTCTGCTGGTTTCGTTGGTATTGATTCCGTTGGAGTTATCACACAATCAAATTTTCTTGTTGCGAAAATGTCTCTGAAATTCAATAAAACGTCCAAAACTTTCCTTGCAACTTCAATACATTCAGCATAAAGATCAAGTGATTCAAGATGAGCACATAAATGAAGAGCTGCAAGTGAAACATGCATTGGACATGGATGTGGAATAATGAATAAAACTCGAAGTACTCCACGGAGAACAAGTGGGTCTTGGATCTTCTTGGAAGCAAATATATTCCATAGCCTCATAGCAATTTCGTGGAAAAATTGATAATCCGAGGCAATAACTTCATTTGATATTTTGCATAATGTATAAGAAACTTCCATCCAGTTGTTTTGTGATATGTACTGTGCAAGAGCAACAATATCATCGTTTGGTAATGCTTTTGATAAGTTTTCTGTATCATTAAAATTGCCTGATCGAATAAAAGCAAATAGAAGCCTGTGAAGAAGTGTTGGCTCAAGATTACATGCAGGATTAACCCACGCCTGAACAATAGATGAATATTTGTTCAAATAATCCTGTTTTGAAATTGGAGATTCGAAAGCATTGATCACCATTTCAACAGTGCGTTGGCTAGGAAGTGGTGGTAGTTCTTGTACACCAGGATCTTCTTTAACTGCTTTCTTTCCACGCTGTTTTGCTTTCTGATTCGAACCAGGCTTTTCGTAGTCGATATCACTAGAAGTAGTAAAGTGAACAAGCATGATAGAGATTGAATTGAAACATGCATCAAACAAATCTTTCAAAACTATAGTATCATCATTACAAGTGGTGATTGTCTCTGAAAGACCGTTTGTATTTGACTGTTCGAGTTGCATCAGTTGTGTTAATTCTGTTTTGAACGTGTTTACGAAGTTTTCTGCATCCTTGTCGCGTGAATTTAACGTATTTGACATGATTGAGCATATTAGGTAGAATATTTGCATTCGAAATGGTATAAACCTTGATGTTCTGAAGATAATATTTGTAGAAATCGAGTGATTTATTGACAATGTATATTCCAAAATCTGATCACTATAACCAGTAAAAACGAGTTTTTCTAAAATTCCGATAATTTCGACAACAATATTGTATGCACACCAGTAATTTTTGGGATTTGAGATTACTTGGTTATACAATTCTTCTAATGCATTTAATTGCTGCATTATTCTTTCGAAAGTATCTGAAAAAATCATTTGTGGGTCATAACTTAGAATATTCTGGATCAGAGACTGACTTGCCGTAACTTTTTTCATTGCGGCATCGATTTCTTCGCTCATTCTCTTGATAGCAGAAACGGACGCCCTATCGTCCTCTTGCAAAATTTTACATCCAAAATTATAATTTTTCATGTTTACTGATTTTGAATAAATAGGCACTAACTCAAAGTGCAGAAAATTGAATTATTTATATAAATTTCATATGGATTTTAAATTCGGATTTTCTTTTATTCTGTTTGTTGCAGAAAAATGGATAATAAGCATATTTTACCTGTACACCCCCATCAGTTACATTTGTAAAATGCTCAACACCCTCTATCATGCTAGTATTTATTTGAGATCTATAGCTAGCATTATATGTTACGGGCAAATATATGCAAACTACTATTAATATCATCATTAAGGTTTATCATAGGTTATACATTTAATGATAACGTTCTATTCGAATTTTATATTCGATGCAGCGACAGAACTAGGAAGACAAGGTTCGACAATATATTTCAGTAGTGGTAAAAACATCTTTTCCTAGATGTCGATAAATTTCTTTTTCTTATATTCCTAATTTATCGAATGACCTTCTGCGTTTATGCGGAAAACTTATAAAGCAGACAAAATGACCAAGTCAAAACTTCGTCCTGAATTCCAATTTAACTTGTCTTTTTAATCTACAAGCATTAAGTTAAACAACAGTTGGTAATGTTATAAGTGAAACAATTTGGGAATAAGAAAAACCTGGGGTACCACATCCACGAAATTTAATATTATTATATTTCCCAATATAATCTAAGATTGTTATTCGAATTGCACCATTTCCATAATGAACTCCGGTCTTCATTGATGCCTTTCTCAAAAAGTATTCAATCTTATAGATATATTCAATTGGTTTATACGAATCCATTGTAAGAACATATCCTGAGCCTCCTGCAGCACCAAATCCCTTTCCATAGGATCCTGAGCCTCCAAACCATCCACCTCCGCCTCCTGCACCGCTATAAACATAGTCTGTTGCTTTATTTGAGCCTCCATATCCAAATCCTGCTGTAGAAGATAAGCCACTTTTGGGGCCAGGATAAAATTGGGTACCACCAGAAATATTAATACCGAAATAAGATGGATTATATATTCCATTGCAGCCTTCATAACCACCTCCTGCACCTCCTGGATTGTGATAATTATAACCTGTACCACTGGTTGAAGATTCTCCGTGACCTGACCCCCCTCCACCACCTGCAACTATTATTCGAGTGTTAAATGAGTCTGTTTCAAGGCGAATATCACTTGCACCACCACCTCCACCACCATATGTATAGGTTAAACTATAAAATGATCCATTTCCACCACCATTGAATCCTCCCATTTGAACTCCATAAGATTGGGTTGCAGTTCCTTTTCCACCAATGTACAAAAAACCTTTTATTTCGTTTGTGATAGTCAAAATTCCTCTTGAATATCCTCCAAGGCTTTCATTTAGTTTATTATACCATCCACCTTGAGCTCCCCAAACTTCAAGCAAATATCTACCACGTGAAAAATTAACTTCATATGGGGAACAATCGTAGGTAGTATTGCAAGGATATTCAAAAGTAAATTCATTGTCAACATCATTATAGTATACTTTTTCTTCTCCTTTAGATCGGTTTGCTAATTTGTATGAAAATGGCAAAATGAATGTTTAAATCTAATACTAATTACAATATTTAAAGCGAGTATATCAACAAAAAATAAGTTATCTTACATTAAAATCAAAATAACTCCTCATGATTTTAGAAAAAAATTATTTCAAACTCATTTCTGTTAAGGGTGCCCTATAACGATAATGTAAACATCACAAAATTAACCTTATTAGAACTCGAATGAATGGATTATCCGGATTCTAGTTCTCAATATAATAACCTTAAAAGTGCTTTTCTGAGGGTGGTCTATCGTCTATAGGGCACCCTTAAATCAATTTAATTAAAATCTTTGATTTTTGAAAGATTATTGGCCAATATCAAAAAATTCAAAATATTAGGAAAAACGAAAATGTCACATCCATTTCAATTTTTATTCAAATTGAAAATTGAATAAATTGAATTGCAAAATTAGTTCAGATTAAAAGACCCCAAATACTATAGTATTCTAAATGCGATAAAATTTCAAACATTGAATTGAAGTTTCAAATATAAAAGAATTCTCTCAATTAATTTATTTCAAATATTGAATTGAAATTTCAAATAAAAAAATATTGAGTTCGACATGAACATTTTTAATTATCATATAAATTTTAATAAAAGATCAATAAGATATATTTTAAATGCAAAACATGACATCAACATTTGTAGATTAGAAATCCTTATCCTCAGGAAAATTGTGATAAAAGTATATTATTTTATTGAATCATCAACAATTTGTGCGATCGTATCTCTTATATTTATTCTTTTTGATTAAATTAAGCATAATATTACAAAACATTTTTACTAACAAATAAAAACAAAATAAAAATCTATATAATAAAAATCTATATAATAAAAATAACATAAAATATATAATAACAAAGTTACTAATTAAACAGGAGTTACTTCATCCATTATTGAATCCTCATACAGTTCAAACAAAGAGTTCAAAGTCGATGATGTTGATTTCAATTCGATCAAGTCTTCATCGATCTTCAAAGGAGCCAAATCCAATCTCATTGCGCACATTTGTTCAGTTCTCTTTCTTTCCAACTCTGCTTTGTCCATTGTTTTTGCTTTGTTTTGCTCCTTTGCAGAAACGTAATTAGACCATGAATACTCTCCTGCAACAATCTTCCTTTTGTCGTATCTGATGTTGATATCCCTGAACACTCTTCTAATGTACAATTTACAGTCTTTTTCTGTCAACATTGTTGAGACAATTCTGTGGTAATTTGGTGTCAAGAAACCAAACATTTCATCGCCGTAAAACTCGTAGACAGGAAGCTTCGTGTGCTTCGTGCATTTGAGCTTGAAAAGCTCCCATACACTGTTAGGATCTGCTCCAATGAGTTCGTAATTCCATCCACAATTTGTCACTTTTACAAGGAAAACAGGTCTTCCATTTCTACATTCAATTGAAGCTTCGACAGGAATCAAGAGATCAGGTCTGAAAGGATTTAATGTGATGACTCTTACTTTGTAGCCAACTAAGTAAACAGCATCTTTAGTGTGAAAAGTTTCTCTTGAATCAATTTCTCCTAAATTTTCAAGCATAATTTGGTCAGATAATCTGAAGGGAAGTTCACTTTTGATTTTATCCAAATTTTTGTGACTTGTTTGTACATGTCTTGATAATTTCGTGTACAACTCTCCTTGCATCTGTTTTATCTTGTACAGGACTTTTGATTCCGATGGAGATCCCTTGAAGAAAGACATAAATGTTGGAGAAATGATTGATTGCGTTGGTCCATGGAAACTAAATGCTTTTAGAATTTCCATGTCTTCGCAAGTAACTCTTTCGTAGTCTTCGCAGCCTTTCCTGATTTCTTCGAACCAGCTGAGCTTACTTGCCAATGATTGGAGAATGTATGGTTTGACTTTGTCCACAAATTTCTCAGAAATCCTCTTTCTTTCTTCTGGATCATAGCATTTCACGTATTTTATTGTTGTTTGAACATATTGTTCAACAAGATCAGGATGGAACTGTTGCAAATTCGAAAACCTGAGGAAATCATTGATGCCAGGATATCCGAATTTCAACAAATTATTCATGATCTTTTTGTGTTCTACAGGAGTGATTTTCTTCCTGTAAAATTGCAAATTTTTGTCAGGATGAGGAGGAATAATGTTTTTGTAGTTAAAATTGACGAGATTCCTTAAATGGAATAATTGATCATTTGGTAATGATCTCAAACCATTATCGTAAGCATTTTTAACTAATTCTTTATCATCGAATTCCGTTTCTTCTGGCAAAGGAATGTAGTTATCGAAATCATTTTCAATCCAGTATTTTATTACTGATGATGTTTCGAAATCATTGAGAAATTCTTCGACAGGGAAATCACCAATAGCTTGTACAACTTGTTGTGCAGTAACTACAGGATGTGATGAAGAAGCTCTCAATGAAATACTCAACAAAAACTTGGAATGTGAAGTGTCAATTTGGACATCCATTTTTGACAAAATATTTTGACAGATTTTTCTGATTTCTGCATTTTCTTTTGGTCGTTTGAAAGTATCATATCTTCCGTATCCGAAATCTCTCATGTTCTCAAACGCCAGAACAATAAATTGAGGAGAATTGATGGAGATTTTGAGGTTTTCCGCTGATTTCTTTTTATGTTCTTCGTAAAGAATTTTTTGCCAGAAATCAGGGCTTTTTATATCAGAGTCATCAAAAGAAGGAAATGTTTCTTTCTGTCCGTAAATAGAAACAACTTTTGTCGATAAAATTCCACGCCACCATATATCTCCTGTCACTTTTTGTAATTTACTTTCTCTTATTATTTGTTTTCTTAGGAGTTTATCGAGTATCTCGGGATTTGCTGTTTCTTCCGTGAGCAGATCATCACCAGTCAATTCATCGCTTTGTGAAGTGATCGCGAAAATATCTTCGTCGATTGAATTTTTGGTGATTAAACGCAAAAATCTTGGTTTTAAATTGTTCTTTTTGAGGAGTTCCAAGTTGTTTTTCGTTGGTCTCCAGAAGATATCGAAAGGAATAAGTAATGTCGGTTTAAGGTTATTTAAACACCAATTAATTTTTTCTTCTGTGCAAACGACCAAAGGAATTTTATCCAAAAACAGTTTTGGCATCCTGTTTAAATCCTTTTCTGAAGTTTCAGAGTCAACTCTCATGAATGGGATGTGTTTATCCGCGAAACAAGAGTTGATTAATGTTACACTGTCATCATCCTCGCAGAAAACAATTATCCTTTGTTGGTAAACTTCATCACTTCTCAAAAATCTCCAAAGGAAAATTAGTTTTCCGCTTTGATGCCTGCTTTGCGCTGTATAGACATCATCATCCATGACATGGTCACTCTCAAATACAGGGTGTGAACATATAGAATACAATGAGCTGCAACTTAAAATTAGTTCACTTTTTTTCATCTCATTTTTTGACTTCAATTTTTGTCTGACACTTTTCAAAACTTTTTTATTGATATCAATTTGGTATTCAGTCATTGGACAGTACATCACTTCTTCTCTTATCTTAAATATGTTATCCTTATTGTAGATAAGCTTATCCGGACAAATACTGTAGCTATTCATCGCTTCGAATAAACTTTGTTTCGTGTAACTGTCATTTCCTCTGTTTCTCAATGTAGAAAGCATGATTTGGAGATATCTTGATGAGTATTCTTCCAAATTCTTGCAGAACATCAATCTCCAGTTGGATCTGATCGTTTTGACTTTATCGCGTAATGTTGTGATGTAATTCGCTCTTGGATCACTGAAATCTTCAATAAGAACCATGGAGAACTTGATGTTTTGTGGGAGCCATTCAACATACCTTAAAACAAGTGGTTTTGACATTAATAAAATATCAAAATCTTTTTTGTTCATTTCTGAGGTTTTGGTCTTAAGGACTTGGATGTTGAAGTCACCAAATCTGTTTAGGTTCGTTATCCATTGTCTTTGTGAAACTTCATCTGTAATTAACAAAATCGGGTTGATATTTTTGTAAAGTTTCTTAAATGTGGCAATTAGAGAACATATCATGTAGACTTTACGATCAAGAGGCTTAACAACACATACAGAGTTCTGTGCGTAAGCCCAAAGGTTGGTTAATTCAATAATTGAACATTCTTCGTTATCTGTAAGTATTTCTTTGCCAACAACATCGAAGGATGTATGTATATGTATTGGTGGATATATAAATGGCTTTTTGTGCTCTTCTGAGGTTGATGAAGTCGATTCTTCTGATTCTTCGGAAGTTTGAGATTTTTCTGATTCGTTTTGTTCTGTAACAGGTTCGTGTTTAGTTTCTTGTTCATTTTGTTCGCGTAATTTATTGTAAATTTCGTCAACTTGATCATAAATACTATTCTCGCGTTTTATTTGCTGTTTCTTAAAAGTTTTGAGTTTTCCACCTGAAAATGGTAAGAATGGTGTTGGATTTAATGTACCAATGCGGTCTTTATCGAATTCCGCAAAATTCGTTTTCATTTGTTCATATTCTTTGTAAAAATCTATGCCATCTAAATTAACTACCTCATTTTCTACTTCAGAGTCGTTCGACGATGATTCATTTGAGTATTTTTCCGAGTCAATATTATCTTCTTCATTGTCCTGGTCATCGGATGATTGTATTTTATCACTATATGTTTGCGATTCATTTTCCGAAGATGTTTTACTTGAGGATTGCTCTTCAGATCCAGAATCTGATTTTTCAGTTTTGGATGATTTTTCGTCTGTTTCCTCTCCGTAAGCAGAATCGGAATCATTGTCATCGTATTCTTGTGGTGATTCTTCATCTATGTTTTCACTTTGTTCATTATCTTCTTCTTTTTCAATCTCTTCTTCTTCGACTTCATCATCATTAGCATCCTCATGGGAGTTAGAGCTTTCGTTCTCATGAGAGCTATCGGAGCCTTCTTCATAACGCGATTTCAACGCTTTAGACTTTTTCTTTGATTTTCCTGACATTTCGGTTTGCGGATCACTGTTTGTTTCATCTTTTTCGATTTTTGCAGTTCTTTTTGTTTTGTTATCCGAGGTTTTCGCCGACTCTTGATCCGAATATTGATTTTCAAAGTCATTAGAATCGTTATCTTGCTTGTTTGTGGTTTCTAAATCACTATCAATGTTATGGTTATCACTTCCATCATTTGAATCCTCTCTAAATCGATGGAAGCGACGCATTTATTTTTTTTTTCTAAAAACCTGAAATCAATTTTTTTTAAGTAAACGAACTTTTATTGGCTCTATAAGATACATATGACAATAAACTGACATAATCAATCAGAAAATTTTTTTCTGAAGTTTACAACCAAATAAAAAACAATCAACGGAAAATATGATTGTTTAGTTGTTTGATATAAAATATGAGCTAATCATTGTTAAAACTTTCTAGAAACTAATTTATTTATAATAAAACAAACAAAAATAAAATAATGAAATGAATTTTTCTTTTTCATGTAAAGTACTTTAGTGCTAGGATTGTCTTGTCAAACAGCCAACCGGATCTGAACATTAGCCTGTGGAGTTTCTTATTATTCAGTTCAAATCCATAAATCAGTGGAGAATATATCACATAAGATGTTACAGAACCGATGATGATCAATACAGATAAAATATACGATAAAATCGGATATTTGTGAGACAAAATATTAAGATAAGAAGATATCATTAAAAATCCAAACATTAGAGAGATAGAATAATGGTATAAGAATGTTGAGCGTGGAACCAAGCTAAACGGAACAAGAGATGAAAGATATCCAAATAAAAATATCAACAAACTAATTGAATTCTTCAAACTCTCAAAACTGGCTTCTGGATTCAACAATGTATTGAATATAATATAAAGAGAAACAAAAATCGAAACAAAAACTAAAAATGAATTAAATATATTGAGATGAAGAAAAATTCGATGAAAGTTATGATCATCATAGTAATCTATCAAATGACCTCCCATTAATGGCCATTGCCACCACCTCGTTGGGATTCCAGGAACTATAGGAAAATTCGAATTTGAATCATGCGTAACTTTGATATATTTCAGAGCAAATTTTAATAATGAAACATTAGTACAGTTCTTCCATTGTGCTTCAGCATTGTCAAAATTATTTATTGGACATATTTGAGGTGAATCTAACAATGAGAGCTCAGGAGTCAGTTTAAGATGAATCATGACAATTCCTATATATAAAGGAATGAAAATGGTTGCGAAAATTACTCCATATTTTGAAATTTCAATCAAAATTTCTAATTTGACTTTTCCTTTTGATTTATTAACCGAGTCAACTAAAATCCTAATGAATACAACGAGGAGCATCAATGGAATCAGCGAAAATGATGTATGCTTAATAGATCCAGTCAAAGAAATTGAAATACAGGACAAAACATACTGAATCATAAACTGTTTTGTAGAGATAGGCGTAAAATAGAGTTTCGAAATTAGTAATATCGAAAGTGATGAAAAGAAATGAAGAATTCCATCCATAAGTATGAATTTACCTTCAATTATTAGGCAGTCTTCAAATATAGTCATAGAAGCGGCAACTAATGAATACATTATGTTAATATCGAAATTTCGTAGTAGTAAATAATTGAACGGAGCACAAAATGAGGACAAAAATGCTGGTATTCTTCGTAACTTTACGTATTCACAATGATCATCATATGGATTTTCTTTATAAAACGTACAATTTCCATCATAATCGAGAATTTTGCTTCCAACATAAAAAATTAGTTTACCAAAAGGTGGGTGAACATCTGTATAGAATTTTTTCTCAATGTAACAGTTTGTGTAATTTCCGAAATATTCTTCATCAAAAACTACGGATTTTGGAAATGAAATCTTGTAATTTCTAGTAATAAATGCGAACACGAATACAATTATTGAAATTATAATATCAACAAATGTTAGTTTTGAGGATGTTCGGTTTATAAAATAAGAATTAATGTTGAGCTGTCGATATTCTTGTCCAGCTTGCATCCGGAAAATGTTTGGGCTATTCAAGGTCTTAATATTACTCTTATTTTTCTTTTTGCGGAAAAATAGAAGTAATAATTCTGAAAACTTAATTGGAAAAATGAACCATAAGTCGAAAATTACTATTAACTCTATAAGGGCATTTCAAAAATTACTTTATCATGTATGAAATAACATCTAAAGAAATTTCCAATCAATTCAATTTTCAAAAGTTTACATCTAAAAAAAATCATTTCACTTGAATACGATAAGGTAAGGGTTTCGTTTTGCGAAAAAAACGTACAATACGCAATTTCGCTAAAAAAACATTTAGCTAGCAATTTCGACCTTTGACTCCACTCAGGACGTCACTTTTTTAATTTTGCGGTATCATATTTGTGGAAAATCTTTATGAATATTATATAAAAAGTCTCTTTAATATCTATATTTCATATTTTTATCGATTTTTAAAGTTTTTGCGAAAAGTATTCAATTATTTTTGCTATTTGGTCGGGTAAATGTCAGATTTGCGACATTTTCTGATATGATATTCAGATTCTACGTTGATAATAATGCTTATAGAATAAGGGTTTCGTTTTGCTAAAATTGTCACTTTTATAGCATATTTGTTTTTGGATGTTTTGCGAAACCAAAAAAAAACTATGATATACAATGTGTGTGTAAAGAAAATACTTTATTTACTAGTTAAAAAATCATTTGGTATTGATCAAGTTATTTTTTCTGGATAAGATATTATATGGATAATTGGATAGAAAATACAATTATATAATCTTGTACCTGGTTTAATTAAGCTAATTGTCATCAGAAACTTGTAATTTTTATGAATTTCAGATTTTCTTTTCATTACTGCTTTTCTTAATAGGTCAAGTTCTTATTTACGTTATAAAGTATGATATTTACAAATATCAAGTTATCGTGTTTTTTGAGAAATTATGAGAAACAAACAAAAATGAAAAAGATAGGAATAGCAATGAATAGTGATGTGGGTATAGAAAATGTAAGAGATATGAATGCAAAGCAATCAGTATTTAGGACATTGACCATAGATTTCGAAAAAAAAAATGCTGCATATTGAGCGAAAACTATGATTATATTATAAGGCTGTCATTTAAAGCATAATGAAACTATTCCCTTTTCATTTTAATCGAATAAGATAGTAAAGATTTTTGAATTAGCTAGAAACTGATGAGATGTTTTCACAAATCAGATTTTTAATCTCTATAATGCATAATTCACTCAATATCTCAATTTTGATATTGCGAGATATTTTTGCTATCGGTTTCGCAATTTTGACACAATAGCAAGAGGGTTCTATATAAGGGTTTCGTTTTGCGAAAAAAACGTACAATACGCAATTTCGCTAAAAAAACATTTAGCTAGCAATTTCGACCTTTGACTCCACTCAAGACGTCACTTTTTTAATTTTGCGGTATCATATTTGTGGAAAATCTTTATGAATATTATATAAAAAGTCTCTTTAATATCTATATTTCATATTTTTATCGATTTTTAAAGTTTTTGCGAAAAGTATTCAATTATTTTTGCTATTTGGTCGGGTAAATGTCAGATTTGCGACATTTTCTGATATGATATTCAGATTCTACGTTGATAATAATGCTTATAGAACCCTCTTGCTATTGTGTCAAAATTGCGAAACCGATAGCAAAAATATCTCGCAATATCAAAATTGAGATATTGAGTGAATTATGCATTATAGAGATTAAAAATCTGATTTGTGAAAACATCTCATCAGTTTCTAGCTAATTCAAAAATCTTTACTATCTTATTCGATTAAAATGAAAAGGGAATAGTTTCATTATGCTTTAAATGACAGCCTTATAATATAATCATAGTTTTCGCTCAATATGCAGCATTTTTTTTTCGAAATCTATGGTCAATGTCCTAAATACTGATTGCTTTGCATTCATATCTCTTACATTTTCTATACCCACATCACTATTCATTGCTATTCCTATCTTTTTCATTTTTGTTTGTTTCTCATAATTTCTCAAAAAACACGATAACTTGATATTTGTAAATATCATACTTTATAACGTAAATAAGAACTTGACCTATTAAGAAAAGCAGTAATGAAAAGAAAATCTGAAATTCATAAAAATTACAAGTTTCTGATGACAATTAGCTTAATTAAACCAGGTACAAGATTATATAATTGTATTTTCTATCCAATTATCCATATAATATCTTATCCAGAAAAAATAACTTGATCAATACCAAATGATTTTTTAACTAGTAAATAAAGTATTTTCTTTACACACACATTGTATATCATAGTTTTTTTTTTGGTTTCGCAAAACATCCAAAAACAAATATGCTATAAAAGTGACAATTTTAGCAAAACGAAACCCTTAGATAAGGTTTATAATTGTATGAGCAAATACAATTAAAGTCATTTAATATTCTCCATTTTATTTGATTTTTTATAATTGCCTTCACTTCACTTTCTGCCAAACTTTTCAATTTTTCGCACTTAAAGATACTTTTTCCTTATGCTAGAATTGATATTTTTTAGAACAAACGTAAATAAAGCATTATATATTGAGCCAACTATCATATTCCAGTCCCGATCTTGACATTTGGGCAGATTTTTATGAAGATTCAGTTATCACTGAAGTTTTCACTGAAAATGAGAAATTCAATCCAACAAATGTAGGAAATTATTATGTTACAACATGTTTATTCAATGAAATTGAAGATGTTGTTGTCAATATAAACATTAATGATCAAACAAAACTTCTTATTTTCATTTCTGGATTCAATGGCACAAAAACCCCATCTCAAACAGTTAATTCTACATTAGGAAGTTGCGTTATTTATCGAACATGTGCCACAAAATCTATACAAAAATCATCTAATGAAGGAATATTTTTAAATTCAGAAATATTATACTCAAATACAAATAACAAAAATATTTTTGAAGATTCATCAGTCTTTGATTGTGGAGATTCAATAAATTCAGGGGAATCAATTAATAGATTAGCATATGGAAATCTTAGGTATGCAGGAAATAACGTAACAAATAATAAATGCTTAGAAGATGTTTCACTAAATATTTGGTCAATACAGGTATACAACATCAGTCATTCAACCTTCATTGATAACACAGCAAACTCTAGATGCTTTTATATCGGTTATAACGGTCCACACCAATTATATTTTTGTAATATCATTAGAAACATTGGTAGTCAATATTGTTTTATTTTACATGAAGCAGTTATTCGTTTTGAATTTTGTTCAATCAAAAATAATGATTGTGAGCAGACATTTTGGCTATATTCACAATGCTCAGCTACAATCACTAATAGTGATTATGATGGGCAAACATCAAGTGCAATAGAACTAAATCCAATAAACAATTACTACAATCAAATATCACATTTTTATACAGGACTTTGTGAGAATCAAGATAAGGGGAATTCATATTATAATAATTTTGCTACAACTAAACCCAAAGAAATTAAATATTTAGAAAAACTTCATTTCAAAAGAAGAAGATGACAATACTGAAATCAATAATGCTACATATTATACACGGAGTGAAAGATTTCTTTATTTACATTTAAAAAATAGATCATATAATTGCTATGAAGAAGTGTGACCTTATCGTATTAAACTTGAGGAATATAGTTTATTTGTTTGAGGAGATTCAGATGCTGATTGTTGACTTTGCTCTTCACATGAAGTATTATTAGAAGAATTAAGACTCATAGACTCCTAATAAAGATATTTGATGACTTGCTTCAGCAATAAACATAGTAGCACGTCCAGCATTGATTATGGAAATTTCTGCCTTGCAAGCTTTGGTCTTACTAATTAATTTGTCTCAATCTGTAAGTTGCTTCAAACTTGAATTAGGAATGAATATTGCGAAAATATGTAGCTTCGTGAACTTGTTATTAATTGCGATTTTGCCAAGAGAATTATTGGCACTCCTAATTTCTTGTTTTTATTTAAATTTAATCGTAATTAGATTGTATTTACTGTAATTAACAAAAAAAATAAACCAGTTCATAAATATTAGTTTAATTTTATCTTTTAAACACAAAATAAATCAAAAGCATTATGATAAGCATAATAGCTTTTGCTTAAATAGTTTAAATTTGCATAATAATAAACTTAAAAACAACTTTGAATAAAATTAATTTTTATATCTAATTAAAATAAAAGGAATTTTAAGTAATTTAGTAAATCTATTCAATTTTCGATAAGTTTATTTAATTTCAAGGTGTTAACGGCAGTAGTTTTGTTTAATAATAGTCCAAAAATGAAAAAAAGTTTGAAAAGTAATTGGAAATAGCGGAACATGATGACTAAATCAGCGATTTTAGTGAATCCATTAAGAGGTTATATACTTTTGGGTGAAAGCAAAGGATACTTTGTCTGACGGACAAATACAACTAAAATAATATGAAATGAGCGTCACTTTTCAGTACCATGAAGAGTATTGCAAATGCACAGATATTTGCAATTACTCATTCGGGGACATTCAAAGCCCACTCAGACTGGGAGAAGCAGAGGAAGACTGCTCTCTCGTCGATTGGACAATATCTTTTGAATCTGAATGAATCAGAATTAAATAATGTGTACTCTGAATGGGAAACAGGTATATTTGAAGATAATAATACCGAAGATATCGAAAAATCTCTATACTCGCTGTTTTTAATTTCACTTCTCCACTATTATAAGCGACTTTTCAATCAATCTAAAAAAGTATTCGATAAAATATTCAAATTCTTAGCATCAAAGAATCGAGAAATATGCAAAACAGCTTCTCGAGTACTTTACTATCTCGGAGAAGAAAATCCAGAAAATGCGCAATATTTACGCGAAACATTAGAGATGTCAAAGCAATTTCTATCTGTAAGCCAGCGAAATACCATGTCCTTCAATGCATTTTCAATAATTAGCGAAGTTGGACGATTTTTATTGCGAGATGTTTTTACAATTACTATGGGACATCAACCGGAAATATTCAATGCATCGATATCCAAGGACATAGAACTAGGTATCATTGCTTCCAAAGTAATGACAATTCATTTGGAAGCTTTGCCAGCTCATTCAAGCGAAACAATGGCAAGTTCCTTATTCCTAGATTATACAACAAGGATTTTATCGCATACTGCAAACTCTACACCTGGAATGATATTGATTTTGAGCTCAATTTACAAATTATACCCTCAAGCCGTAAAAATACCAGTATTAATTGACAGATTGATTGCAATATGCTCTGTTCCGAAGTCAGATGCTTTAATTGAAACCATGGATTTCCTAATTGAACTTGCAAATCAAAAATTATTTACTGTAGCACAAGCAAACCAATTATTACTCATTCTTATATCACAAATTACAAGCGGCAACACAGATAAGTCCATATTCGTGCGAATTATTGCATTTATTCAAATATTTCCACCACAAAATATTCCAGGTCCTTCAATTCTTCAATTAGTCTCATTTTTAATCTCGAACGAAAGCCGCGCGTCATTACATGATAAAGCTTTTAAAGTTTTATGCGTTCTTTTACGAAAGGTTAAAATTTCTGTTCCAAAGAGCTATTTTACAATCTTTTCGAAGCATTCGATCGAAGCATTATCATTATCCAACCTTCCGATCAGCCAATTCAAGGAAGAACTGCTTCGACAGTTCGGATTAGGACTAAATCCGAAAACCTCCATCCAAAAGCAGAAATTATCGCTTCGTATTTTATCCACGTTCAGGACCAAGTTATTCGAGAGCATGCCACCCCTTTTCGACGCTCTCCAGCACAATGCATATTCTCCGGATGAGAAATTACGATGTATGATGGTGAAAATACTTCCAATCTTCGAATGCGATGGTGCCATGGACGAGCTCGTCAGGATGGCCGCAATTGACACTTCCAAGCGCATCAGATTAATCGCATTGAAAAATATCACCGATGACGCCGTTATTCGTAATCCCTCCTTGATCGCACAGTTACTAGCAGATCCATCCTTCAAAGTTCGTCGCGCTGCAATACCCATTGCTGCTTCTGTCGCTGCAACATGTTCTGTTTTGACAATTCCGCGTGTTTTGACATTTACAAGCGATTTAATTGCATCGTGGACAGCATATTCCACTCCAAAGAGATCTGCTAGATTGTGCTCTTTGTTGCCATTGATTGCCCGTAATTTCGTACAGTTTTCTCCTCCTTTGGCCACAACTTTGACATATTTTTGTGTCAAATTACTTTTGGGAGAAATTCCACCCGGATCCACCAATTTCGACAACCTCAATGACTTAGTGCACAGAGAAATTGCTGCCCCACCTAAGCCACCTGTTGATCCGTACTCACAAAGAGTCTATTTCATTGAAAACCGCCATTTCATTGAAAAACGTGACGCTTATTTATTTGACACTTTGTCAGAATTAGCGAGTACATTAAGTCCTTATTTATATCAGATCATGCCTGCCTTTGTCAAAGCTTTTAAGAGTCCTGCGAGTGATATGCTACATCTAGCAGCATTAAACGCTTTGACATCTATTGCAATCAAGACGAAAATGTCATTAAACATCCCGAGAATGTTCCCTGACGTTCCTCGACAACTTTGTAATCTTTTGAATCATTGCTCTCAAAAAGTGGCAATTGCAGTATTGAAATATACCGGAACGATAGGAATTTCATCATCTTCAATTACACAACAGAAAGCGAGTGATGAAGTTGTTGAATGCAATGACATGAGGTCGCCAAGATATTACACACATTTCGTGATGAAAGCATTGATAGAAATGTTGAAAGAACCAATTTTACCGTTATTTACTGCAGCAACAACAATTTTATTGAATGAAACAAATGATTCCCTTATTTTCATGAAAGATTTAATGAAAGCGTACGCGAGTTCATTGGATAATGATAAGATAAGGCCAACATTATTTAATTATATCAATATGATCACTTATAAATGTGGAAGAAACGTTGAACCATTTATAGACATCATTGAACCATATTTGATTACATATATCAAAGAATTGGAATGTATTCAATTATGTGCAAGATTATCATTATCTTTAGTTTCTGAGTTCATTCCGACAGCTGCAAAGATATTCCCTTTAGTACTTGAACACGCGAGATCAACATCAGATAACAGATTATTTAAAGATACATTGAGATTACTGAATTTCTGTATAATATTCCAACGTCAAAATCCTGAAGAATATTTGGAATTCGCAGAAAACGTTGCCAAAAAAGGTGACGATATAAGAATTGCTTTTATTTTCAAGAGTTTGAGTTTGTTAGTCCAGAACTCAATGATGAATTTGTATTCTAGTAGATTGGCAAGATTATCTTTCTCTACAATACAAAGAAGGAATTTGAGAGAAGTACAACAATTGTTAATTAATTTGGTTGCATCAGGAGATTTAAGTACTCGTTCGATATCTGTAGCGATTAACGTGAAAAACTTGAAATTCCCAATCCAAGAAATAGAAAACGATGTCAATAAAATGGTAAATAACCAGATACCGTCTATTGACGCACCAAGAATGGAATTGCCCCCTGAAAAACAACAAAATTCCATTTTCCAAGATTTGACAAAACCGACATTTTTCAATGCAACTTTGTGGTTGGACGATATCTGTAAAAAAGCGGTTGCATCATCACCATCGATAGCTGTACGATGTTGCTTACCATTGATTACTCATTCACAGACATTTGCCAGTGAATTATTCATTGCTGCTTTCATTTCTTGTTGGAAAGAAGCGACTGAACAAGAGAAACTTAATTTCTCTCTTTCACTGAAAATGATCATTGAAAACGCATCACCTCTTGAACAGAGAATCATTGATTTCGCTCAAGCAGTCGACAGAGCAGGATTCCCTCTTCAAATCCCAGACGATGTCATTGCAAGAGGTTGCGACAACACTGCTTACAGATTGTACTTCTTACAAAGACAGTACATGAAAGAACACAAACCAGAAGTAGCCGCACAACTTCTCAAATTGAATACGAAGATGGGAAGAATGGAATCAGCAAGAGGTTTGTTGAGAGCTGTATCAAGTGAAATGGACTTTTCTTTAACAGGAAAATGGTTGATGCAGTTGAACGAGTGGGAATCAGCTTTGGAATTCTTTACTTGTTCAAATAATTTGGCAGGATTAATTCCTTGTTACGGACATTTGGAAATGTGGAACAGAATAACGATGCTTGAAAAAGATTTCAATAAAATGGATGAAGAATCTCAATCGAGAGAAGCGCTTTGGTTTGCTTGGGCTTTTTATCATTCGAAAGATAAAGAAAAAGTCAATTATTATCTCTCGAAATTCAACATGAAAACACTGAACCAAATCACTTTTGCCGCCATTTATTATACAAGCAGTCACCAATACGACAAAGCAGAAACAATCATTGAGAAAGGTTTCCAAATGATTGCAGATGAAAGAAAAGTTTTCTCAGGCGGAGATGGAAGAAGAGCTTCTGCTAATTTGGCTTGTGCACAACATTTAGTTGAACTCAGTGAAGTTCTACAAGTAAAGAGAGGACAAATGACAGATATCACTGAAATATGGAAGAATCGACTTGAAAACTTTTCTCATGAATCTGATTCATGGATGTTAACAAGTGAAATCAGATCATTGATTTTGAGTCCAAATGATCATTTGGACAGTTATTTGAAGATGTTACGTGTTTTGAGACAAGAACGACAATGGAGATTGGCTGATTCACACTGCGAAAGGTTCTTCAATGAGAAAATGCCTCCAAGAGTTTTAGTTGAACAGTTGAAGATCATTTGGGACAGAGGAAACAGAAAGAAAGCTGTGTCAATTGCTTCATTGATTAATGACAAAATTGCAGGAATTAAAAACAGCCAGGATGAAACAGAAGAAAACCTCCAATTCCTGAGTAATTTATCTGTTCCTGTTGAGTCATTCAACAAAGAAACACAATCGAGATTACTGAGATTGCAAGCAACATGGCAATACCGATTATATACATCAAAAACATCAGGTGCAGACTCATTGAAACAAATTTGCAACTTGTTCAAAAGGGCGAATGATTTAAGACCAAATGATCCAAAGATATGGAGTGGATGGGCATATACATCATCAAGAGCTCTTTCACATTTCCCAGAACAAAGAGCTAAGTTCGCAGAGATGGCAATGACAGGATTCCTCAAAGCAGCGAAACTCAGTCCAAGTGAATCTTTCGAATACATGTGTCAAACATTCTCTATTTTCTTCAGATTCGGTGCAGAAACAGGAATTTCAGATTCATTGAGAAATGAATTCGAAACTCTTCCTTCATCAACAGTAAACATGATTGTTCCACAAATTGCTGTTCACATTGCAGATGTCGACGAAACAATCAGAGCAGTAGTTCAAAAGATAATGATTCGTTTCGGCGATCAGCATTTCCAAGCAGTTGTTTATCCATTGAATGTCTTGAGTTTGATCCAAGACAAAGACAAAGCTGCAATTGCACGGGATGTTTTAGAGAATCTTGGAATGAAACAATCACACATGTACAATGAAATCAAACTGTTCATTGACGGAATGCATCGCGCAGCAGTTTCATGGAATGAACTTTGGTTGACAGGTTTAGACAATGCATCACGAGCAAATGGAATTGGTGACATCGAACAGAGTTACCAAGTCATCCAAGGTTTGTTCGACATGTTAGAAAAACCACAGTGTCAAATGGATCATCAATTCATCAAAACAATGGGTCCACAGATATCAAGAGCGAAAACAATGTTTGAACGTGCAAAAACTAATGATGAAAACAGCATCAAAATGATGTGGGCCGGCTTCAAAGAAATCTATCAAAGCCTTAATGATAAAATGAAACACACTGAACAGATCGATTTGAACAACGTCTGTGAAGAACTTGCTAACAAAAACGATTTTGAGATTGCGGTTCCAGGTCTTTACTCCGTTGAAGGACAGAGCCAAACTCTCCGCCAGATCGACAACATCCTTGGAGTTATGAGTACACAACAACACCCGAGAACAGCTTGGATGTCCGATGCGCAAGGAAACCGATGGAAATTCCTCTTGAAAGGTAACGAAGATTTGAGATTGGATCAAAGAATCATTCAGTTTTTCATGTTGATTAACTCAATGCTTCGATCTTCAAGAGCTACAAGTGATTTAGGTGTTTCAATCGTTGAATACTCAATTGTTCCTTTCGCTCCTAACGCTGGATTCATTTCATGGGTCACAGGCGCAGATACATTCCAACAGTTAGTTTCGGAGTACAGACAAAATCGAGGAAGTGGACGAAACGCAGAGAATGAAGTAACGAACACATTAGTTGGTCCATTATTTAATTCATTGAATGCATTGCAGCGATATGAGATATTTAACCATGTTGCAGAAGCAACTAATGCGAACGAAATCAGAGAAATGCTTTGGTTACGATCTCCTGGTGCTTCATCATGGATACAAAGATCGAACTGTTTCACAGTTTCAACAGCATTGATGTCAATGGCCGGATATGTCATCGGACTTGGAGACAGACACCCAAGCAATATCATGGTTCAACGACACACAGGAAGAGTTATTCACATCGATTTCGGATTCTCATTCGAAGATGCGATGAACAGAACTTTGTTCCCCGAACGAGTTCAGTTCAGATTGACAAGGATGATTGTCAACGCTTTGGATGGTGGTTCTGTCAGCGGATTGTTTAGGAAGACATGCGAAGATGTCATGTGGGTTTTGAAGAACGGAATGAGCAGTGTCATGAGCCAGTTGGAAGTTTTCGTTCACGAGCCCATTTTCTACGGAAAAGAAGCTAAACCAAGCGATGCAAAACTCAGAGGAATTCTCGAAAGAGTTGCATCAAAACTTTCTGGAATTGATCAAGATGGAGAAGAAAAAGATGTCAAAGCTCAAGTTGATTCATTAATCAAAGTCGCTGCCGATCCAAAAGAATATTGCAGACATTATATTGGATGGTGTCCATTCTGGTAATATATATTTTGTATTTTTTTTATAGAGAAAAAAAGATTTTTTTTTATTTTTATTCGGATTTTTAATTCTGATACTTTTCATGTCAGAAAATGATTTACATCTTTATGTTTTATTTATGTTTGGATATATATTTAAAAATATTATCTTTTAATATCAATCAGTTTTTCCCACATCATGGTTGAGTATATTCGTACAAATTAAATGAATTATTAAGAAAAGTCGATTATATCTCTTTATCATTCATATGCAGAAGATTAACAATCTTTCCATCTATATAATTTAGTACAAAAGTATTTACATATAACATTCTGATATCTCTTTTAAAAAATTAATTTGAATAGAATTGAAAACATCATTCAAAATTGTGAATCATAATTTTAATGTTTTGAATGAATTGTATAAATTCTAATCTGATCCATTCTCTCATCTATATCCCCATTTGTTGCTATAAACTGTTATTTTCATATGTTTCTGTTTTTAAATAAAAATTATTTTATTTTTTTCAAAAAATGGAAATGTTATAACAATAATCTGTTTCTAGTTAGTATTTTTGTTCTGTTGTTCAAACCAGCTAAGAGCAGCAGCCATTGATTCTTCGAGAATTTGATTACAATCGTTCAAATTGCATGCATTGCCTTCTGCATATAATATTGCCTTTGTTGCAGTGATTAATCCATTAATATCTTCATTGTCAACTGCATTTGGATCTTCTGCATCGTAAATATCTGATTTCAAGCCAACAATAACAATTGGGAAGTTTGCAGGGCATGCATAAGAGAGGACTCTTCCTATAGAGTTTTTATCTGTTAAATCAATGGTAATAAGAAGGATGTTGCAGCCATCTAAAGTTAAATTTCTTAATTCATCACATCCATCGTATTGTTCGCCAATACAAACATTCCAAAACCGTTCACAAAGCTTTAAAATGGCTCGTGATTCTGAGTAAAACGTTGGCTCATTTGTTCCACCACATAATGTATTTCTAAACGCAGTTTTACCAGATCCTGGAGGACCCCATAAGCATACTTTGAAATTGCTGGCATCAGATGGATGTGGATCGTCGCAAGAGTCTGGATCGAATAAGATCGGAATTAAAACGTTTCTGACGAGTTTTCGAATGTTTACATCATCGCGAGATGAAATTTTGTAGTATCTGTTGATGTAATTTACTGAAACAAACTGTTTAACAGCATTAAATGGAACAGTTCGATCTGAAAAATCACCGTTAGTTCCAACGAGGATTTTTGTAATATTAGGACGTACTCTGTTGATTTCTGTCACCCAATTTCCTATTTTCGAGAACGATTGATCTGCCAATGAAAAACAGATAATAACGAAATCGCAATCTCTGTAATATTTCGATCTTAAGTCAGTAGAATTGATTCCTCCACCAATTTCAACAATTTCTAAGTCTGCTGTTTGGGCTCTATATGCATATTCTTTTGAATGAATGTTAATGATTGTTGGTATATACTCTTCGAGGAACTCTTTATGAAGAATTCTTTCAATCAAAGCAGATTTGCCGGTTTTCTCATCGCCAACAACAATCACCTGACGTGTTGGCATTTGATTGTTTAAATAAAATGATTCTAAGTACTCACTTTTCTTTAGCATTTGGAATCTTCTAATGTTGTATTCCATGTGTTTAAAGTACTTTTTCAAAAACACTCTTTTTAGCAAAAAATTACATTTGCAAATTTTCTCAAGCAATGTTTGTCATAATGTAATGACATAAATGGAATCTTAACACATGATTCGAGATAATTTCATATTCTGGAAATATATTTAATAGCAATGGAGCTAGAATTCAGAGTTTAAGCAAATTACTTTCCTAATTTGATTATATAGTTTATGGCTATTTGTTATTCAATAGTTTGGGGAGTTTTTATTATGAGACTTTGATACATTTTGTGAATACTAAATTTACTTTTTTTCTGGCGAGATATTTGTTTTCATTCTGAGTAAATATATTCATTATATATTTTAGTCCGTTTAGGTGCATAATGCCATATGAAATTTCCTCTTCCACTTTTTGGTTGAGATGATAGAAGCATTTAAATTACCTCATAATATGAATACTCTCTCAATTTTGAATAGATTGCCTTGATGTGAATTTTTTCTTTTGTCTAAACAAAGACTCTCCACAATGTTGCTAAAATAAAATGCAATATGTATTATGAAATATATATGTTTTATTCGATTTTTTAGTAATGTCCCCCGTTTGTTGCTAAAAAAATCTGCCAGCTAAAAAAACAGTTATTTCCCCTCAAAAAATGGCAAATCTGGTAGTTTTGGGTATCGCCCCCATCTAAAATGAGTATTTTTTTGACACTCGAGTGTCAAATTCAATGTATTGGCTCAAGAGTGAGGTTGATTCCAGACTTCAATATGAGCAATTGAATCACATATGTGATCCCGTGTTAACCCATATGGTTTTGTCTGGATCTCAAGAAATCTTATCAGATAATTTCATTCAAACTCAAAATTTCGTAGAATTAGTATGGTAACATTCATTCCTTGCCCAATTCTATAATGCTCATTCATTTTTTTTATTGGTAATAAACTATTTTACGAATTCTTTATTTCGCGTAAGGAATTACGAGTTTACACTGCTAGAAATTCTTTATCATTGTAAATTATGTAATTCTTGTACTTCAAATTAGAATCTAATTTTTTATAATTTAAATTTTATCATCTTCACTCAAATTCATAAAAGCATCACAAACCACCTTTTAGAACCTTCGATACGACATTCTACAAAACACTTTTTGTTAAATTCCTAATATACGAATAAATGCAAATTTTTCCCATTTTTTATCTTATTTAAACAAATATTACTGAATGTAATCTTATCTATACTTCGAGAATATTGTATATTTCTGATTGCTTTGAGATAAATTAGGATTTTAAGCTCAATTTGGATTTGAAATTTACCACAAAATTGCATTCTCAAATAATTATGATAATGAGTGACATATATGATAGTAGTCTAATTCAAAAATCATATTATTTTACTTTAGATTATAAATAAAAAATATTAAAATTTATTAAGCCACTATATGAAAATGATGTAATAAATGATATTTCTATATAAAATTAAATTGATTTGTCGATTTAATTTTGACTTAATCCATACATTCTCGTTTCAAAATTAAAATATAAGTTAATTTTTAAAATTTTTTTCCAAAAAAAATTAATTTATAAAATTTGTGGCTTGTCCACTTCACTTTGATCTATCCTTTTTAGCTTTCGTAATTTTTTTGGAAACACCAAGCATGCAATCAGACAGAACAGAAGAGACTCCTAGATAGCATACCCAACGCCTACTCAAGATCAGCAACAAAAACAAAACTTTTTCACATATTATTCAAATCATTCACCCGAAACTACAAAAATTCCGAAGAACTTAGCGATAATACATATACAGAAACAAAGTAAATACAAAATTACCTCATAACTTTCGAAACAACCTAAAGAAAAAACAAATTTTGCAATAATAGTATACAAAAGAAAATACAAAAACAGAAGATGAGAAGAACACAATAAGAAGAGAGGGAAAACAAAAGCATTCGGCGCCAGATCAAAAAAATACATGTGCCGACTTGGCTAGATTATGCTATTCAATCTCGAGCTCAAAGAAGAAATCGAGACTCGAGCTTGAGGGAGATAAAAATATACTAAGTAAATTACCTATTTGTATCATTGTTGTTTGAATAAACTTAATTTTTAGTCTTAAAAACAATTTTTTTAAAAGCTCATTGAGTGTCAAAATAAATTGTAAACATCACAATTTTTTATGCCTTCCAAAATTCTTTTTAATCCTTGTGCAATCGCATTAAAATCATATGCTATTTCTATATTAAAGTTTTCATTAATTTTTAGGAAATCCGAATTTTTTTTGCTTCCAAAAAAAGATTAAATTTATGATATATCGAAAGAGAATCAGAAATAGAACATATATTATAGGTATGAGACAAAAAACGGAAGCCCCATTCAAATCTCACGTTTCTGCCATTAGCAACCCCTAAAATTTTTAGCTAATTTTGGGGGACATTATTGAAGGTCTATCTTTTACTATGTAGGTAATTAATTTTAAAAAGATCGCTACGTTTCTCACTAAATGCAAACTCAATATATGTAAGTAGGAAAATTCTAAGTGAATATGCTAGGGTTCATAAAAGACGAAAAGTGGAAGATTTCCTGGTTTTTTGATAATATGGCTTAATTTTTGCTGTTGATTTTGTAACATGCATCTATCCAAAGATAAAATTTAGATAAAACTGCCATTTTTTAATAAAAATGATTGACCTGATTTGATGAAAAATTATATTACCCAATAGATTACTAGACCCAACAAAAGGCAGTTCGAAATATAAGGTAAATAGCTCCGCAAATACACATATCTTCGATTACCCTTGTGAATCATATTCTGATTGCACCGAATATGTCATTGCATTGCGTCCAGCAGTTTATAAATTCGAGCTATATGGGGCATCAGGAGGTGCTGCCAATGGATATGTCTCATCATTTATCGATAGCAATGGTAATTGTGTTCCTGATGAATTTGTTCAAACTCTTAATGGAAATGCTAGGTGCCGCAAGGTTGGAAACCGTGGAGGTGCAGGTGGCTACATTTCCGGTGTGATCAAGATCACACGCCCAATAACCGCTTTTGCAACGATAGGCGGCCAAGGAAATTTTTCCTATAATGTGAAGTATGAAACGTTTGATGTTGATAAGATAATTAAAGGAGGCTATGGTGGTGGAGGCTATTCCTTTAATTTCTATTCTTCCGAGACCAAATTCGGGGCAGGGAGCGGAGGCGGCCAAACCGCCGTCAAATTTCTTGAAAACGATTTATGGCACCGCGTAATTGTGAGCGGCGGTGGCGGTGGGGCTGATAATGTTGACGAGGGAAACAACTATATGGGTGATGATGACGGCTCTGGAGGTGCAGGAGGCGGCCTTGTTGCACAGACCTATTGGAGCAATGGCCATTATATTTTTTCCAATCCTGCTAATTCCACTTTTGGCTTCACTTTTGGGTCTGGTGAATCTGCTCAGGAAATTAAATCTAAGAGTGACTATGGCGTTAAAGTAGCTACTGGAGGAAGAGATAGATCTGGTGCTGGTAGCGGTTGGTTTGGAGGATTTGCTAGTCAATTTGGAAATGCTGGTTCAGGTGGTGGGAGTTCGTGGGCTTTGTCAATGGATGCTGAGATTCCAAAGGGCAATATTCCCGCAAAAGGACCTTTCTACGACCAACCTGACAGCAAAAAATATTTCTTCTCTTTAAGTGATGGATTTATTTTTACCGATGTTAAATCATTTCCTGGAATACGAGAAGGAAATGGCAGACTTGTCATCACAATACTTCAACTCATCGAGAAGCCATCATTGAGATCGATTTGCTACTTGAAATTTGGCTTTGATATTTTATTTATTCAATTGATTTCACAAACTTAATCATAATAAAAATCTAATCCCAAGCTGAATTAAAGCTGAGCACATTTTAATCTAACTCTTTCGTATATTATCCGGTTCTAACATAATCAATCCAGAAATAATAATTAATTTTCAAGATAATTGTTCAATTAAAGATCTTAAAATTTGCGAATTAATGATTCTGATGATTTCACTCCTTATGTATGAAACGAAATTTGCATGAAACATAATTTGGGCTAAAATTTATGATGAATTGAAAATTGAATATTAAACCGATCACAACTTCAATATTGATTGAATTTTGGCGATCGGCTATCGGTGATTTAATTAAATTATTGTACTTTTAACTTAGAGCATTTTAATTTACAAACGATCATGAGTCCTATAATGATCGTATAATCATTCAATTTTTGAATTTCTTTTCAATATTTTAAGTAATATCACTTATTTTATAATCATTAGTAAATTTTCTACAATGATTTCATCAGCACTAGAAGAACTGCAACAAGCATTTGTTTCCTTCACTAAACAAACAATGAACAGCTATTACGCCGAGTCTAGTGAACAAAAATCAGAAAAAAAAATAGATATGAAACCTATCAATGAACCGAACACCATTGTACGAATAGAAAATAAACGGAATAAAACTACATCTCAATCTGTTATCACTGGCTCCCTCAAATTACTAATTAATTGCTTAAAAATTATTGCTCCGATCTTTCTTGGAATTTCCATTTTATTGTTTTCATATTCGTTATATAAATTCTGCGCATCTATCAACATTAAAGAAAATTTGAAGTATATTATCTTCACACCTATTGCTTGTATCTTCTTGTTGATGTGCCGAAGAGTATTTGTATCCAATGGAATAGATATGACTGAGTTTAGAGAAGATATTAATGTAAAATAATAAAAATGCTTTGTATTAAACTGGTTTATGCAAATAATAACTCTGGTTATTTAGTATATTCATATATTCAAGGCAATTTAGAAAAAGTTATCTGGTAATTTCGGATAAGTTATCCTAAAATTTAAAGCCTTGCTTTTTCACCCTTTAGTTAGCTTTATGATTATCTTTGGTATATTTAATATAAAAGCATTACATAGAGCTAGCTATAATAGGAATTCTGACGATAGAAATATTTTTGTAAAGAAACGGAAAAAATGACAAATTGATCTGACTTGACAAATCTGAATAGTTACATATCCAGATTAATTTATTGTATGATATGAGAAATTGAATAGTATCTGAATAATTTGTAAATTCGAATAATGCATAAAAACAATCAGTATATAATAACAGTTTTTGATAATATTTTTTTGTCAACCGTGCAATGAGTACTTTACAAAGTCCTCACAAAATGTCTGATTTGATCTTGAAAGAAGGAAATGCAAGGAAAGAAGGAGGCTTTATTAAGTCCATCAAGTCAAGGTGGTTTGTTCTAACCTATGACTCCTTAAATTATTATGAGAAAAAAGATGGTGCGCTTAAAGGGACGATCAAATTCGAAGCTAATTGTACTGTTGATTGGGATAAAACTTTCAAAATCCAGCCAGCTTTGAAATTATTCTCTCCTTCAAAGAAAAGAACTTATCACATCTGCCCAGAGACTGAAAATGAAACTGATGATTGGATCTCTATCATTAGAACTGTGATTTACATCCATAAAGGAACACTAAGTCCTGCTCTCATACAGAACTTACCATTATTTTTCCAAGTTTACATTTGGCCAACCGAAGAACTTTGGCATCTTTCAGCTTCTAAGGTTCAGCATGCTACAAAAACTTTCGAAGAGCTTCTACAAACCAAGAAATTGACACCAAAGCAAGTCTTTTCAATGATTGGTGCCATAGCCGCGGCAAATACTCATAATGTGGTATATTATGCAAATTTGTGTCAAAATATAATTAAAGGCATGAAGTTAACATTAGATACAACTCATTTCACTCGAGGCAACCGCTTAAAAGCAATTTTAATTCTTCGTAATTTAATTCAAGGCAAAATTGTTAAGAAATACGAAGGAAAAACCGAAGAACAGATTTCTGATGTTTATGAAAAAGGTTCCCATCTTTATGCCTTGTTTTGGGACAAAAAAGATGATTTTATTGCTTTTCCGCCTTCAGTTGACAGAGAAATCGAAGCTATTACCGAAATGACAACGATAAACTGTGCGGCCAAGTTCGGCTCTACATCTATTTTCAAATTCCTTCTCGAAGAAAATCATGAAATGTCAGAAGAAACGTATAAATACGCTTTTAGAGGCGGCTCTACTGAAGTCATCGATATACTACACAAAGAAGGTGTCAAACCTCCAAACAAATGGAAAAATTTAGCCGCAAATTATCATCTCAACGAACTGATCGACGAAACTCCAGATTCCGAAGACGAAGATTACTCATTTGATTCTGCTCTCAAGCGATACAATTTTACAGCCTTTTTCGACAAAGTATTTCGATACAAAGATTTTGATTTGGTCGATAATGAATCGGGAACTGCTCTTTATACTTCTCTCAAGTATAATCTTCCGATTTTCGTCCCGATTTTTGCAGAACTCCAATCAAAACTTGACATCAAATGCACAGGTAGTAAATCTTCACTTATGATCGCTTGTGAGAAGAAACAATTCGAAATGGCACAGTTCCTTATTGACAAGAAGTGCAATATCGAGTTCAAAGGACCTTCCCAAATGACACCTTTAATTTTATGTGCCAAGAAAAATAATTTGCCAGCTGTCAAATTTTTATTAGAACATAAAGCAGAAGTGAATGCATGTACATCAACAAGAATGACTGCTTTATCATTTGCAGCTGATAACGGCAATGCTGAAATGGCACAGTTACTTATAGAACACGGTGCGAATGTTGATTATTCCGATGACAAAGAATATACACCAGCAATTTTCGCAGCGATTAAAGGACACATTGGAGTTCTCGAACAATTATTACACGCAAAGTGTAATCTAAAGATGGTGGATTATCCACAACGCGGAAGTCCTCTTATGCATGCAATTATGAATGAACACGTTGACGCTGTAAAATTGTTAGTTGTTTCAGGAAGTTATTTGAACCAGTTTGACAAGAAAAAGAGAAATGCTTTGATCATTGCTATGGATGTTGGTAACCAGGAGATCATTGACTTCCTTGTCCCTAATTATCCAAAACTTGATGAATTATATTACGCAGGATTTCCTATTATTTTCTTCGCGATCGAAAAGAAACAATATAATATCATCAATGTTGTTTTAAACTCTCCGAAATTCGATCCAACGGTTAAAAAAGATGGTGATACACCACTAAACGCTGCTGTCAAAGCAAATGATAAGATAAGTACTGAAATGTTGTTGCAAAGAGGTTGTTTGGTTGATGAACCTAATGACCAAGGACTGACACCTTTGATGCAAGCAGCTTTAAACGGAAATTCCGAAATCATTGAATTGTTAATTAGATTCGGAGCGAACTGTAATGTTTATGATGTAAAAGGAAATACACCATTGATATTATGTATCCATCAATTTGCGAATAATTCCGCAATTATGCTGTTGAGATCTGGAGCGAATTTCAATCAGCCAAATATGGAAGGTTTGTATCCATTAAACATCGCAGTTTTGAAGAAGAATGTTGATATGGTTAAAATACTTTTGCAATGCGGAGCAAATCCAAATAGTACTGATTATTTGGGAAATACTCCTTTGATGCATTCTGTTGCAGCTAATTGTCCGGAAATCACTGAGATATTACTCAATGCAAACTGTGACTTCCAATTCCAAAACAAGGCTGGTTTCGATGCTTTGAAATTGGCAAAACAAATGAATAACGTCAAAAGTGGCAAAGTTATTGCTGATTTCAAATTAAAAGTGACAGGAATGCTCGATCCACAGTATCAGGAATGGATAAACGAGGAAGAAAACAAGAATGAACAAATTGAAATTGAAAAACTGAATTCATCAAACGGATTGAAGAATCTACAGTCATCAAGAGGATACCAGAGAAGAAGAAGAGAAGAAACATCTTCTTCGGAATCTCAATCAGAATCAGATTCGGAATCATCTGACTCTGATTAAAAATAGATATATATTATATATAATATTGTTTGTCACGTTATCTATTATATTTTGAATCCATCCTTTATGGGATGAATATGAAATATATTATAAAAAAATATTTTTAGAGTTTAAATATTAACTGATTTTTAATTATTAACAATGATAATGGATTGTATGTCGTTCTTAATTTGTAAATCTGAAATCAAATGGATGATATGAAATTTAAGTTATTGATTTGGTATTATATTCATAAAATGTAACTGGTATTGGATTAGAAGAGATTGTCTGAAGGTTACGACTAAAAAAATTATCATGAAACACTCAAAGTTGGCAGTTCTAAAAAATCTTGCATTTTTTATAGATGAAATTATTAATTAGCAATTTGCCTTTTCAAATTGATATAAGATAATGAAGTAAATCAATGATTCAAAGATTTTGAGAAATATATTGTGATTATACAATAATTTAATGAAATATATTTGTATGATCATGATTTTAAAGGCCAGGATACTCACTTTAAAGGAATTAAAGCCGCTAAAGCCAAATAAAAATTATATTAAAAAAAATCATTTCAATTTTTGAACAAGATAATGAATATTGTTTATTCAAGGTTCTTCATAACTATGTCATTCACATCGGCGATGTCATTACGGAATCTTTGAATCTCATCTTGAGATAACTTGTCAGAGCTCTGTTTTGTCTTCAAAATGTTCATCCATGTCTCTACCTTAGAGTTTGCCACCTGTTGGCAGTTGCTTGGACAAACACGCATTAAGTAAATCTGTAATGAAATTAAAGAATCTCTAATAGTGCCTACAACACCTTCAGCACTATCAGAAGCTGTAACAACTGAGTCACCGAACATGTTAACATCTTTATGTTTAGGTTTATTCTTTGGATTATTTCTAGCTAATTCTGAGATGTAATCTAACGCTAAATCTGCATCGAGTTCGCATGCAAGTGCAAAATCATTAATATCTGTAATATCAAGTTTAGACATTTTTAATGATTCCATGAATTGATTGGTTAATTTAGGAAGAAATGTATTCTTTTGATCTTCGTCAACGTTACCGTTCGCAAATTCTTCTAATAAAACTTGTAAAGCTTGGATTGCACCAAATAAATAAGCACAACCGGCTTCATTTGCTGGTGAGAATTTGAATGGAAGAGGTTGCTTTGGTGGAGGAAGATATGAGCGTGTAGGTTTCATTGCTGGTGGAATAAATTGTCCTGAGTAATTCCTTGAAGGTCCTGCATTAACTGGTTGATTATTTTGAGGAACTGCTGGTTTTTGTTGCATGTTATATTGCGGATTTACATTTGGATATTGAGCAAATCCTCCTGGTTGACCAGGTTGTTGAGGATATTGCTGAGGCTGTCCTTGATTTGGATAATAACCGTATTGTGGTGCTTGTTGATACTGACCCATCTGTGGGTATTGAGGCTGTTGATAACCTCTTGGAGGTTGACCGTATTGATTTGGATAACCTGTATTAGGGTATCCCGACATGATTAAAAAAAAATTGTCAAAAAAAATTTTTTTTTCTCACCGTAAACTTGAAAAATAAAAGATTTGCGATTTTATTAAAAATATTATATCTTTATCTTGAATATTCCAATTTTCTCGCTTGAATATATCATCATTCCTATGATCAAATCCAAAGATTCAGAAAATGAAGTATATCGATTGCATTATTAATATAACCTTTGTGTACATCAGTAGTATGACTAGATTTTGAGGCACTTCAGCTTTAAGCTTACAGAATTAAAATTCAAGATTAACGCATAAAGAGAAAACAAGAAATTGATATTGAAAAAGGTTGTACTATTGAAACTCTGTTTTATAACATGACCATGCACTAATTTGAACCCAGATTTTCAGGAACTTTGAAAAAAAACGTACGAAATACAACTAGATGTTCAGGGATAAGTATCAAGCAGGTTTCTTAAATCTCTTCTACTCTGTTGGATCAAAGCCCCTTAGCATCTGGGAGCAACATGTAGAAAATGGATACATTAAAAGATTAACAGACCCAGATATTAGATCATGCGTTCTCGAAATTGTTAGTACAACTGTCAACAATACCTATATTACATGTCCAATAGATCCAAAGGAGGAACTTGCTATTAAACTTCCTTTCTTGGTCTTGGTTTTAAAGTATCTTAAGAAATACTTTACTTTCGAAATCCAAGTTCTCGATGATATGAACATGAGGCGTAGATTCCGTGCCTCTAACTTCCAATCCAAGACGCGTGTCAAGCCTTTTGTTTGCACACTTCCAATGAGACTTGATCCAGGATGGAACCAAATTCAATTCAACTTGAGTGACTTTACACGCCGTGCTTACGGTACAAACTATATTGAAACACTTCGTGTTTCTGTTTACGCAAATTGCCGTGTCAGGCGTATTTACTTCTCTGATAGACTTTACACAGAAGATGAAGTTCCACCAGAATATAGACTCATTCCAACTAAGCCAGAAGGCGAAGAGTAGATTAATTCCTAAACTATTTATTTTATTTATGATTTTCAATGTCATATTTCATAATAGAAATATGTCTTTGTATTATTATTAAAATTCAATATACTCCTCTGTAAAAAATAAAAAGAAAGTTATTAATATTAAATATTTGTTTAATTACGCTAATTCAGAAGGTAAGAACTTCCGATTAGAGGTTATAAGTGTAAAATTTTGAATAGAAAGAAGTCGAAAATGAGTTTTAATGAAACTTCAAAATATATTTCTGAAAAAGCTTGTAATAGTTCTTTTTCTATATCTTTTGGATGCAATTATATGATCCGTTCGTGCAAGCATCATGAAATTTGATGATGCAAAATTCAAGTATTTTTAAATTTATAAACATACAGTAATACTTGTAAATATGCTGTGTTTTTGCATGGTTAAATGAAACATGTTGATATTTTCTTTGGAATTAAAAATAATTGATAGTTAATTTGGAGAATTGTCGTTAAGTAACTCACAAACTAAATATTGTCTTTTATCTCCTTCAATAGTGCTGTTAAGATCGATTGGTACTCCATCTTTTATTAATCGAAATTTCTCTGAGTAATTTTTGTCTGGTTTTGAAAGCATATATTTTACAAAGTCAGATACGTACATGTATTTCGTGTCCTTTTTAAACCATTCAAATATTGCTTGTTTGTTTGGAAGTTCAATCATAATAAAAAAGTTATCATCAAGCAATTCGTCTCTTTTTGGTAAATGGTTATAAAACTCTATTCCAGTTTTCAATGAAATTTGGTCTTCAGTTTTAGTTTCTACTTTGAAAAGAGGTTCAACCTCGATGATTGGAAGCATTATTAGAAAATGAATTTAATATATGAATAAACTTGATTAGTAATACCATGTACAATGTGGGCAATATTCAACTTATGTTATCTATGTCTGTGTATGGAATGCTAATTCTTGAAAAATAGTTTGATATTTATAACTTTTATCTGGCTGAACAACTATTTTGGATGTATGACGTCCAAAATAAATGATTATATTGAATAGATACCAAAAAAATTAATGAAACATATTAAACTTTGAAATTTTAAGGGAAACTGTGAAGAAATGATATAGCTATGAGGTTACCTGATTGTCCTATTAATCATTTGTGCACCATTTAGCTTGAAATTGCTATTAAATCAATACTGGAACTACAAGAATTTTCTGAATATTTTTCAAAATTTTTTTTAAAAAAGTTAATTATCTAAAATTTGAGGGTACGAATAAGAATATTATGATTCTAAATATGACATTATATTTAAGAATAGCTATTCTAGCAATTGACATCAATAAAAACTTAGTTTATATGATTTTTGGAAAAAAAGTTCAAATCTCATGAAATATTATGACATCAATGTAGTGAACTACAAAATCACAGGCGAGCAATACTATAGCCTTCTTATTGAAATATGATCCAAAATCACCGATATGGTACATTCAAATAGAATCTAACCGTTTTTCAATACAAAAAGTTTTTTGATATTTTTTTTTACAAAAAAATTTTTCACCGATGCTAAGTTTTCTCCTGTGCTTATCTAAAAGTAAAAAAGTTACTGTTGATATAACATGCAATAACGCAACATGCAATAAAGAAATTCTTGACACGACATCTTATGCAAGATACGACAGAATGGCAGTAACAATGAAAATGACAGGCTGGAAATTGAAATCAAACTATGACATCAAAACATTTGCTTCAGCAACAGAAACAAACAGTACATACTTTGATTATGTCGAGAAATACATGAGATTTTATCCAAAAGTTGATGAATTAGCACTCCTCCAATGGCAAGATGAAAACAGAACTATGTCCAGATTGTTCAATAGTACTGTTCTTTTATATGTCGGTGATAATATTTCAAGCACAGGCGAATCTGCATATCGTCCATCAGGTTATCCTAATTACACAACACAATTTTACAGTGTCAGAGTAATCCTTGATAAGGGTGTTATCAACACAGCTGAGTATGATCCACTCTTTTCAACATCTTCCTGCACAGCTGAAATTAATGACCAGGATGCACCAAAGTTACAATATCGCTGCTCTAAGAAATCACCTATAGTCGATGAGTACGCTGACAACAATACACAGTTAATCAGAGTTTTCCTTGCATTTGGCGGAACTGATTCAAAGAGCGTCCCATGCGAGTCGCTACAGTTTTTACCATCAACATTCGTCAAGTTCGGTGTTACAGATGCAGTCAATTCTATAATTAACACGTTCAATAATGCCAAGGATTGGGTTACTGATCTTTTCTCTGTCTGGTAATATATTTATTGTTTTTCTCAAAAGTCTATATATAAATTTACTTTTTTTATTTATTAATTTTATTAATTTTATTTAAAAATTATATAATTTAGAAATTTTCAACATTCTTCAAATTGCATTCGATCTATATATGAAGTTTCTTCTTTTTATTTATTAATTTTATTATTTTATTTAAAAAATTTAAAATTTAGAATTTTTCATCATATTTCAAATTGCATTCGATCTGTACATGAAATTTCTTCTTTTTATTTATTAATTTTATTATTTTATTATAAAAATTTTAAAATTTAGAATTTTTCATCATTCTTCAAACTGCATTCGATCTACATATGAAATTTCTCTTTTTTATTCATTAATTTTATTATTTTATTTAAATAAAAAAATTATATAATTTAGAATTTTTCATTATACTTCAAATCGTATTCGATCTTCAGACTAGATATTTCAGGGTAAGTAGTATCGAGCTGGTGTTTTCCGTTTTCTTTCTTCTTGCATCCATCTTCGTCAGCTCTCATTTCTCCGCAGCAAGACCAGTTGTAGATTGGAATTGGGTTTCCATCTTCATCAACTTCGTCTTCATCAAACTCTTCCATTTCGCCATCTTCAATTGGAATTCTTTGGCCTGGGTGATAGTAAAGGAAACAGTTATCATTTGTTGAGTTATATACATGCTTGCACTTCTTGCACATCATGACCTTGAGAATGTCGAAAATTTCCTTTGCAATATTTTCCAGCGCATCTTTGTTCGATTCTCCGTAACGAGAGAAGATGTAGATGTAAGAATCGGTCAAGTCATCATCAATGCGCTCGAAGTTTGTTGTAAATGCGATGTAGCAGTTGCTTTTTTCAATCTTTTGCTTGAATTGAGCAAATTCGATTGGATCGGCATCTGTTATTGTTGCCTTGATGAAGTACTCTTGCTTAAGTGTGTTAATGATTCTAACAAACATATCATGGATAACTTTTGATGGAAGTTCTGGAGAATCTTTGAAGGAAAATGTATAAGTATTTTGGGAGAAATTGTGGCGGATGAGTACAAAAACTGGAACTGGAATTGCAAATGTTGTAACCCAACCCGGTTCACCTTGATCGTCAAATGTTTTTTCTAATTTGTCAATGTCTATACTATCTGCAAAAGTGCTGACTATATAAGCAGCTGTAGCAGGTCCAACGGTAATTGGATCAGCTACACATTCTTCAGGTTTAACGCCACCTGCTGGACGAGAATAGTTTTCAAATGGCTTTAAATCGAAGTCACTCATGTTGTCGAGCTCTTCTTGTGTAGTAATGGCAGTGATACGATGATCTAAGTGCATGAGGATCTTACGATCGAATTTAAGAGCTCCGGGGTCGGTAAAAAGTCCTGTTTTTGAAAGAAGTGCAAGAAGATATTGATACCTGCGTTCTTTGGTGCCCCCTGCGATAATTTTTGTGCATTTCGTTTTTAATTTTGGCCTAATTAAAATATTTCTTTCAGTTCCTTGCCAGTTCTGCATATATTTTTGATCTTCAGCTGTTAGCTTGGGTATATTAACTTCTATTTCTTTGTCGGTAATTACGACATTCAAATCTTGAGGAAACATTTAGTTATAACTAAATAAAAAAAATATTTTTTTGACCATAAAAAACAACAAAATTTTTGGTGTCTTGGAAAATAAAATTAATACCAGCACACTCTTAATAATTGCTATATAGTGCTAGTTTTGTAATAAACAGAAATTCATCAAAAGTGACAGCTCTCAATTTTTTGACATTTGTAAATTCTAAATTAAATGAGAAAAATGAAATAATACTAAGCATAATACAATATTCTAGATTTAATTATAATTAGGAAAAAGTTAGTTTTGAGAGTACTTTTCATAGGCATATAGAATGAAATCTTCTGAAAAATAATATCACATAAACTCATATTATTTTCTAATATATAACTATTTTATATAAAAATCAAATTCAATGATCTTAAAAGCGAAGGATAAACCTCAAAATTTACGAATATAATGAGTGGGAATATAATGCTTATCTATCATAAAACCATATGAAATATCAATTTTTGCTTTACGCCTAATTTTTGACGACAATTAGCAAAAAATGTTAAATGTTAACACTCAGTCCATTTGAATATGAAAAATAAAATTGACTTTGATTAAATGTTTTTATTTATCATGCAATTCTTCTTGCGACCAAAGATTTGAATAAAAGTTCAAAAAATAAGATAGCTTAAAAAATAATATACGGTAGTGTTTACTAATAGATGAATAGTATATAAATTCTATTAAAATGGATTTGATCCAAAAAATATATAAAATTTGATCATAAATAAAATCGTTTTAAATTACTTCTTCATTTAAATTATAACAATTATTTTTGGTTTTATATTTTTTTGGATCAAATCCATTTTAATAGAATTTATATACTATTCATCTATTAGTAAACACTACCGTATATTATTTTTTAAGCTATCTTATTTTTTGAACTTTTATTCAAATCTTTGGTCGCAAGAAGAATTGCATGATAAATAAAAACATTTAATCAAAGTCAATTTTATTTTTCATATTCAAATGGACTGAGTGTTAACATTTAACATTTTTTGCTAATTGTCGTCAAAAATTAGGCGTAAAGCAAAAATTGATATTTCATATGGTTTTATGATAGATAAGCATTATATTCCCACTCATTATATTCGTAAATTTTGAGGTTTATCCTTCGCTTTTAAGATCATTGAATTTGATTTTTATATAAAATAGTTATATATTAGAAAATAATATGAGTTTATGTGATATTATTTTTCAGAAGATTTTGTGTTCTTCTTCAAAATTTTACTTTTTTATTAAAAAGAATCTTTACAAAATATACATTTACTTTAATTAATATTTAAAAACGTGCTCTATCAAAAGTTCCAAAAATTCAATATTTTAGCTTTTCTGAGGTGTCACTTTTGATGAATTTCTGTTGACAACAGTTTTGATGGTGAGAATATTTACAATTTTTTTACCTTGAAAAATTGATCGGCAAATATTGGAGATATTAAATTCTTATCATTAGTACTACTTATCTTTTTTTGACTAGTCAATGGAGATATGACCTTTCACAATTTTTATATGAATGACTATTTTTTGGCTACTTTCAAGAAAGAATTACAAGCTGAAATCCAAATACAGTCCTTGATAAGCCAAATATTTCAAATACCAGCTGATTCTATCATCAACTCATTTATAAATCAAGGATTATTGGATTCTAATTTTCTTCCAACGATAATTAAGAATTTAGTTTTAAACTATCTATTAAATCCACATAGAATAACTAAATATACTGATTTAATCATTGGAATCCATCAATTAATTCCGGAATTAGATGATGTTCTTCGCCATTCATTAATGGAAGAGCTGACTTCAAAAGCAAAAAGATACCAATATGAGATTTCTTACTTAATACGGATACTTTTCCAACAACAGATTTTAAATAGTTCATCAATTTCATATATATGCCAAGTAATTCAAGATCCATGTGAATTTTTCAATATATTAAGTGTGATGCTACAAGATTTATTATCAGAATCAGATAATTCAATTTTACAACCTCATTTATTTGGAAAACTTCCATTTAACAACGATCTAATATCAGCAATCGATTATTGCAAGTATGGAGGTACAAATAAAACCATTATAAAGAATATTATCGATGATGATTTAGATTCATTCATAAAAATTTTAACATTGGAAAATATCTGGCTACTTGAAACAATTACTGTCAAAGATATCTTTTGGGACAGGAATTTCTTTTCTTATGATGTTAATCTATCAGATATTGCTGCTAATTTTGGAAGTATTAAGATATTTAAGTATTTAATGATCAAAAATTCTGCAAACAGAGGAGATAACTCAGCTGAATATGCAATTATCGGTCAATCTCTTGAAATTTTCAAATATTTCAGTTCATCATTTGAAGATTCATGTATATTAATCGCAGCTAAATATAGAAACACAACTATTCTCAATTGGATTCTCGAGAACCAAGAAATTAATAATCCAAAGATAAATTCTGATTTACTTGATTTGGCTTGTAAATTTAATTTAGTTGAATTATGCAGTCATTTGAAGCTGAGTTCACATAATTTCTATGATAATTCATTGATTTTGCATAAAATATGCAAATATGGTAATTATGCTATATTATCTTTCTTCACGGAATTTGATAATCTTTTATTTAATAAGCCTGATTATCCAGATAGAAATACTCCTCTTCATTATGCAGTAATCTCTGGTTCTATTAAATGTGTTCAATTTCTTTTGAGTTTTCCTTTAGTTGAAATCAACGCTGTTAATGCTGATAATCTAACACCGTATGAAATAGCTTTGAAAACTGGTCAAATAGATATTGTTTATTTGATTTCTCAACTTCCAGAATTAGATCGCGTCCACAAAAGCAAAGAAATGTCACATTTGGCATTAGCAATGCAAGGTGGTAATTACGAATGCATAAAATATGTCTGGGAAATGGGATTATATTCTAAAGATGATTATTATTCAACAGTATATACAATTGAAGCATTTGCATGCGCACTTGGCAATTTAGACATTGTTAAATTGTTTTATCAAGAAGAAAATGACTTCAAGAGAATATTATCTAATAATATGACTGCCATTCATATTGCTGCAGCAAATGGAAAACCTAATTTAGTTAAATGGATGATTGAAGAAATGAAAGTTAATCCGAATATTGTTGACTCTAAAAAAAGAACTGCTCTTCATGTTGCCATTGAAAATCAACAGTATCAAGTTGCTGAATACTTAGCTCTTGAATCAGGAATGGATATAAACTCAAGAGATAGACTTGGAAAGACTCCATTATTAACCGCAGTTTGGATTAATGATCCTAAATCGGTTGAAATTGTTCTTATGAATATCAATGCAGATCCAACAATCCCAGATTTCTATGATTCAACACCATTGAGCAAAGCACAATCTCAGACAATTACGAATCTCATTCAGAACGCAATAAATGATTTTAAGAAATAATTTTTGATTCATAATCATTAGTTAGATGATGAAATACACTTAAAGTTGCCGATAAACTTATTTATTTCCATTATTTTCTAAAATTAACATATCAATAAGAGAGTATTAGCGTGAAAGCTATATATACATAAACTATATCATTATATGTCGAGTTAGAATAGTAATAGTTTTGATCATGATATCTGCTTATGAGCTTTTTTGATGATAAGTGACCTTAATTTCTCTTTTATGCGAACTCCAAATTACAAGAAATAGATAGTATACTATGTGAACAATATATATATGAAAGTATTTATTCATAAATCTAATAATGCGTGACACTATTTATCAACCAAACTCCAAAAGTTAGATTGCTTATTCTCTTATTCATGAAATATAGGGAAGAAAAATGATATTTCTAATTTTGAATCTGGAGCTTAAGCGATCACTTTGTGGTCTAATTGCATATCATATTATTGCTAGCATATTATTACAAGGCACTGATACAGAATCAGTGCTCTGCAGCCACCAATCACTTAGCTGAAGTCAGTAATCTTCGGGTTAATGCTTTCACGTTAACCCAAAGTTTGCGGGCTTTAGCATGAAAATGAATGGGTGAGGGCTACATATTGGTAGTATATAGTCCTCACACATTCATTCTTAACAGAAATGGGTGAAACTTTGTCCAAATGATATGTTATTCGGACAAAATTTCTCCCATTTCTACTAGGGAATGGAGGCTACAAGGCACTGATTAGGAGTCAGTACCTCTCAGGCTTTATTCAAATAAAAATTCTAAGTTGTCATTTTGACAAAAAGTGACACTGGCCACTTTTCCTTCATTGTCAAATAAGAGTAAAATATAACAGTTCGTGGTTAACTTTCAAGTCTAAAATTAAGAAAGTAATATACTCGGGCTAATTAATACAATAAAGATCAATGAATCTGATTCATTCAAAACATAATAAATTTTTTTATATCAAATATTGAATGATATTTTCAAACCAATTCTATTCAAATTATTTTTTTTGTAAGAGACATCAGAATGCTATGTGCAAATATATTAGTGCTAGACTCTATAGATACATAAGCTATTAATCTTCTATATTTAAATAATAAAGTGATTTAATCTATTTTTCTCAATGATTCATTTAATTTGAAAATGAAATGAAAAAATAATATTTTATTTTTTTCAGATATCTTCATGTTTCTCATTCAAAACTCAACAAACAACATTATTCGTCGAAGGAACTGGAACTCTCTCAGCGACAGAATCAGCACAAAACTGCGACAGAAATTCCGTCAGAATTGTACATGTTGGAGAAGGATGTACAGCATTAGACACAAACACTTTTTATTACTTTTCAGTTCTAGAAGATCTTTATCTCCCTTCAACATTGCAGACAATATCCGGCCATGATACATTTTATTGTTTTTCATTCAATAATTTTATCTTCCCAAAAGGAAATGATTTTTTCGAACTTGATGAATATGGTGCGTTATATTTCAAAGGGAAAAATCAACTTGTAAGATTACCACCACAGAAAAAAATATTTAGTTTTTCACCAGAGACAACTATCATTGGATCATATGCATTCACAGAAAGCAAAATTCAAATATTAAATATTTCAAAAAATATCTCTTTCATTGGATTAGGTTTTATTGAAACTTCATATATTAAAAAAATTTATATGGAAATTGGTTCGCAAATTTCAACAATTAGTGGTTGGGGATCTGCTTATCGAGTTGAATTTATTTATCTTTCAAGGAGAGTTAAGGTTATTGACAATAATGCTTTTCGTTCTGATTATCAATTAAATGCAATTGAATTTGAAGAAGGAAGTGAACTTATTTCCATTGGATCTAATGCATTTCAGAGAACAAATATTGTGGATTTCAATTTTCCTCCCGGTTGTACAAAAATATCATCATATATATTCAATCAAGTTTCTAGTTTAAAAACAATTTATATCCCTGCTTCTTTGGTCAATATAAATATAAATGCATTCGCAGGTGCACCAAATATAGAGTTGATTGAAATCGATCAAGAGAATCCAGAATATGATGTTATATATCCAGCAACACTTATGTTGAAGAATGGAACTAGTTTCATATACATGTCTCCATCAACAACATCATTCACGATACCTTATTCTGTTGTCAACTTCGGGAAGACTATTTTCCAAACATGTACTCAACTGACGAGTATCAATGTTGATTCATCGAGTTCATACTATGACTGCGATAGTGGCATTGTTTACTCTAAAGGATTCAAAACTGCAATTGCGTGCATTGGAGGCATAACATCTGTTGCTCTGAATCATCTTCGTACTTCGATTGGAGATTTTTGTTTCAACAACTGCACTAAACTCAAAAATGTTGAATTAAACGAAGGATTATTATATATAGGATCTCTTTCCTTTTATTCAATTAATTTCACATCAATCAGAATTCCATCATCTGTGATATCTCTTGGATCTTACTGTTTTTATTATTCAAATTTACAATATATTGAATTTGATGGAGATGGTCCAAAAATCATATATGATTATTTTTTTTCAAGTAGTCTTATTAAAGAAATTAATTTTGGAAAGAATTTACAAGAAATTGGCTATGTAGCGTTTTATTCATGCAATTGGCTTGAACGAGTTACTTTTCATTCTAAATGTGATAATAGATTCAGTGGAATTCGAGTATTTAATTTGTGTGTTAAATTGAACAATTTTGAGCTACCAAAAACAGTTAAAAAAATCACGGACAGAAGTTTCTCAGGAACATCTTCGTTAACAAACTTTTCGATAGCAGAAGGGTCAATGTTGAATTATATTGATGAATTAGCTTTTGAAAATTCGGCTCTTGAGTCGATTTCATTTCCATCATCATTAGAATTCATTGGGGTGAATGCATTCAAAGGCTGTTGGAAATTAAAAACAGTAAATTTTTCTGAAGGTGTCAATTTGAAAGTGTTAGGAGGAGGAATATTCAAGTCTTGCACATCTTTGCCTAATATAGAGATTCCTGCATCTGTCACAACATTCGATCCTTCGTCTGTTGGTTACTGCACATCGCTGACTTCGATCAACGTCTCATCTGAGAACAAGAACTATTCTAGCAACGATGGCATCGTGTACACAATAAACAAGGATAAGCTTGTCTGCTGCCCAGGCGGTAAAACGTCTGCGTTTATATACAAGAACATAATCATCATCGGTTCTAACGCTTTCTGGGGATGTTCTAAGTTGAAAGATCTTACATTCGAGTATGGTTGCAAACTTAGGATAATCGAAGATGGTACATTCTACTCGTGCACATCTCTATTCCGCGTCGACCTCCCGACTTCACTCGAGACTGTCCAGCAGAGCGCTTTTGCAGGATGCACGGAGCTCGTGATCATCACATTCCCAGACTTCGCGATGGCAGAATTGGACTCTGAGTCTATATTCGCTGACTGCACATCGCTGACGACATTCTCTTTCGGGAGATTCTGCGCGCTGAACGCACTCGGAGAAAACATATTCTCGAACTGCGTGAAGTTATCGACAATCAACATACCTGCAAACTGCACAACGATAAGAGCAAACGCGTTTAAGAACTGCGTCTCTCTGACAAACATATCTTTCGAGTCTAACTCGAAGATGTCTAGTATCAGTGATTCTGCGTTTTCAGGATGCACATCATTGACTAATTACACTGTCCCTGACTCGTTCGTCAGTATAACATCTTCATGCTTCGGAGGAGCGACTTCGATAACGACTGTCAACATAAGACAGAATCTCTCAATCATCTCGATCGGGAGCAACGCGTTCGCATCATTCAGACTTAAGTATTTCAACATCGGTGGAGGTACAACGATATCTCGAATCGATTCTTATGCATTTGCAGATAAGCAGATAGAGACATTCTCCCTCGATTGCGATGTCTACTTATCATCTTACGAATTCAAGAACTGCGTGAATCTGAAGTCAGTAGGAATTCGTCGCATCAAGCGAGATGTCGATTCAACATCGAAGAAACTGATGTCGACATCATCATCGAGTCGAGAGTACTACACAATCCCAGAAGGTCTTTTCTCAGGATGCAAATCTCTCGAGAGCGTAAGAATAAACATGAACATCGAAACTATATCAGATTACGCGTTCATGAACTGCGTCAAGCTCTCGTTCACGATCCCTCCGTCTGTCGTATACATCGGCGATAAGTCATTCATGAACTGCAGCATGGTCAAGAATGTCCCAGATATGGTGCAGCACATAGGAAACCTCTCATTCTACGGTTCTGATGTCGATCATGTCCTTATTGTAAGCTCAGAAGCAACATACATTGGATCTTCTGCTTTCACTAAGACCGCTGTAAGCATGATATACTACTGCGGAACGAGAGACTTCTCTGATTTCTCTCCGTCGTTCGAATCCAGAGCTAAAGCGATCGTTTCTGAATCTTATCCATCGAGCCTCCTTTGTGGGGCAGCTGCATTTTATGTCCCACTTAATTTATGTAATGATATGATTAGAATTAAAACAGGTAAAGATAAACTCCCAAAGCCAATTGGAAAACACCATATATAATTCACAACTCTCCTTCTAAGTTCCACGCAACATCTCGGTATTTGGTAAAATTATTATATATATTTCCAATATTTATTTTATATTATTATGCATATAATAAAATATTTACATTTAATAAATAAATGCTCAAAAACGATTAATTGAGATTGAATTTGGAGTAGACCATTATTAAAAATCAAATTCATTAATAAAGAATTGCAACAGTTGCGAATGCTAAATATATATATATAAGAAAAAATCCATTCATTTTTGACTACTTTACACGAATTGATTTTTAAATGAACAAATAATTCACAGATTGAATTTAGAACAATCGTTTTTGGCCATTTTTTTGCACTTGTATATGAAAACTCTAATAATTATTTCTATCGACATACATAATTTATGAAGACTCATGGTCATTAGAAATAACACATTTTCCATATGAAAATTACTAAGTAAAATGGTTGTGATTGAAGTTTTATATTAAAATAAACAAAACATAAAGAAATAATAACATAAAAACATAAAAATAATAAATTATTTTGGTGATTGTGGAACAGAGTTTGGATTACTTGATGCAACTCTTTCGCTGAGTTGTCGATGTTTTTCGAATAGTATTTTCTGGAAATCATTAATTTGACGGTTGATATTTTCTGGATCTGCCTTAGAGACTTTGTAACATGTGCTTAAAACAACTTCAAGAACTCGATGATAAGTCTGATAGAACAAAATTCCATCAAACGTAAATTTAGCTTCAAGCATCTGAAATGTTTCATGACGAATTTCATTAATCAAGATACGAATCTCTTCTTCTTGATTTCTAGATTCAAGTTCGTCAAGCATCTTCTCCAAAAACATTTTGAACTGTTCCCATCTGTTAAGTGTAATTGAATAAATTGGTGAATATTCAGCAAATTGTTCGCAAGTGATTGTTGGATCAGGCCAATCACGTGGAAGAACTTCCTTATCTTCAAGGAATGTCTCTATGAACAAATTCATATCGTAATCCTGTCTCAGGGAATTAGGGACGAGAGAAGATCGATAAAGACTGTCAATGAGATTTGGATCGATGTTGACAATCATCTTTTTAACAAATTCTCCGAATCTTTTCAGTGTCATTCGAGGGATTGGTCTAAAGAAAGCCAACATTCTTCTGATGCGTCTTACTCTTGAATCCATCTCTTCTCCAACAGCAAGTTCTAGAATTCTATTCATTGGAACACAGAATGGTTCATCACTAAGTTTTCTTTCATTGTCTGCAGATCCACAACCTCTTATTGCGATGTCATTAATCAATTCTGGTTCAGAAAGAGGGAAGAAATGATGGAAAAACTCGAAGACTTGGTCTTTTGTTAGATATGTTTCAGTGAGATATTCTCCAAGTTCAATATGTTCTACAGGAATAGAAATACACCTTGTTAAAATCCATGTTCTACATTTAAGGAAAAATGTCAATTGCGGTGTTGTCCAATCTTCATCAATGAATCTCGTGAATAAAGTGATTTCTAAGTATTTCTGCATATGATGATGAGAAGAAATGAAGACATCCCAACATCCCTTTTGTACTAAATCATCACGACCGAACTGTCTGAGAGCCCATTTCAACATATATTCAGGAAGAGGCAAAATTTCTTCGCCATTTCTAACTTGTGTCCTGTCATCAACTGTTTTCTCGTCAAAGATACTCCTGATTGTGTGGACAAGCCAATCAATCGCTTTAGGTTCTCTGTTCGACCCATCAATAGTAAGAAGTGAACAGAAACGACTCTTTTTGACGAAAGGAACTAATGATTTCGGAGCAAGTTTCAATTCAATGGGAACAGGAATCTTTGAATCATCTGTAACTTGAGGAATCACGAGATCAATGTTAGGACTACTTTGTACTAATGATTCTATGGCATCTGTTTGAACAGATTTGTTCTCGTTCATGATTGTTTTACAAGCGTTTTTCATGATACGAGTCATTATCCATCTGGAAAGGATTTTAGCTTCATCTTTGCAGCTTTTGTCTAACCCGAAATTGCCTTCGTGCGCAGAAACAATTGATTTGACAGAATAATCGAAAATGTTGTTGTTTTGGAGGATTTTTTCACGAACAAGATGCAATTGTTGGGAATTTTCGATATTTACGCCCGTTTGCTCCTGCTGATTAGTATTTTCTTCTGTTTGGCCATTTGGATTGTTCTGATCGGTCAAAGCTTGTTTTACAACTTGCATATCAGATTTAACTTGGCGGAATTCGTTCTGATTTTGGATAGTTGAGGCTCTGTGTTTAGGAGATTTGGCCGCATCCTCTTTTTTAGGCACTGTATCGACTTGGATTGACATATCAACAAAATTAGAACGATCTATATCACGGAGAGGAGTATTTTGGAGTCTTTCTAGTAGCATTTGACGATCTTTAATGATAGCTCTGTATCCATCGTTTTGCTGGTTAATTGTATTTAATTCTTCTTTAATTCCTTGGAGTTCAAGCGTAGCTTTTCGTAATTCTTCAGTACGTATGGCAATATCTTTAGTGAGAGTGTCAATGAGTTCATTTAACTTGGCTTTCTGCTGATTCTTTTCTTCGATTTGCGCATTAATTTCTAAAAGCTTTTGTTGGTTAGTATGTGATGAGCGAATCATTGCTTGCTTATCATTAGCAAGAATACGTAATTGGTTTTCTGCAGAAGTACTTTTAAGCTTGTATTCGTTCATTTGTTGTCGAAGATTCTCCAGAGTCTTATTTTGCTTGTCAATGACCGCTAAAGATGCATTACGTTGTTCTTCAAGTACTTTCATCTTACTTTCTGATTCTGAAAATTGATCTGTAATTTCTTTGTATTTTTTCTCGAAATCTTCTTTGATTTGCGGGATTTTTCCTGATATATTCTTGTAGTAATCTCTGATTCTTGTAAGAAGATCTCCTCTTTCCTTTGATTCAGAGAGTTCTTGTTCAGTAAATTGAGAAAGAATATGATCATGAAGTTTTAACTTGGATTCAAATGAATAAACTTTCGCTTCAAGTGGATTTTGTATATTTTTTGTTGCTTCTTCTGATTTTTTAAGCAAATCATTTAATTCATCCAGAAGTTTTTGGGCATTTACTCTTTGTTGAGCGACCCAGAAGTTCGATGGTTTTGGAGGATTAACTGTAACTACTGTTGGCTCTAATTCTTTTGGTAAATCTTGTAATACTTCTTGTTTTTTAACTGGTTTCTTGTTTCTATGCGATATATCATATGCATCTTTGAATCCTGAGAATATGGGGTTGACTTCAAATGCTGTTTTTGGGCGTTTTGTTGTAGAAACTCTTGCTGAATTTTCTCTTGGGAGTTCAAATGGAGTTTTTTTATTTAGAATTGTATCTTCAAGAGTCTGTGTTCTAGTATTTGGTGGATATTGGGGGACTGTATCATATAAATGTGTTGAAACCTCTATATAGCTTTCATCCCCCATTTCATAACGTACTCTTCTCCCATTGAATTCTTTTTTTTTTTGATTCAAGCCGGATCTATATTGCCAATATGGTGTGGACATAAATTCACATTCAAAGTTTTGCTGAATTATATAAAAATACTAAATTTTGATAGGATCATTATGGAAACTCACAATTCATTCAAAATTCATATTCATTCATGAATAACACATATAAGTTTCCTCTATATGGTCAATTTACATGTCTAAATTTCCCGTTCCACTCAAATCTTTATGCAGATCATGCATAGCTATTACAGCTGAATCAATTTCTTGAAGAAATACACTAAATTTATGTGTTTTAAATGTTTGTTTCATGGAAAACATGATTTTACGCAAAATATTAATGATTATTTTTCAAAATGTCAATTTATTATTGAAATGAACTTAAAATACTTTGTAAATGAAGAATATAATCTTGTTATTGAGTGAGACACATAAAAAAAAAGCATAATTAAATAATGAACAAATTTTATTTTATAAAAGATAGAAAATTACAATACAAAAAACTTATTTGGATGATGCTTGAGCTTCAGTGAGTTGTTTTGCTAATATATTCACTGCAGAATCAAAAGTATTTTTAACGTCAAGTTTCTGATTGAAAGTACTTGGTAATGGCTGTTTCATCATTATATCTATTGATGGTTGGAACTTTTCTGGATCGTAGGCTTCAACAAAACGAGGAATTTCAATAAATTTGTATAAACTCTCAATTATAGTGGCATTCAGTTTGCAATCCATTAGATTGTACATAATGATCAAACTGAAGTTCGTTCCTGACCTGGAAAATTCAAAAGAAATTATTTTGTCTTTGTAAGCCAAATCACCAAATACTCCGTATACAATGAGGAAAACATACATATCTGAAACGATTGTAGGTGGTAAATTAACTAATGATACGGCAGTGAAATTTTGTTGAGCCAAATTTGAATTTATTTTGTATAATGTGATCTTAGAGAAAAAGCCAAGTGTTGAGATTGAAATATTGGCCAATTTTCCAAATATATCATGTAAAGTATTTAATTCAGTGTATTCTGCAACGAGTTCGATGAATTTTTCCTTAGAATGTTGCTCTTGCTTTTTGATATTTTCGCATTTCAAGTTCCACTGACATGGAAGAGGTTCATCAAGATGTTTTACGATTAATTCTTCCATAAATAAAAGTGACAAAAATTTGACAAAAAATGCAAAATCAGAGAATTTTAAGTTTCAGATCGTTCTTTCTTTTCTCTGATTCAGGAAAAATAGCATATTCTCAGAAATTTTCCATGGTGGAAGCTCAGGTTGAAAATAAATCAGAAATAACTTCAACAGATGAAAAATTAGAAAAATATTTCCAAGAAAAAATTTTGCCATATATAAACGAAGAAGGAAAGAATGTTTTTAAGATCAGTGATAATACATTTTTGGTATCTTACACTACAAAAACCTTTTATATTTGCGTGATACCTTTCATTCCTAAACCAGAGTTCGAAAAATCGATAATAGCAGGATCCTTATACTTTTTATCATACATTGAAGCCATTCTAAGGTCGACAATTAGATCTTTACTCCCTGAATCGCCAAAAATCGAATTCGCTTCATTAAAGCAGATGATAAACCTCATTCTTCCTTTTGGTACCCCTGTACTTCACGATCAATACCTTTCTTCGCAATTAACAGGCAGAGTTGAAATTTCAAGGTTTAATGCAGGCTATAATAAGATTAATTCTACTCCTGTTCCTTCATGGAAGTCAACATTAGCATATCCTGTCCAACAACTTGATTTTACTTTGAAAGAAGTCATTGTTGGATCAATTTCCCAAAATCAAACATATTTTAAGGCTTTTGGAAGCTTACAAATATCAGCATCAGTTTCATTACTTCCAAATGTTACAGTTACTTTTACAAAACCTGAAAAAATGACTAATATTCAGTCTCATTTCAGTGTTAAGTCATATGATCATGGAAAAATAGAATTCCTACCTCCAACTGGTGTATGCCAACTCCTTGCATGGGAAATTCCTATGTCTGTTTCCGAAATGCCATTAATCGGAACTTATTCCTACAAAATCAATGGTTCAACATTAGATTACAGTCTCAAATTGAATGTTAAAAATCCAATTGTATCAGTTACGGTTCATTTGGAGTTCAATGACTGCGGAAATCTAATTAAACAAAAATATCCAAACATAATCGGCCAAGTAAAGCAAAGCCGAACAGAAACCATTCTTGTTTATGATGTACAGCAGTCAAATGCTGAAACAGATATATCTGGAACATTATTTTTCGATAAAGATGTTCCGAAACAGAAATTTGCAGCTTACTTGTCTTTCAAGGACCATATGAAGTCATTTACAGGTAATTCCATCTCTAAAGATGATGTTACCTTCAATCCAAGCTCAAATATTTCTGTATCATCAAATTCTTCTTATAATTCTGAACCTCGAAAATATGTTATTTGGGGTACTGAAATGTAATATATTATATTTGTTTATATAATTTAAAATGTTGTATAAAAATTAATACGTGTAAACTATTGAATTTTCACGGAAATAATTTTGGATAATTCAAATAGTGTACGTTTAATTTTGGAAAATTCTTCAAAAATCATGGAAAGCTCTTCACTTTCGTTTTCAGGAAAGAAGAAGAGTGAGCTAACATTGCCAACAACAGTAAATTTAGAAACAGAATCTGATGAATCAATCGATAAAATTCAAATATACGATGAAATGCAAGAAAGAATGGCAGATTATCTTGAAACAAAGCAACAAGTTGGTTCTTTACAAAATCAAATTGCAGTTTTTAAGCAAAGACTATTACAAATGGAAAACGATTTTAATAAAGAAAAACAAGACTTACATGATCGTTTGATGGATCTTGAAAACAAAAATGAGCACTTGACAAATGCTAATAGCGAATTAAATAAGAATATCGAAGAATTACAAAATGAAAATAACAAAATGCATGAAGAAATAATTCGATTAGAAAATAAGAATCATACAGATCAGTTAGCTCGAAAGGAAAGTATGGACAGAATGCTTAAAGAAAGAGAAGAACATTATAGATCAATAATTACTAATCTTGAACAAGATGTTGCCAAATTCAAGGATCAAGCAAGTTCATCTCAAGTTGAATTCGTTCAGTGTCGTGATTCTCTTCTCAAGAAGTCAGCTGACTATGAAAAATTACAACATGAATATTTTGAGATGAATACTAAATGTGAATTAGCTATTGCAGACCAAAAAGAATCAGAGGATAGATGTAAATCACTTAGATCTATTATCAAGCAGCAGCAAGACGAAAATTCTTCAATGCATCAGTTGTTCCAAACTCAAAGTGATAAACTTGCAAGTGTTGAGAAAGCTTTAGATGATAAGACAGCTTTGATTAGAACTGTTGTCAAGGAAAGAGATTCGTTACAATTAAGGCTTTCAAAAATTAGAGAAATCCTTCCAGAATACAGTGATTTCACTGAATTTTATAACAAGCTTAAAGAAAGAGTCGAAATAGCTGAAGCATTGCCTATTGAACTCCGAAAATACAAGAAAAAACTTGCAAATGCCATTAAAGCTTTGCAAATTTCAGATGCAAAATATAACGAAAAAGATTCAAAGTTAGATGAAGCACTAAAGCATGCTGATGAATTAAAACAAGAGCTTAATAACACAAACGCCGAAAATTCTGATATCAGACACAAATTTGGCTTATTAAATATCATTAAAACAAATGTTTCAGTTATTGAAGCATCAAATAGAGAGATATCTCATAGATTTAATGAAATTAAGGCTTCGTTAGATAACACAGTTCCACACTTTTCTTTAAGATCCTTATTAATTTCAACCATTGTTCTTAAGCGCTGGAAGAATCTCCTTGGAACTCCTCGTGCATATGAGAAAGATACAAGAAATTGGTGGTGGATCTGTGGTGACATGGAAGTCAAGCAGCAAAAGAATTGGATAAATGAGAAAATTAATCAGGTCAAAAGTGTTGAAAAGGAACTTAATGATCAAATTTCCTCACTTAAATCAGAAGTTGCAAGGTTGACGGATTCATGTCAGCAGAAAGAGGAAGAGATTGCTGCAAAAGATTCTCATATCTACCAGCAAGATGATAGGATCACAAAATTGAATCTTAAAATAGAAGATCTTTCCAATCAAGTTAACATGATGGTAGATCCATCAGTTCACAAGGAAATCGAGGATTTGCTTTGGACAACAAAAGCAAAACTAGCAGAAACTCTTAAAGCTCTTTCTAAGACAACAGAGAACTTAGTATTCTTACAACATGAATGCTCAGTCTTGAGACACATGAAAGATAATTCAACAGATAAAAGTACTCAAGTTAACGATGAAAATCAAAAGTTGAAGAACAGAATATCCATGTTAGAAAGAAAAATCAAAGAGTTGAATGTGAGGCTTGAACAAAAAGATCAAGAGATTATCAATAGCGAAAAGAAAGCAAAGAAGGTAGAGCCGTATTATATTACTGGATATGACTTACCTGGTCGTCAAAAGGCTGTTATATCATGTATTCCACCGAATAATAATTCGAATAATTTCTTCTATTGAAGAAACTATATTTGTTGTTGTTAATTTAAAATGTTTTGTTTCTAAATTTCAATTCTTTCATTTCAGAATTCATTTAATATCAAGAAATTTCAATATAAAGGTTTTGTCCTTTAAAAAATTAATTAATTTAAAGATTAAGTAGAGATATGAAGTTTTTGATGATCGGTTATTGCTCAAATGGTCGTAAATTTCATTTTTGTTTTAAAAATATTGGACCAAATCTGCTCAAATGGAGGAAATGTAGCAAAACAGTTGTAATGCAAACATTTACGAAAGAATAATTAGAGGTATGTCCTTTAAAAGGTATTGCAAAAACAAAAAATAAAATTAACACTTTTTTTTCTTTTTTGAAATGTTGGAGTGCCCAGGTTATCCAGCATTAAAGAATGATGGACTTTTATAGCCTCTGCGCGTTATAGGGAGATTTCTTATGGATGACTATGACCACATAGTCAACCCCAAACACTCCCAAAAATGACACTTTTTTCGAGCCACAAAGCTTTCATTCAAAATTCATAACGAAAACAAATTTTGATTATAATAGTAAATATGTTCTAAATAGCCTATTTCAACAAGAAGTATTTTGTGATTATTGAATTTTTGATAAAACTCATAGAAAATACGATAACTATTACAAAATGAATCATCCAAACAAGAAAAACAATTTATTTCGTGGCTTTATCTTTATGACAGATTAAATCTAATACATATGTCCTCATAATCTTCACGTCTTAATTCAATATTATGCAATTTTAATAAAATTTCATTAATTTTAAAGGATCTTAGAAGTGTTGAGGTTAAAAAATGAAAATATCATAAACAAAAATATTTAAATCATCTCTATATATAAAAAATAAATCATAATCTTGGAATTATCATAAAAATTGGTGAAATATATTCCCTCAAACCAATTTTTTCTCTTACTTCAGATGTACATATGCTATCGAAGTAAGTTACAACTTCATTGCAATCGAGACCAATTAAAGATTCAACACTTCTTCCTGTTTCATTAATTCCGCACTTATAAACATCAATCAAGTTATTAATTGTTGTTTCTGTTCCTTCCTTTATATTAGTAACAGTAAACGATGAAGGACTTTCAACAACAATCTGGAATTTATCAGTTCTATTCGCTATAAAAACTGACATTCCTTCTCTGACTAAATAACTTCCAATCATAAACCACGCGCCTTCTCCGAGGCTTTCTATCGAACAGTTGTATTCGCCACATATGTACGGATACGGCAAATCAATCTCTTTCTTTGCAGTACCTTCTTGAACGTCAACATAATCAGGAACTCCTCTCCATCCTCCATGAGATTTAACTGCTTTTTCTGCACGATTTCTGACACTTTTCATGCAAGCGAAGAACGCCATGTCAGAAGCGACCAAATTAGGGATACTGTTGTTCTGTATTATCTTCTGTATCTCTTGTATATTTCCCAACTCTTGTTCACTCAAAATCGGCCTCAAACCGTCGACATTTTGAGAATAATTTGTCAATCTTCTGTAATGACATAATCTTTCAATCAAATCCTTCTCTGTATCGAACATTCCACCAACTTTCTGATAGAATGTCTGTATACGCTTCAAAAAGTCATAATTGGATTTGATGTCATATGCCATGTCACGTTTTATGTACGATATAATTTTATCTCCCTGATTTTTTACTCTGCAGAGCCATCTCTTCAAATCTTCATGCGAAATAGATGGATTAGCTATGGAGATGATCCTGCAGGAAGTGATGAAGTCCTCGAAAACGTTGTTTATCGGTTCAGAAATCTTTATTTTCGTTCCGTAACCTGAAATCGAATCAATCACAGCTTCAAAGCGACTTTTAACGAGTTTCGGATCGAGTTCACTCAGTGACTGCTCCTTCCACGTTTTGTCTCTAAGAATATCGCGCCAATTTCCCCAGCCATGCGTGTAAACAAGGTGAAGTAAACTTGCGTCACTTTTTGGACTCCAAGTTTCGAAAGGAAGCTTTTCTTCAACTTTTATGTTGAGTGTGTTAGCAATAGAAGACTGCGTAAGTGCTGATAGACATATTAATCGCTTGGCAAATGTGTTTGCTTCTCGTTTTATTCGAGATTTAAATCTATCATTTCCGAAAACTGGACCATCTAAGTACCACTGTTGTCTTCTGGTTATAATTAGTTCAGACGATACTGTAGAGTTGATCAGTTTCGCTTTGTCTTCGATATAATCTAAAATAATATATAAAATTACGGAACAACCATCGTTAACCATAGTTAAAGTGAACTGTGGTGGCAGTGATTTACGTATTTCGCGCCATCGGCCCCATCCATAAATCATTAACTGATTTAATAAAATATCTCGAGTTTCGGGTGTCCAAATATCATCTTTATGAGGATCTTCGTATGAGATGAACAGAGAATTGTATTTTTCGTCCTCTGGATTCTCATTATCTGAATTATTTTCATCTTTTTTCGGAATTTCTTCTTCAATTATTTTTTCTTGTTCTGATTCTTTCTGTTTTGGCTCGGGATCTGGAGGAGGAGCTGATTGGTTGTTTAAAATATATTCTGAAATGAGATTATCGTCAATTGAATTTTCATTTTCAAATTTCGTTGGTTGACAGTAATGAAGGATGTTGTATTTCTTTTCTTTATCAAGGGTCTTTACATCGTAATTGGTTAAAACGGCAGAAAAGCTTGATCTGACTGAAAACAAAGAGTTATAAGATTCGCTGTAAGAATCCTTGAAAATTTCATCATCATTAACAATAATAACCTTCCAATTAATCTGTCTGATCGTTGAAGTGTATTCAACTAAAGAATTCGTTGTAATAATTAATATTTGAATTTTTGAAGAATCTGGTCTTTCTTCTGGATCTGTAAGTTCGTATTTAATGATGACTTCGCAATTGGCAGGTGCATCATCCATTACAACTGTTTCTAATTTCGTTAATTTTTCTAAACTAGATTTCCATTGATTTATAGATTCAGAATTACAAACAACGAGAAATGGACCTTTAACAGATATTTTCTGATCCATTTCATTCAAAAATAATGAAACTGCATCGTGATAATGATCAGTTTCGGATTTTTGAACGATAAAACTAGTACTTGTCGAATAATTTTTCTTTAATCTGTTCATTAATGATAATTGCGTCTGTAAAAATTGTGGATCATTGAGTAAATGCGTATAATCTAAAATAGAATTTGAATTTACGAAGGCTGACATATTTGGAAACGAACTCTTATCAACACGTGATAGTTTGTTGATGAAATTTTGCTTTGCTTCCTCAGAAATAATGGGAGACCAGCTGCAATATTGATATTCTAAATTTTTCCATTTTATTATGTATAACTGGGTTTGTACATCGTAGTATATGGCTTTTTCGACGTTTTCTACTTTATGAACTGGATCTAAATCTAAAATGTAATAATCTGAACCATCGAATAGAGGTGTAAGCTGATATTTACGTGCATTTTGCATCCAAAGCTCATATGCTGATTTTCCACCTGAAGTTTCTTCAATAATATCTTGAGAAATTAACTTTGCATTAATTTCGGATTGCGAAAATAGTTTAACGACATACTCTATTTTTTCATCTCCTTTTTGCTTCATGGCAATGACCTTTTCGATCGGAAAATCTCCTTTTTTATAAATTTCGTAATTAAAAAGTTTGTCTGCGTAAATATTTAGATCGCTTTGACCACTATCTTGATCTGATTCGTTGCTCTCTTGACCTGATTCTACGTTTTCATTAGAATCGTCTTTATTGCTTGTATTTTCGGGAAATTCGATTTTTCCTGCGGAGTCACTTATGTCAATGTCACTTTCAAGCTCTTTCATATATCTATCGGTAAGTTTGGCTGATTTATCTCCTTTACCGCTAGGATGATATTGTGAATCATCCGAACTTGATGCATCTGACGAAAACTTAGTTGGTACATCAGGATCATACGCTAAAGCATTGGCTGATTGTTCGTCCAAAAAAGTTTCTTCATGCTCCATTTCAGTTTCTAAAAAATTTATTTGAATATTCAATTATTTTTGGCAGATTCCCGAAACAAATAATTTTTTGTAATTATGCTAAACACAATGTTTTAATAATTTTAGATTTGTTGTTCACAATTTTGCCCGCCACGTTCTGTAATTTAAATTTTCAAAGTCTGATCAAGATATGCATCTGAAAATACTATAAAAACTCATATATTGCATTGTATCAACTAAATTTATATACATGTTCCTATGAAGGATATTCATTACTAGATATATGTTGGAATCACGATGTATTTGATCGTTTCTTATTAATAAGATCGAAATTTCAATTATCAATAACTCAAACATGTCGAAAATTTTCAATTTTAAGGAAACAAAAAATTCATGAATGAAGGTTTGAAAGAGATGAAACCAAATAGAGAATGCATTGACTTTGTTGCATTCTTGATGAATGAATACAATATTGAGATCAATTTAGAATGTTATTCTTGTTTCTTTATGAGTTTAGTTTGATCAAAATAATGATTTTAGAATATAATTTATTTGCTCGGTGCTGATTAAATTTTCCTTTCAAATGGTTCAAATATCAATGCAAAAGATGAAAGAGGAGAAACCACTCTTCATGTTGCTGTAATAAATAATGATAAAGAAATGTCTGTGTTTTCTTATTTCATATGGTGCAAATATCAATGAAAAAGATAATCGTGGATTCATCACACTACATTATGCAACAAAATGAAAATCGTAAAGAATTTATTGAACTTCTTCTTTCACATAGCGAAAATATCATTTTGAAGAATTCTAATGGAAAAATCCATCTTCATTATACAGCAAAAATAATTATAATGAAAAAGCCGAACTTCTTATATCTTCATGGGGCAAAATTATAAGTCTCGTAAGTATGATACCACTTTATTTTATTTGAAATATATAGAAGCATAATGAAACATCCAGTCAATAAAAAAAGTAATTGCTTTCAGTTCAAAAAATTGAATAGTCGTAAATAACCGCAACAATACCTGTAAATTTTTTGATTTGTTTTGTTACCATTGAGAAACTACTCATATGTGAAATGAAATAATTATCAGTTTAATCAAGTTTCAACAAATTCTAACCGAAATAATCGTTTTCGAAATATTTATTTCATATTTTGTTTTTCAAATGAATCATTTGATAAACAATGAAATAGTTATGCATCATTTGATAAAAAATGAATGTTAATTGTGATAGCAATGCATCGTGCATTATTGATGGTGATTATATTAAGGGAATTTTTGAATTTAATTCAACTTTCAGAAATATTGAAATTACAGGAAATATTAAGAAAATACCCACATTTTGCTTTTGTGGGTGCTCAGAATTGGAATCGGTTTCACTTTGTTCCAAAATCACCTATATTGGAAATTTTGCATTCTCTTATTGTCGAAAACTCAAGAATATAACAATTCCAAAAACTGTCACATCAATAGGAATTCAATGTTTTTCATATTGTTCTTCATTAGAGAAAGTTGAACTCCCGAACAAAGTAAATGTTATCCAAAATTCTTTATTTTTCTTTTGTTCTAACCTTATTTATATTAAGCTTCCAAAATATCTTGAACAGATATCAAAACATGCATTTGTACAAACTAGATGCCAATTTCCAGAGCAACAATCTGGTTTCCAAGCATATCAATATTCCGGACAAATGAATATTGAAGCCACAGCTCCAAAAGATTCGTCATTTCTCCCTCCATTTTGTTTTTTCAACTCCAAACTTACATCAATTAAAATAGATGGAAGGGTTAAAATAATAGGTACGCATTGTTTTGCATGTACAGATATAGAAGAAGTAAATTTATCTAAAGTTGAAATTTTGGGTGGTAGTGCTTTTGCGCAATCATGGCAATTGAAACGAGTAATATTCTCAGATTCCCTTAAAACTATTTGTGAATGCGCATTCTACAATTGTTCACAGTTAACTACTCTAGAACTTGGATCTCAAAATAATATTGGTATATGCGAAAGTGCATTTGATTCATGCACTAAATTAGATATTACTTTTATATTATCAAAAATCAAACATATTCCAGCTAACTGCTTCTATTGTGTCCAGAAAGCTGAAGCAATTGTGATTCATTCCAACATTGACTATATTGAGGATTATGCATTTTTTGGTGCCAGCTGCATAAATTCATTAGAAATTGAGGAAGGTATTAAAAGAATTGGAAGATTTTCATTTTCTGGTTTGGAAATTACATCACTAATCCTCCCTGATAGTTTAAATTACATTGGTGAATATTGTTTCAGTTCATGCGATAAATTGATAAATGTTAAAGTTGGAAAACGTGTAACTTATATACCAGAAGGTTTATTTGATGAATGCATTTCACTTCAAAATCTTGAAATTAATGGAGAAGTTACATATTTCGGCGACAAATCTTTTAAAGGACGTCAAATTCTAATTACAAAAATTGCACCACGTAGTTATTTTGGTGAAAAAATTTTAAGTGGAGTAAGAAGTAACGAATCGGTAGAATTTGGTAATGATTGTTTGGTTTGTGAACAACATTTAATGTATCATTTCCAGACAATAAAGTTTGGAGATGGTACGTGTTTCCTTGAAGAAATAAAAGCTGATAATTATTATTACACAGGATCGGAAAAAGATGATCATAACGTTGATGGATCGATATACAAAATGATCACGAAATATGCAGCATCAGTTTATGTTCCAAATTCATATATGGCTACTTCATTTTGTGGAAAACCAATTAATTACTATTCAACAGCTGGAAATCAAAAGCAGAAACTCCATGAATTAAAGCAAAAAACAAGCATTGTTGATCAATCAAAAAAGCTTAACCCCAAGAGATTGAAGAATGCTAATATTCAATACATTAAAGAATGTAATATTTTCGATAACAAAACGATTGGTATGGAGCGAATTGAAAGGATGAATCTAATCCCAATGAAATGTATTATATCCTTAATTCCCTCTATTGTATAATAAAAATGTAACTTTTGCATGATATTCTATTAAGAAGTCAGATATACCATTTAAATTTGAGGAAATCTTGCCATGATTATAATAAATTTCTAACAAAGTAAAAGCAGATTTCGTGTTTTAGGATGCATTGCTTTAAAATAATTTATAACTCCTTTGGCTGCAATTTCATTTCATAATTATAAATGCATCATTATAAAGATATCCAAACTCTTTTAGAAGATTTAAGTATCGATAATTTCTCATATACAATTAATAACCTACTAGATCCTAAAAACAATCTATCAAGGGCGCATTTATTGTTTATAGCTAGAGATATTTTAATTCTTATCAAAAAACGAGACAAAATAATACATCTTTATGCACAAATTATAAAATATATTGATGAATCGATAAAAGATACAAGTGGTTTATTAAAAACTGCTATTTTTGAAGGAATTCAAATTGAATCTCAAGAAGAAAAACCTCATGCTGCAGCATTTAAACTTCCATGTGTGTTATATGGTCTTAATATGTATGATTACAATAAGATAATATCTTTACTCAAATTCCCAAAGATTTCAAAAGTCAATTACTTAATTTTATTCTCCTTTTTTGCTTCACACATCAAAAGATACCATTACTTTGAATTTTTATACAAAATTGATCCTCAATATCAAAAAGATCAAATTTTTAATCATCTTTTGAACAAAGAATTTGAAATTGTTAACAATTACACTTCGTATGGATGCATGCCAGACACTTTACAGTATATTTTAAAGTATGATATCGTCGAAAAATTACAAATGCAAAATAATTTTGATTTAAACAAAGATTTAGAAATTTCTTACTTTGAAACATCTGACATTCAAGAATCTTCTCTTGATTCTTTGAAATATGCTGCTTTCTTTGGTTCTGTGAATTGTTATAATTATTTATCAAAAATTTTACCTAAAAAACAATCATCAGAAACCAACAATTGGATAGAATCACATAACATTGATTATTATGCGATTGGAGGAGGAAATTATGAAATTATCAAATCAATTCCTTCAGAAACGTTAAACATCATTGATATTCTTCCAATTGCTGCTTCTTCTAGAAGATTCAGTATATTTGAATGGTTATTTCAAAACAATTTTGAACCTTCGCAATTATTCAAAACATTATGTGCAGCAACAGAGGCAAACAACATCAAAGTTGTTGAAATGATTATAAATAAGTATGATATGCCTTCTTTTGGCGAAAATTCGGAAAATCCGATTGAAATTGGAATTAAATCTGAAAGTGTTGAATGTGTAAAGCTTCTTTTAGAGAAAGGAATTAAATATGATCCTTACTGTCTTCACATGGCTATTTCAAAAGGTTTAGATGATATTTCCTTATTTATTCTCAATTCAGGAAATTCAAATCCTTCATTAAAAGATAAAAGCGGAAGAAACGCTACTGAAATTGCTGCTGAATCATGTTCATATCAATTAGCTGCTGCTCTTGTTCCTTATGGAAATATTACGACAAAAGTATTGGATATAGCTGCAGAACATAATAATTATGATTTTCTTTCTGTGTTTATGAATAATGCAGATAGTGAAATTCCGAATTATCTTAAATCTCATGAGAAAAAACCAAAATTTACAGGATTATTTATATTTGTTATTTGTTCTATTATATTCATTGTCATATGGGTATATTTGTTTAATAGATTTGCCTAGTCATTGCATCCATAAGAAATCAGCTTATTAGAATGTGATTGCAACAAAATTATTTTATATATTAATAAATTGTTTGTAAATATATTTGTTTAAACTTTACCGCTCATTATTTTTAATGTTTTTAACAGTCAAACCTAATTCACTAAAATAATATGATATGATATATGAATATCTGTTTAAATAAAATACAACAGAAGAGTATCAGTATACGGCAATTTTTGATACAACAATATATTAGCTTGGCTAATGTTAATGACATCATTGTTGGCTTTGGAGGAGCCATTTTCATTATCGATGCTTCTCAATTATCAAAAATAGAAGAAATCAGAATGCATAACATATTCGAGAGTATTTTGAATAAGCTAGTATATATAAAGCTCCTTGGATTCAATGCCCGAGAAATTGTATAAAATATATTTTCATTTCAAACATATTTTGGCAATATCGTTTGAAAATGAAAATTCCATCTATTGCATTTCATTAGCACTATAATTTCATTTCAGCATCTAAAAACTATGAAAATTTCTAGATGGTTAATTAACTCAAATATTTGATGATCCTGGATTTGATCTTTTAAACGTATTTGGTATTTCAGAACTGGAAATAAGGTCAATTTCATTCAAAACTATTTGAATGGGAAAAAATGGATGTATTTTTTTAAAAAAAATTATAAATTATCCAGCAATTTTTATATTTTTAATTTTTATCTTATTAAATGGTATTGTTTCAACTTAATAATCAAATACTTCAGAGGATTAATGACTGCAAAACATGCGAAAAGGTTACTCTAACAATCAATAACGTCGAATTCATCATTAACAAATACTTCGCAGTTGCAATTTCAAAAATGTTTTATGCAAACTATCTTTTAGACAATAATAATGTCAGCATTGATATTACTACAGAAATAGGAACGCAAGATACATACAATATCTTGAAAGACATCCTTCAATATCGGAAAAGAGAAGTTGAATGCGACGAAAGTGTTTGTAAAGATCTCTTTCATATTGGAGTGAAACTTGATATTAATGATCTGATTGAATTTTACAAAAATCATTTCATCGATAATGCAACTATCGACATAAATAATTGTTTTGATTTACTTGAATTCTATTTCGACATATCTTCAGAAGAAAAAACGAATGAATGTGCAGAATTCATATCTTCACATTTCTTTGAAATCGATGAGAATAAATTCAAGACAATATCGAACAAACTTGGATTTGACATTGTCCAAAGAATAATCAAGAGTGATAAACTGAAAATCAAAGATGAAGATTCATTAGCGAAATTTGTCATTTGCCTTGCAAGAGAAAGTGAAACATTTTATCAACTGATTGAACATGTTCGATTAGAGTTTTGCAGCAAACAAATAATTGATGAAATTCAAAACTTGAGTAACGAAAATAACTATAGTATCATCATCAACACATTCCATGATTCATTATTGCGATCAAGACCTCCAAAACATAACTATATTCGTTACAATATTCAAAACGAATTTTTACAAAATATTTCTGAACTAGAGAAATCAAACGATTTCTCGAATATATATAAATTTTTAGATAAAATATCAAAAGACAATAATCGAATTATGACATCAATTGCATTCAATGAACTTGCAGAAACAAAAGATTCATACGGATTTTATATTATTCATAAAGCCGCTGAATATGGAAATCTCCGCCTTGTTGAACGCCTTGTTGAACATGGTTTTGATATCGAAATCAAAAATAATAATGGAGATACTCCACTCATTTGGGCATCATATTATGGTCATCTTGAAGTTGTTCAATATCTTATCTCAGTTGGAGCTGATAAAGAAGCAAAGAATAATAATGGAGATACTGCACTCATTTGGGCATCAAGAGATGGTCATCTTGAAGTTGTTCAATATCTTATCTCAGTTGGAGCAGATAAAGAAGCAAAGGATAATTCTGAAAATACTCCACTCATTTGGGCATCATGGAATGGTCATCTTGAAGTTGTTAAATACCTTATCTCAGTTGGAGCAGATAAAGAAGCAAAGAATAAAGATGGATGGACTCCACTCATTCATGCATCATATTATGGTCATCTTGAAGTTGTTCAATATCTTATCTCAGTTGGAGCTGATAAAGAAGCAAAGAATAATAATGGAGATACTGCACTCATTTGGGCATCAAGAGATGGTCATCTTGAAATTGTTCAATATCTTATCTCAGTTGGAGCAGATAAAGAAGCAAAGGATAATTCTGAAAATACTCCACTCATTTGGGCATCATGGAATGGTCATCTTGAAGTTGTTAAATACCTTATCTCAGTTGGAGCAGATAAAGAAGCAAAGAATAAAGATGGATGGACTCCACTCATTCATGCATCATATTATGGTCATCTTGAAGTTGTTCAATATCTTATCTCAGTTGGAGCTGATAAAGAAGCAAAGAATAATAATGGAGATACTGCACTCTCATATGCAAGAGATAAGGTAAGAGAATATCTAAAATCTATTGGAGCTAAGTAATCTAATCAGATAATTTTCAAAACACGATAATGGTACTTCCATCACATTATTATCATTTAAAAGTTTGTAATCCAATATCAGATAAATAGATACGAAAAGTAAAATCTCATATGTATATAATTTAATAATAACAATTACATTTTTATTGAGATTATATGTATAAAGGATAAAGATGGAAAAACATGTTTTGATTACGGAAATAGTGATATAAAAAATTATCTATCTTCAATATGATTAAGGGTGCGCGGGAGATGATAAGTCACCCTCAGAAAAGCACTTTTAAGGTTAATATAATGAATGCTTCTAAACTTTCCATTCCACACATTGTAATATGATTAAGGTTAATTTTGAGTAGTTTACTTATCATCGTCCGGGCGACCTTAATTAGTTAAATTAATTATAAATTATCATTTGAATAAAATTTTCAATATATCTATATTTATATGTTGATTTATTTGGGTTTTCCTACAAGTGCAAAAACGATTATTCTGAATTCAATCTGCGTAAAGTAGCCAAAATGAATGAATTTTTTTCTTTTATATTTTCTGCATACGCAACTGTTGCAATTCTTTATCAATGGATTTGATTTTTAAAAATGGTCAACTTCAAAATTTTTCAAATACTTAAAAATGTGCAAATTCAATTTCAAATAATCGTATTTGTGAATTTTTTTGCACTCTATGTAAAATCCATAACAACAGAAAAGAATGATATTTTTGATATCTCCAACAGAAAAAAAGAATGATTTTGATTGAAACAAACAAGAAAATGAATATTTAATTAATACAACAAAAACAACAAGTAAAACAAAATATTATATAAATCATTTCTTCTTCTCGACATCAACTACAATAACAGATATATTATCCTGAGAAACTCTTCCCAAAGCCAAGTTCCTTATCTTTGCAGCAGCAACATTCACATCTTTCTCATTTACAGCGATAGTTCCGATTTCATCTTGCGAAACAACATCGAAAACTCCATCGCAAGCAAGAACAAGTCTGTAATCTTCCTTAGATCTTACAGCACTGGTCATATCAGGTACATGTGAAACTCCAGGGATGTTGAAATCTCCAATCGCTCGACTCATCGCCAAAATTCCTGCTGTTCGCATTTCAGAAACAAAGCTACGGTTCTCTTTGATCATCATGATTTCTGCAGGATCAGTCGGTTTGTGGTCGAACGATAGCTGGCAAACCGCTCCACTTTTTCGGATCAAAAGTGCTCTTGAATCTCCCAAATACGCGCAACCGATTTCATCTGGTGTTACGATTGTGAAAGCTATTGTTGCTCCATCACGGACATTCGCTTTTTTGAGGCGTTCGATCAATCTTTTGATGATTGACGAAAATGCTGCAATTCCTTTGGATTTTTCAGCGACAAAGTACTGCGGAATGAAGAATGCAGACAATATTGCGGTATCTGTGCCTCCGTGGCCGTCAATGACCGCGTAAATGTCAACTTGGGAGTCGATATTTGATCGAATAATCAGAGCATCTTCCATTGACGGGCGTGGTCCACAGGCTTCGCTATACCCGCACCTTCTTGGTTGGAAGAGCCTCACTTTTGGCGACTTAGATCTGTTGTAAAGTCCGGCATCGCTCGTATCAAACTCTTTTATTGTGTCTGGAACCTTCTGTGGGAGGTGAATCGACGTAAAAGTGACATCGCACATCTTAAGAGCTGGTAATTTGGTGAAATCGAGGACGTATTTGTTCAATGGATTATGAGAAATCTTAAATGAGGTCATTAATGGGAGAGATGAGTGCTCAATGTTGATAAGCTTGTTATGGGAAATATCGAGATCCTGTAGCATGATGAATTCGCCAAGTATTTTGAGGTGTTTCAACTGATTATGAGAAAGATCAAGGAAAGAAACTTGATCTGGTATTGTAGGTATGTCTTTTATCTGATTGTATGAAAGGCAAATGCGTCTGCAGGCCGGGAATTTCTCAATTTTTGTAATTTTATTGTTTGAAAAGTCAATATGAGACAATCTGGGGCAATTGAGTAATTCCTTTGGTAATTCTTCAAATCCGCATGATACAGCGCATATTGTCATAAGATTTGGAGGCAGCTCCGGTAAAGATTTTATATTATTTTCGGAAATGAAGAGGGACGTAAGCGAAGAGCTTGCAATTCCCGATGGTAGAGACGTCAAATTATTTGAATTGAGGTTTAGCGTTTGAACTCTTTCGATGAGGAATATGTCAAGAGGAATTTCTTTGATCATATTCTTGGTAAAATCGAATCTGGTAATTACCTTGCTGATATTATTCATATTAATTTCTTCTAGGAAGTTATGAGTCATATACAAGCCGTTGGCTGTACATTTGCTTAAATTTGGAACTTCATGGAAATTGTTATGGCTGAGCTGGATCTGTTGTACGCATTCGAAATTAAAGTATTCAAACTTGTCGATAAAGTTGTAATCGCAATTAAAAGTAGTCAGAGATAAAGGAACTTTTGGAATGGTTAAAAGCTTGTTATGGCTAACATCCACAGAAGTGAGGCTCTGTAGATGGTCAATGTTATCGTTCCATTCTTCAATGACGTTGTGAGATGCATTTACTTCAACAATGGATAAAGGAAGGGACTTAGGGAACTCATGAATGTAATTAAATGAGATATAAAGCGTTTCTAGCTTAGGGAATATAGAATCAATAGGAGGGACTTCGCATAAATTGTTCATGGAAATATCCAAAAGACGAAGATTTGGGAACTGGCAGTCCGTTGAAATTATCTTAATGCCACAGCCGGGAACTCTAAGCTGAGTAAGATTTGGCAATGAAAGATTTAATTCGGAAACAAAATTAAATCCGAAGCTAAGCGATACTAACGATTGTGGTAGCTCTGGGAATTTCTTGTACATATTGAGGAAAAGATCTAAATTCTCAAGATGCTCGAACTTGGCTAAAGAAACTGTATCGTCGCAAAACTTATTGCGATCTGCAATCAAATCGGTTATGTTTAAAGAGTTGAATAGTGATTTTGGAATATGATCGAGATGATTGCCTGATAATGTGATGCTTTTCAAATTTGGATATTCTATAACTTCAGAATCCGCTATATCAGCTGCAATTTCATTGTACGATATATCGAGTGTAGCCAAATTTAATAGTTTCTGCGGAATGAGTTCAAGCCGATTGTGTGAAAGTAATAAAGACTTAATTGGATGGTCAGGAGGAATATTATATGGAATCATCTCAATATTTTCACCACTAAGATTAAGTTCATCAATGGTACTTTCAAGAACGGGCGCACTTTCATTCGTACCCATTCTTTCTCAAATGGAATTCAAATTTACAAGATTTACAAAAACTCTCAAAACTTTGAAATATTTACGGTATTGTAATTTTCAGAAATACCTCGTCCAAGAAAAAAAAATATTTACAATAGGGAAAAAAAAACGACCACAATAAATAACTCGTGTTCCTTATCGTCTGCATAATAATAATCTTAATTAGACGATTATTGAAACCCATTGCATTAATTATTCCTTTGTATTACAATAAATATGGAATTGTCAATTGCTTTGTTTAAATTTAGTTATTAGATTGAAATCTCTTGTGCAAATAGTATGTATGCATTGAAATTAACTCTTGTACCTCATAGTTAGTATGGTACTCCATATATATTTGGGAATTTCGATTCTTTCCTTAAAAAAATGAAGGTCTCAAAGGACTATATGACCTAGCACATATGTTTTTTCTTTCTATATATCATAAATTATGTGTTAGTTAGTTTTATCTTACTAAGTAAACTATATATATGAAAATGTTCATAGAGAATTTATGATTTCTGATTAAGTAAACTCTTACAACATATTCTTTATAAGTTAGGTGATTGAATTTATGAAAGGTTGGCTTGATTGATGGTTTTTGTCAATTCTGACGAAATCTTATTTTCCAAAATCAGAGCAAATAATGAGGACAATTATATGATTTTTATGATCATCAGCATAAAAGAAGCATATATTTCAGGTTAAAACGCAATGAAAATTATTCGAAATTCCCAAAATTGCTGAGTGAAGTGTTGTCAGAAATAATCGTTTTCGCATGAAAAATTGAAAAAGTCTGGTCGATCACACACTAATGTCAGCTGCCAAAGCCAGCGTTCAGGAGTATCTCCAGAAGACAAAAGCTAACGAATATATTGAGGAAGCTATGAACGAGCTCCTTAAGACAAAGCCAGAAGATACATTCGGCGTTCTTTCAACACTTCTTAGAAAGCATGCACTTCCACCAACAGTTGATCACCTTGTTGGCCGTGAAGTCCTCGACTCTCGCGGAAATCCAACAGTCGAAGTTGATGTCTACGCAAATTACCTCGGCCACATTCAATTTGCTGCTAATTCATCCGCTCCATCCGGCGCCTCAACAGGCTCTGGCGAAGCATACGAACTCCGCGACAAGGATCCAAAGCGCTATGGTGGCAAGGGCACACTTACAGCTGCTGGCAATGTTACAAACAAGATTTCCCCAGCCCTTAAGGGAATGCCACTTGCTGACCTCAAGGCTCTCGATAAGAAGATCTGCGACACAGATGGCACAGAGCTCAAGCAAAACCTTGGTGGCAATGCTTGCACAGCCGCCTCATTCGCTCTTGCTACAGCTGCTGCTGAATTAAACGAAGAGCCACTCTTCATCTACCTCGCCCGCAACTACTACGGTGCTGAGAACATGCCAAAGAAGTACACACTTCCATCTCCATTCTTCAACATCCTTAACGGCGGCAAGCACGCTGGTGGCAACCTCAAGCTCCAGGAGTTCATGGTTTCCCCACGCAAGGATGTCCCATTCCCAGACCAGCTCCGTATGGTCGCTGAAGTTTATCAGAAACTCGGCGCTCTTCTTTCCAAGAAGCACGGCGTTTCTGCCAAGAACCTCGGCGATGAGGGTGGTTTTGCACCATTACTCAACACACCAGAGGAAGCCATCCAGACAATCGAAGAAGCCATCGTCGAAGCCGGCTACAAAACAGGCGTTGACATCTTCCTCGGTCTCGATGCCGCCTCATCCGAATTCTACAACGCCGAAACAGGCAAGTACGAAGTCGAAGTCGGAATGTTCAAGACAGGCGACGAGATGATCCAGTACTGGAAGGACCTCGTTGCTCGTCACCCATCAATCATCTCAATCGAAGATGGCCTCGACGAGAAGGACTACGCTCACTGGACAAAGCTCAACGCTGAACTCGGTGGAAAGATCCAACTCGTTGGTGATGACCTTTACACAACAAACCCGAAGACAATCAAAAAGGGTCTCGAGGGCAAGTGGTGCAACGCTCTCCTCCTCAAGGTCAACCAGATCGGTACAATCTCCGAGGGTATGGAGGCCGCTAAACTCATCCTCGATGCTGGCCAGCGCGTCATGGTTTCCCACCGCTCAGGCGAAACATGCAACTCCGTAATCGCTGACCTCGCTGTCGCCATCGGCGCCCAGTCTATCAAGACAGGATCAACAGCTCGCGGAGAACGCATCCAGAAGTACACAAGACTCCTCCAGATCTACGAATACCTTAAGGAGCACGATATGCTTGCATAAAAATATACTTTATATTTTTTACCTCAAATTACAATTGATTTCGGACTTGGACTCAAACAAGGGAAAGTATATTAATGCAAAAACTTAAAGTATTTAAAGGAACGACAATAAAATATATTCAAAAATATCTTTTTGTCATCGAATTCGAATCTGATCTTCACTATTAGCATTTTATATTGTTAATTTCATATATGTTTGATATGAAGACATAGAAAGGCAAATGATATAAAGATTCAAATATTGATGACAGTTAAAAAAAAATAAATGTATTGTTATTCAACATAAACGCAATAAAAATTGTTTAAACAAGAAACATCATGTTGAGTTCACTGCGATCTGATTCTGCTTCTTGTTTGCCGTATTTCTTCTTGCAAACAACAACAGTTGAAATAACGATGATAACAAGGATAAGACCAACAGCGGCGGCTGAAGCAATGACAATGATCTTCATCTTCTTGTCGTGTTCTTGTTTCTTGCCGCTTTGGTTATCATTACTGCTCTCGCCGCTGTTCCCACTTGGACTGTCAACCGGGATCTGTGCTATTGTTTGAGTTGTTGGCAAAGGTGTGTTTTCTTTTGTCGCTGTGGTTGTTAGCAAAGTTAATGATGTTGTTATTTTCTTTGTTGGAGTTTTTGGTGTTGGCGTCTTTGGAGTGGGCGTTCTTGGTGTTGGCGTCTTTGGAGTGGGCGTTTTTGGTGTGGGAGATCTTGTAGGAGACCTAGTTGGAGATCTAGTTGGTACTGTAGGAGACCTAGTTGGTGATCTTGTAGGAGATCTAGTTGGTGATCTTGTAGGAGATCTAGTTGGTACTGTAGGAGACCTAGTTGGTGATCTTGTAGGAGATCTAGTTGGTGATCTTGTAGGAGATCTAGTTGGTACTGTAGGAGATCTAGTTGGTGGGGGAGGAGACCTAGTTGGTGATCTTGTAGGAGATCTAGTTGGGGTTTTCTCTTCGGCAGTACAATCGACTGGATAAATTGTATAATCATATACATTGGAGCTGTATTTTACTTGTATGTCAATTCTTTTTCCAATTAATTTCTTATAATCAATATCATACCAGTTAACTTGAGGTAAACTTGTAAGATTAAACATTGCTCCACGTTGACTTCCTCCATAGTTCCCTGTTGTATAAAATCTATAGGCAATATTTTGAGTAACTCCATCAAATTTAACCGAAATTTGTAAGGGACCTTTTTCCGGAATTCCTGGAGCCCAAAAGCTGAATCTATTGTATATAAACTCAGCTGGAAAGTAACCTGGAGGTGGATATGCTGTGAACGGAAGCTTTTCTTCGGTTGAAGATCCCATGTTAAAGGTCTTCATTGCCACAGAGTTTGTCAAGCCTTCATCTCCTGATCTTTCTGAATTATAAGCTCCTCCAAATGCTGTAGTTTTAAGACCACCATAAAAAACCCATCTTCGATGCCCTATGTTTTCGTTACCATTGCCAGGATCTTGAATAAATTGTTGAATAGCCTGTGGCGCATCATAACTTCCATAGCCTGCGCCAAGATTGGATGAAGAGCATCCATTGTATGCTGCCTTCGTATAGCATTTTTGCGCTGAAGTAGGTTCGTGATTCAAATCTCTATTAACCACATTGCATATTGCACATCTAACCTGTTCATCATCAAAACCTGATGCAAGAGTGACTTTTGTGTCATATCCGACAAGCCATCTCATATAATTAAGCTCTGAAAGCGCTTTATTATCGTCTGTTGCTTTATCATAGTTCAATTTGGTGCATGAACCTTTTTGATCTTGATATGGAGGAGACCGACTATACTTCGTGCTGTATACATCTGTTTTATATCTGTTGCATACCTCGGCTCTCGTCCTTCTTTCAAGCTTATCAAAGCGGATAGATATAAAAAATAAAAGCATGATTTTGGAAATTATGTCAGAAAATAATTGAAGCTTTTTTCAAAATTATTATATTATAATATGAATCTAATTTGATTGGATATGTTAAACATATCTGATCTGATTTTGGTGGCAAGTCGATTGAAAAATCTGACAAAAACACGAAATTAAAAAAATTAAGCTTATCTCTATTGCATGATCCAAATTAATTTTATGATTAATCAGAATTTTTGAGAAGTTAGATTATGAACGGTTTGTGAAGTAATTAAGCAATTGCATATATAATGCATTTGAAAAATAAATAATAAAATTATTTATCCAAGATAATTGAATGAAATAAGACCATATGTTCACAAAATAAAATTGAATAATAAACGCAATAAAAATTGTTTAAACAAGAAACATCATGTTGAGTTCACTGCGATCTGATTCTGCTTCTTGTTTGCCGTATTTCTTCTTGCAAACAACAACAGTTGAAATAACGATGATAACAAGGATAAGACCAACAGCGGCGGCTGAAGCAATGACAATGATCTTCATCTTCTTGTCGTGTTCTTGTTTCTTGCCGCTTTGGTTATCATTACTGCTCTCGCCGCTGTTCCCACTTGGACTGTCAACCGGGATCTGTGCTATTGTTTGAGTTGTTGGCAAAGGTGTGTTTTCTTTTGTCGCTGTGGTTGTTATATCTTCCTGTGGAGTTGTAACCTTGGGTGTTGGCGATCTAGATGGTGATGGAGATGGTGACCTTGATGGTGTTGATTTCGTTGGAGATCTAGTTGGAGATCGTGTAGGTGATCTAGTTGGTGTTGATTTCGTTGGAGATCTAGTTGGTGGTGGTGAAGGAGATCTAGTTGGTGGTGGTGTAGGAGATCTAGTTGGTGGTGGTATAGGAGATCTAGTTGGTGATCTTGTTGGTGGTGGTGTAGGAGATCTAGTTGGAGATCTTGTTGGAGTTTGTTCTTCTGCATCGCAATCAATTGGTTTGACGGTATAATCATAGACATTTGAACCATACTTCACTTGTATATCAATAGTCTTTCCGATTAAAGTTTGATAATCAATATCACTTAAATAATCCATTGGTAAACTTGAAATATTGAACATTGCACCACGTTGTGGTCCACCATACCAATCCGTTGTATAATATTGATATGCAATATTTTGTTGAACTCCGTCAAAATTCACTGTAATTTGCAACGGTCCGCCTTCTGGGATTCCTGGAGCCCAAAAACTAAATCTATTATATATAAATCTGGCTGGGAAATAGCCTGGTGGAGGATATGCTGTAAATGTTAACTGATCTTCCGGTGGCCATCCCATGCCAGATGTTTTCATTGACACAGAGTTTGTAAAGCCTTTTTCATCTGATCTTTTTGAATTGTAAGCTCCACCAAATGCAGTTTGTTTAAGGCCACCATAAAGAACCCACCTTCTATGGCCTAAGTTTAAATTAGATTCGCCATTATCTTTGATAAATTGCTGAACTGCCATTGGTGCATCATAATTTCCATAGCCTGCACCAAGATTTGAAGATGAGCATCCATTGTATCCTGCACTTGAATAACAAGTTTTAGTTGAAGGAGGGGTGTGATCTAGTTCTCTGTTAATTACATTACATATTGCGCATTTGACTTGTTCATCATCATATTGTGATCCTGAAAGAAGTGTAACTGGTGTATCAAATCCAACAAGCCATCTCATGTAATTAAGTTCTTTAAGAGCTTTATTATCGTCTGTTGCTTTGTCGTAACTTTTTCTACCACATTGTCCTGCTTGATCTGGGTAAATAGAAGTTCCCCAGTAATCATAACTAGTACTAAATACATCAGTTTTATATCTATTGCATACTTCAGCTCGAGTTCTCCTTTCAAGTTTATCAAAACGGATGGAAATTAAAGAAAGAAGCATAATTTGTTAAAATGATATAATTCAATAATTGAGAGTATTATCAAAATATGAATTTAAGGATGTCAATTTGGAAGAAAAGTGAGAAAATTCCTAAAATGCTAAAAATGAATTTTCCAAACGTCCTTTTTTATCTCATGTTTTTGATTTTGAAAAAAATTTGGAGAGAAGAACTCTTCGTTTTTGAATTTTATCACGATGGTTTTAAAGTATATTAGACACATGTATTGGTATTACTATTTTTGTATATTTTGAGAGAAAATCCCTAAAAAGTGAGAAAATCTAAGACGGTTTGAGAAAATATATAAACTATTGAAAATTTGAATTAAACTTCTAATTTGGAAAAAAGAAATTTGGAAAGAAGAAAATTCAAAAATCGAGATTTAGACTCAGCATCAAATGGAGAACAAAATGTTTCTTCATATGAAGGAAAAAAATTTTCTTGTGAAGAAATAGAGTTTTTAAAATTTTATTGTATGTAATGAAATAAACAAATATTAAAATTATTTTTTGATAACAAGAAAATTCCCAATAGAAAATATTTGAGAGAAAGAAAAAAAGAAAATTGAAAAATATTACTCTCCTTTATATTTCATGAGATTTTAAATTTATTCTCATAAAATTGACAATTTTATACGTTTAGATGAAAATAAGTGATTTTGGTTGAAATAGAAATTATTATTTGCTTACAGCTATCAAATAGATTTTTGCTATTTTGATTAAAATTTGTTAAGGGTCCACTGTAAGGCCAAATAAGGTCTATCGTCGTCCCAAAAATATTGCTCGAGATGGTGTTTTTACTAAGGCCCAAAACTTAAAAAAACTCAAAAAAATTAACTTTACTCTTTTGAGATCCTTATCAGATATGCATCAATTTGATGCAGTATCGCAGTTCGAATCTGATTTTTTAATGTAGATATACTCTAACATTCTTGAAAAAATGCAAAATAATATTAATTAAGCTTTTCATTTCTGTATCATACACGAAACAAAATCATTCATTATACTAAACTTTATCAAAGTTTGAATAATGAAAAAAAAAATATATCTAAATTTTTACATTGAGTCTGCTATTGATATGGTTAATATTAAATCTTGTAACAACGGGCATTGGCCAAAATAATACCCGCTAAAATACACAATTTTTTAAAATTTTATCAATTTGTTATGGTGCATATTTATGACAATGAATAAAATGCTTATCCTTCATAAGTAAATACATAATTTATGCTTAAACACAAAAAATAACACGAAAATTTTTGGCCAACATATCAAAACTAAGGATAATGTTTTGAATATATAAGCAATAATACTAAAAAAAAAAAAAAAAAAAGGAAGTGGGGCCTCCAGGCACTTCGTGCCCTCTAGCCCCGAAGATGTTTAGTATAAATGAAGTATAAAATGAGGTTTTTTTTGGGTATAGGGGGCTTCCCAGGGGCTGCGCCCCTTCTAGCCCATAAAAATTTTTGAAAGTCGTTGTCGTTGACTTTTCGGTAAAAAAATAGTATAACTATGTCCGGACAAGTAAGGGTCTATCGTCGCTACAGGAAAAGTTACGGGCGTTCCAAGGAAGTATACTTTGAGAGACTCTTTAGAAACTTTAGACGTTTTACATAACCATCCATGTTTTTACTTTACATCCGATAAAAGTGGTTTGGAAACCGTTATGAGATGGTTAGAGGACATACATGACTATGAGTTTAGATATGACAAGATAGAATATGAGAGAGGTCCTATAAACCGGAGAAAGTGTCATATAAACATCTGTCAAATGACGCTTTTTAACTTCACTTAAAATGCCACGTAAGATACGTAAGAATATACGTAAGAGGAAGGGAGCATTGAAACATCCAATAGTAAAACTAACACCACAACAACAGTTGCAACAACAAATGCTGAATGACCCCACTATGTTGCAACAAATGTCAAGCAATCCTATGCTTTTAAACCGAGTTGTTGGTGCACAGAGTGGAGGTTTAAGAGCGGCACTTTTAGCGAAAATGGCAGGCTATGGTGGAGCTGCAGACGGAACAGCCTATAACCCTCAAAGTCAAATGAATTTGAGTTCACTCAAAAATCAAATAACAGATGTCAAAAAGTCAAACATAGACATACAGAAGCAAATAAGTGAAAACGAAAAGAAACTAGAATATGACAGACACACAAAGAAACTCAATGAGTTAAACGTAGAGAAAAAGAAGAAAGAAGAACAACTGAAAGAACTAAGTACAGAGGAATATGCGAAAAAAGTGTCAGAAAAAGCAGCAGAAGTAGCAAAAATGGAACAAGATGTCATAAATTTGAAAAACCATACTACTCAATATAAAGTACTGAAAGATGAAGAGATAAAACAAAAAGCCCTGAAGACATATATGGATAGCGATGAGTATAAAAAAGAAGTTGAAGCAAATGTAAAGGCAGAAAAACTTTTACAGTTGCAAAACCAAACCGTACAGTATGAAAACTTAGCACAAGAAAGTAAAAATAACGACGCAGCCATGCAAAAGGCAATGAAAAGCGCAGAATATATAAAAGCTAACAATGACTGGTTAGATGCCCAAGCCAACGCTAAAGCAGCCCAACTTATAGGGTCAATAAGGACAAAAATACAAGCGGATGAAGACAGTTCAAATGAAGCTTTAATGAATGCTGACTTTAAGAACGCCTTCGAAGCTCTTCATAGTAAGGTGAAACTAGTGAACGACTTCTCATCTGGAAAGAAACTGAAGTCTGAAGGTTTCGACAAAGAGTTAAAAGAAGTAGCACAAAATATGACGAAAATAACAGATGCAGCAACGAGACAGGCAGTTCAAAGTGCCTATGACGCCGTTAGAGCAACTGTTGTGGAAAGTCAAGAAAAAGAGTTACAACAGACCAGAAAAGACCTAGTAAATGCTTTCTTAAAAACGAAAAATCAGGTAGGACATTACGCTGCAGATGGAACATATGTGCCAGCTGGTGGAACTTATATACCAGCTGGTGGAACTTATATACCAGCTGTTGGAATTTATATACCACCAAACCCTCCAAGAGAAGCACCTGCACCAGGACTACCTAAAACATTTACATCGTCACATGGACACAGACACAGGCATGCACCAAAACCAACAGTTCAAAATCCAGCACAACAACCAACAGTTCAAAACCCTGCACAACAACCAACACAACAACCAACACAACAACCAACAGTTCAAAACCCTGCACAACAACCACCTCCACAACCAGCACAACAACCACAAACAGAGCAAGGACATAAAAGAAGTAGAGAACAAGAAAACCAAGAATTCTTAAAAATGCTTAAGGAAGAGTATGGTTACCCAGATAGTATTGACTTTAGTGACAGATATAAAGAAGCTATTAGAAAGTTCAAGGATGGAAATACTGACCCGAACCTATTTAGCTTTATGACTCAGCACCAAATCGAATATAATCTCAAACCTGGAAAATACAAGCTCGCTAAGGGATATGATTTAATAGCATATCATCCAAATGACATGGATGAATTTACTCCGAGATATTTGATGTCAGAGCTAAATGACGATTCAACTCTCTTCATAAAACGCGTAAAAAATAGAGACGGAACGAAAGAAGAAAGGCTTATGAATGCGGATGACTTAAATAGGGAATTTGCTAAAAACCGTCTCGGAATATATGAAATGTCACCAAATAAGGTACAAGAAACTCAACAGGAAGAAACTCCACAGGAAGAAATAGTTCAGATACAACCAGACATGGAAGAAATAGTTCAGATACAACCAGACATGGATGAAATAGTTCAGCAACAACAGCTAGAAGAGCCTGAAGGAAACGAACAAGTCCCTCCTTTGGAAACTAACTTCATAGAACTAGATGAAGATTTGGAACAGCCGAAAAATCTTGACCCTCAACAAGTGTATGCGGAGAATATGGAATATTTCCAAGAGTCTAAAAAAAATTCGGCTGACATAGTAGAAGAATATCGAAAAATGTTTGCCGACATACAAAAGACTCCAACACCAGATGAAAATATTCAGCATAGAATGGAAGTACTGAAAGAAAATGTACGCAAATACAACAACCCTTTTTACTTACGAGCATATAACGTTCAATCTTCGGATGAACTCGGTGAAAATAAAAGGTTAAATTTCAACAAAACATATAGAAATGAAACATTGTTTAAAGTTCATTCAGAACCTAGCCAAGATGGAAACAAACCTACTTTTGTTTCTGCAGACTATGGAACTACAATGAGATGGGGTCATAAAGCTAACCCGGATAGGTGGTTCATAAACTTACAACCACAATTCCAAGAAGTTGTAGACGCAATGGAAGTGAATGGTGAACGAGATATAGCTGGTATTTTAAGCGCGGCTTTAATGCCATTGAAAGATATGAAACATGCAGATATTTTGGACCAGTATGAAATGAACATGGCTGATGGAAATATAACACCTGACGTTCTAGAACATTTATCTCAAAGAACTACACAGAACCATAGAGATGGTATATTTGGTGAAGAGTTTAGAAAGAGAGTTAGGGAGAGAGAAGGAAGAGAACCTATTGTACATGACCTTGCAAACGAAAGTTTACAAAATGTCATAAAAACTTACTTTGCAGACGATGAACTGAGAAGGGATGAATATTTAAGAAAACTCAAATTGACAGTACCAAATGAAATGTTAGTATTGAAAAACATGTTCCTTGACAAAATAAAACCAACTACAGAAATAAATGACGCAAGACTGAAAGATTGGGTAAAAGCTTTCCCATTCACAAAAGATATTGTTGGTAACATGGAAAGAAAACCAGAATGGCTACAAAAACATATATTTGGAAACGAGCTTATTCCATATGGACAGGCACTGTTTGAAGAGCTTGAACCGGAAACTCAGGAAAGAGTCATGCAAACAATAAGCGACGACTCAAATACAAACTATGACAAACTCTTTCTAGGATATAGGTTACCTGAGATGGGCGACCAGAGCCCAAAGGCAAAAAGGACATGGAAAATTTGCAACATACTAGATGAACATGAGGCAAAGATGCAACAACTTGAAGCAGAGGGCAAGTTACCAAAAGCGACACCAAAGAAGAAGAGAAGAGTAGAACAAAGTGAAAGTAGTGAAGAAGTAACTTCATCTAGTGAAAGTAGTGGCAATGAAAGAAAAAGAAGAGTTAAAAACTCAGTCAGGAAGAAAGTAAAGCTTGGTCCACGTGGGTTCTATTATGACACATAAATCCAACTATTCTATATTTTTACCCATATGAAATGTACGCCGCTCAGAATATAACGCCAACAGTTTTGGATGCCATGAATGGAAATGTTTCCGAATGGTATAACGAATGCGACAATGCCATTAGAAGGTCAGAAATAGTTCCTGGAACTTACGAATATACAACTGCTGTTTCTTATGGAAACGTAGGTGAGTTTGGTGAAGGTTCTTCAACAACAGTAGATATTGCATGCGACAGGTTTCACATTATTTCTATTGACAACTCATTCTTATACGTGGAACAAGACATTGAAATAAAACCTTCTGCCAAGTTGTCTGACAAGAAAGGTTGCAATGGAATTTTCTATGTCGGATACCAATATGCTCCAGAAGTTTTCATGGGATATAAGATATATTCTAACTCTGACTTAGTTCAAACAGTAACATGGGCAAACTATGAATGGTTCGCTTTGAGAAACTCAGTACAACCACAAGCTAGAGAACAAACAGACCAGTACGCAACTATTGAGAAAATAAGAAGACTTGACCCTAACGTTCCAGGAGTTTATGTTAACCTTTCTGGACAAACTGCAGCAGCAGTAACCAAAGTAAAACTGAAACTTAGAGTTCCTTTGTCATCTTTCCTCATCTTCAGGTTTTTAAGATACTTGCCAAACTGGGCAGGAAAAATTTCTATCGAACTTACTCCAAGCAAAAATAACTTAGTCATTGCACCAACACAAGACCCATTCACTCTTACAGACGTAAAGGGAGCAAATCAAACGTCATTCGCCGAATTTTGCAAAGACAAAGTTGACTTAGACTTTGGTTTCTCAAACTTCAACACTGAAGTAAACTATTATTTCAATGCTGCTGGAACTGCTTGGGACCCAGTTAAGTTCACATGCGAAAAGTTTGAATGCAAGAGAATAGAAAGCAGACTTGCAGTCTATATGTTGGACCCAGATATTTCAAATGCTTTAGCTGCCAAATATATTGCAGTTCCACTTATGTTCCCTATACACCAAATATCTGTCAAAGACTTTGCAGGTGAAGTTGGAAACCAAAGTGCTGACCCAGGTGCAAGAACAGATATTGCTTTAACAACTGCAATGAAACATGCAGATACTATGTTTGTACTGTTCAGACGAACTATAAATGACTATTCTTGTTTCTACAACCCTGGTATTAAATATCATATAAACATAGATGGCAAATATTATCCAAGAGAAGAATATTCTACAGTTGAAGATATGAGGTCATACAACTTGACATTAGATGCTATGAACTTTAACAACAACTTCACAACAACCATTAACCCTGAAATGCAAAGTTCTATTATGCCATATGTGAAAGTATGGACCCATACAGGAGCTCAAAAAACTCAATATACAAATGGAGACCGTTCAAACTTTTGGCTTGGCATTCCATTTGCTGACTCAGAAGACTTTATGGGTGGTATTTCAACTGTTGGTACAGTTCAAATACAATATACTGGTGACAGAGACGGTCCAGATGAATTGAGAGCAAAGAAGTTTACAAAACCAATAGCACTTTTCACGGAAGATGCTCTTTTGAAGATTCGTTCGATGAAACCTGCTGGGGCTCCTCAGATTGGCATAACGACAGCTTCCATCGAGCAGATTTTGGCAGCAGGTCAGTAAGTTGTTCTTGAACTGACTTCTCTCCGTCAAATATTGACAGTACGCCAGTTTTGACATAGTATTGTATTATAAACTTACCTTTAGAAATATCGGTCAGTTTTGAAGTCATATTTTTGTCAACGTCAAGAACTTTCACCATTTCAGTTATACCAACTTTCTTTGCTTTATGAAAATATTTTGGTTCAGCAAAGACTGCTATTCTATAACATTTTCCATTGTTTGTGTAAAGAACTATTCTATCAATGAACTTGTATTGTTTGTGTGTGTAAACTTTGTTTTGCTTCAATTCGAAGAGATACTCAAATACGTCCATCTTTTTATTCTAAGTAAAATGTCATTTCCGAAAAATAGAAGCGTAAGTGTTTCAAAAGGTTTAATGGCGGTGGCAGATGTGAAGTTAAATTCACCAACTCAAACAAACAGTCAAAGTGTTGTTGTCAATGTCAAAGACAGAGATGTTGAAGTGGGGAAACCATACGAAGACGAAGATGGTATAACAATAGTTCCTGTAAAAGAACAACCAACATATCCTGAAGTTAGCAGAGACTTAAGTTCTGTTGCAGATATTCGAAATGACTACCAACAACTTAAAGACAAACTTAAAACTCAGGAGAAGATTTGTCAAGCTTTAGGTATAATGTTAAACTTGGTCGAACACAACCCTGTAAAAGTGAACTCATATGTCATTGCACCTCATGAAGTTTTGAAAGAACTATTGAAACTTTTGACAGAGGCAGACGATATAAACATCAAAGAAATAGAACCCGACATTGCTTGCTGTGGTGTTTCATATAATGTCATTGACAAGATATACGTTATGAAAGGAGGTGAAACGTTGAACTTAAAATATAGTTTCCCAGACGTCATAAAAATATTTGACGACCACAACATTTCATTAAAATTTAGTTGCTAAGTAAATGGCAGAAGACATAGTGGTTTATACTATTACGACTAAAAACCCTGAGTCATATAATTCTATAACAACAAACTTACAAAGTCCTCAAGGACGATATTGTAAACTGACCTTAAACACGATGACGACTAAAGCCTGTTTTGCTCTTTTGACACCAGAAGATTTTATTGTTGTGAATGGTAAAAAATACTCCTTTGAAGATACTTACTCAGATATACCACCAACAGGTTTTGTTGACTTATTTAATACTTTAAGGACGGATGTAACATGTGCTGCAACTAGAGCAGGTTTCATTATGTTTGGATGTCCGACTGAGTTTAGTATAAACGATATGAGCTATAATACAAAACTTATATCTGGTTTTTACTACCAACAGTTTCCTATAACAGGAAAAGGTGTCATACAAGGTTTGTCTATTCCATTGACTTTAAGTACACCTATTTTATATATTGTTTCAAACTTAGGTTCAAAGTGCTATTCGAATGTCGACAGAAACTACTATGACCAAAAGATACTCATGCGTATAAACAACACTTTCTCTGCTGGTTTGCCTATTGTTCATTCGAATGCAGAGTTTTCAGCTTTAGTAAACTCAAACACTTTAGCAAACATAAACTTAACCTTAGTTGACGCAAACTTTGTTCCTGTAAAACTTTATGTCCTATGTATTTGTCAATGACGGCAGAAAGTTTCGAATTGGAAGATGCAACTGGTGAAAAGTATTGTACTACAAGAACAACTTCAACAACAAATAGCTCAAGAACAACAAATGGAACAAATGGAACAAATGCAACAACAAAGTCAAGAATAAAAAAAATATTTTTTTTTATTTTTATAAAAATGTACAGAATAGATGTTTCAGATTTTTTATGACTTCCAAGCCTTCAGAAATATGTGTCCATTTAGAGACTATAACAAGCAGTCGAGAATTTGAAACGTTTAGTCATTTATGTCGACTCTGCCCCAGAATGTTATGTCATGAAAGAATGGGATGTTGTCTTTAACAAACCAAGAGCAACAATAGTTTCAGAAACAAGAATGTAAACAGAAACTTAAGAAAATAAAAGTCGTACAAGTTGGTATGAAGATGTTAGATGCTTGGATATCTTATTGTCAAAGTTAGATGATTTTTCAGTTCGTGGTATAAAGTTCTATACACCATCTCCAAACTTCTATTCTATCTTCACTGGATATAAATACGAACAAGTAGAATGGAAAGAAAATGTTATAGAAGCTTGGTTAGACCATGTCAAAGAAATTATATGCAATGGAAACGAAAGAGTATATGAGTATATCTTATGTTGGTTTGCAAACATCTTACAACATCCAAGTGCTAAAAATGAAACTGCTCTCATTGTAATTGGAAAAACAAGGAACAGGTAAGAACACTTTCTTTACAGATATCTTATGCAAACTGTTAGAGGCTATTCGAATCCGAATATGACAAACTTAGAAAACATCTGTGGCAAGTTTAACTCCTCAATAGAGAATATGAAACTTATAGTATGTAACGAACTTCAAAGTATAGATAACAACAAAAGTTTTGAACTCAGATGCTTTGAAGAGTCTTATAACAGACAAAGTTGGAGTTGTTGAAAGAAAATATAAAGACCAAAGAGTTTGTGAAAATGTTGCAAACTTCGTCATGGTTTCAAACAATGCCGTTCCGATGAATTTAGAAAGTTCTGACAGAAGATATGTAGTTGTCAGAACGTCAGATTCTCATATGCAAGATACAGAATATTTTGACGACTTAGCAGAAACTTTGACATCTGACTTTTACAAACCACTTGTTCTCATATTTCATGACATTAGATATTTCTAAGTTCAATCCAAGACAAATTCCACATACCGAAGAGAGACAAACATTGTTAGAAGCAAACAAGAGTGTATATGAACTGTTCATAGATGAAACTGACTTTGAGTGTTTAGATGAAAGGTCATTGTACGATTCGTATAAACAATATTGTCAAGAGTATGGTTATATGACAGCGTCTAAACGAACATTCTTGGCAAATGTCAAAAGTCTTTTAGACGTACAGAATGGTGTATATACAAAGAAAAATTTTTCTGAGTAAATTTTAAAAAAAAATATTTTTTTATCCGATAGAAAAGATGACGAAATTCATCTCAGTAAACAAGTACATGTCAGGACTTAAAGAAGAACTAGACCCATTCACATATTTGAATGTTTACTTCTACACCTTTTGAAAAGTCTACATTTGACAAAGTTTGGAACATCGAACCAGTTAAGTTTGCTATTTGACTAAAAATGGTGCGAAATTTGAAAGACTTAGACATAGAAGGTTTGTTAACAGTCAAGAGAAAGTTTTGACAGAAGGTTCTCAAACCTTAAAGAAGGCAAAGCATACAAACTTGTTATACCTTATGAACCAAAGAAAGCAGACGACTATGAATATTATGAGTCTAAGATAGTTGAAGTTCAAGGTAAATTGGGTAAAAGATTTTAGAGTCTAAGCCAGTGTTTGCTCCTAAAGAGGAAGAGAACATTGACATTGACCCAGAAATGTTCTAAAAATAAAATTTTATTTTTACATGTCAAATTTCTTTTCTCTGGCTCTGGTTCTTTCTTCTCTTCTTCTACTTTCTTTTCTTTTTTTCTCTCTTCTCTTTTCTGGTGGAGTTATGTCAAACTTCTCAGAACCATATTTTTGTAAAAGGTCTTTGTCCTTTAATAGCTCTTCTATTCTGTTTTCTATTCATTTTTCAAGAACAGCGCATGTGTCTTCTTGCATTCTAGAAGTTTTGTTGGACTTCATCTCTCCAAGAGGCGTCATCTCTGTCAACAAGTCTGTCATTGACAAATTTTAAGACTTCTCTGCTTAATGTTTTATGGTTCTTGTCATATTCCCAGAAACAGAACTTTAGAACAAATTCACCTTTCTTGTTTACACTATGTAATATTTATGGTCGACAGATGTTTTGCTGTCGAAAAGCTTGTCTCGAATATAGATAGCGAATCGCTAGACATTTTCTAAAAGATAAAAATTTTAATTTTTCTAAAATATGTTAGAAAAAAAGTTTGCTGACATTGACAAGAAATTTGAGAATTTTAAATAAATAAGAACAAGAGGAAGTTGGAAAATGCTCAGAATAAACCATACATGACAAGTTTTATTTGCTCAGAATGGTATAACAGGTCTAATTGCACCACCTGGGTCTGGTAAGACTTTCACTTATCTTAAAATGGCTGCACAACAACAAGAACTAGATGAGAAGAACCCATTCTATGAGTTAGTAGTCATTTGTAGTACTTCGGGTCAATTTGACCAAACCGTCAATTCGTTCAAAGATATATAAAGAAGTCTAAGTTAGTATGTATAAAAGACTCTGAGTTGTTAGATTGGATAAAGAAGTACCAAAGAAGAGTTTTGAAGTACAATGCTATAAATGAGTATGTCAATTCGAAGTTTAAAGACCCAAATGAGGAAATGCAGAGAATATTAGAGAAGAAACACTTCAGAAACAAACAGAAAGAGATAGAATACATTTCGAAGAAATTGCAATCTTACGATTGGAAGACTTACCCTCACAGATGTCTTCTTATCTTAGATGACTTTGCTTCTCATCCTTTGTTAAAGAACAGAGAACAAGACATGTGTCGAATTCTTAAGAAGCTCAGACACTTTAACATTTCAGTTGTCATTTGTGTACAGACAGCCAAGAGTTTAAGTAAGGATGTAAAGAGAATACTTACTGACATTGTACTTTTCCCCGGATTGTCCGAAGACGATTTCATGGAACTTATGAAAGAGTCCATGGCAGGTAAGTTTGACAGACATGAACTATGGGAGAAGTACAAAGTCATACAAGACCCTCATACTTCTTTCAGAATTCATATCTACGCAAACAAAGTTCAAATTGTAAAAAGTCAAGCTTGAAAAATGTAAGTGTTTGTCTTAGTCTGTTGTGGTGCTGGGGCTGTCGGTTCTTCTGGCTTTGGAAGACATTCAGGAAGAGGAACGTCAGCCATCCGTTTGTGTCCTGTCGGAAGGAAGAGTTCTTCCATTTGTCCGGAAATTTTTTTCCTGTCGGAAGGAAAAACTTTTCCTGTCGGAAGGAAAAACTTTTTCTGTCGGAAGGAAAAACTTTTTCTGAAGGTCGGCCAAAAAGTTCTCAATTTTCGAAAATTTGAATGGTTTACGGACGAACAACAGGAAAAATTTTTCCTGTCGGAAGGAAAATTTTTTCCAGTTGGAAGGAAATTTTTTTCCTGTTGGAAGGAAATTTTTTTCCAGTTGTCGGGAAATTTTTTTCCTGTCGGATGGAAGGACTCGGAATGCCAGAAGGATTTGACAAGACAATTTACCTTATAGAGCTACCTGAGCCATCTTTGGTGTCAAGCTTGAAAAATAAATGGTTCATTTACTCTGCTTGTTTGAAGTTGTCAAAATACTCTGTTATTTTTTCCTTCAGTAGCGGCAAATCTTCTTTGAATGTAAGTATTGTACAACCTTTCATATCATAGTGTGTTTGAGGAAGTGTGTCTTGAACTATCTGTTTAACATCTTCATTCGGTGTCATTGAAATCGGTAAGTTTTCGCGATAGAACCAATTTCTGTCAGATTTGTAAATCTTAGCTAAGTCGTAAAAGCTTTTGTTGTTTCTTCTGACTAAATGCAACATAACCATATCTCTGTCTTCTTCATTTTCCATCTCTTCAGTGTAAATCATATACTTATAGTTCTTTTCCTTTCCTTTTGGTACCGAACGTGGTATTCTTTTCTGTATGTTTTTGTCTTTTGCTTCAAGCTTGTTCTCTAGCTCTTCGCGTTCTTGTCTGTGAAGTTCGTCAAGAAGTTTACAAACATACCATGAATAGCGAGCTGAAGCCCATTGTGCCACATTATTTACGAGAAGTCTATGTACATACCAACCTCTCAAACCATTTGGCAATTTTTCACGATTTTCATAGAGTTTTGGCGACTGGGGTTTTTCTCCCACTCGCTGTTCTTCACTGTTTTCATAGAGTTTTGGCGACTGGGGTTTTTCTCCCACTCGCTGTTCTTCACGATTTTCAGAAAAAAGTATGTCTCGCTGTGCTTCATTTAATAGTTCAATAGTGCTTTGGTTCCTAAACCAGTCTTTAGGAAGCTTAGTATCTGGAGCAAAACATGCTGTCAAAATACTTTGCATTTGGTACATGTCATCTTTGACCGAACGAATGAGACGTAACTGTTTGTTATACTGAACCCACTCGTATTCTTCACTTATGGCTTCATGAACGATAGCAGTTGTTGTGTTCTCTGTTGTTGACATTTCTGTCTTTACATACAAAATAAAAAATAAAATAAAAATAAAATTAGCGTTATTTTCTGGCTTTCACAAAAGACCAAAAATAAACGCTTTACATGTATTTTTCAGCAACTTCGTCAAATAATTTTATAGCTTTGTCGATCTCATCTACTTCAAACGTTTCTTTACCTTTCGTGGGAGCACCATACATTTTCTCAAACTTTTCAAGTAGTTCTGTTTCAGCAGCTCTCATATCGTTAACAAACACAACCTTAACTCTATTGACTGTACTGTCATATCTTTGAGTTATATTAAATGTTCTTCCTATCTTATATCTCTTTGTATTGAAGTCCTTCGGTTTCTGAACGATGTAAAGTAAGCCTTCACTGCAACGTTCCGTATCGAATGAACCATATGTTATGAAATTATATCCAACAACTGGGTCAATCCAGAACAAAACTACTGGTATAAGACTTTTGTCTATAAGATATGCTCTTGTTCCATAGAATCTTACCGATATCATCAGCTCAGGATTTCTTGTCAAAATTTTCTGAGTTGAAGCATTTCTAACCCAGTCGTGGGATGTTTTCTTTCCAGATAGTGTTAAAATGTCTGACAAAGAATATTTTTTGTATTTCTTTGAGTATCTTACGTTTAAATCACCTATTCTAACCACTTTGGTGTCATTGTCTATCTTTTTAACTGTTTCAAACTCAATGTTTGTCATTTCCTGTTCTTACATACAAAATAAAAAAAATATTTTAAAAAAACTAACTTTATTTTATTTTTTCTATCTTGTATAAAAGATATGATTTCATAGAGTTTTTTTACGATTTTCATGAGTTTTAGGCGACCCCGGAAAAAGTCGGGGTCGCATTTTTTCACTGTTTTCATAGAGTTTTTTTACGATTTTCGTACGGAATCTCTACCCTCGGTTTTCCGAGGGTAGCAAACATATGAGGAAATTCATGAAATTTGGTCATTTTTTTCAGCAAAAATATATTTTAGGTGGAACCAGGTCCCTCGGTCACTCGGTCAACTAACATCTTTTTGAAAATAGTGACAACATGACATTTTGACAACAACACAGGAAATAAACTTCTTCGTATATGTTTTGTCAAGACTTCATCGTAAATGAGTGTAAATGACCCAAAAATATATTTTAGGGTAGATGGTTAGATCTCACCTCTTTTCTACCCTCATTTCTACCCCATATGTCCTTACTGAAAAAGTATGTGTTCCATATGTCATTTTACTCAGAATTTTATACAGAATTCAATAAAAATATATTTTAGGGTAGATGGTTAGATCTAACCTCTTTTCTACCCTCATTTCTACCCCATATGTCCTTACTGAAAAAGTATGTGTTCCATATGTCATTTTACTCAGAATTTTACTCAGAATTCAATAAAAATATATTTTAGGGTAGATGGTTAGATCTAACCTCATTTCTACCCTTTTTTCTACCATAAAGTTTTATAAGCGTTTTACATGGTAAACATTGTGAATTCGTGAAATTCTAAACAATTTCGTAGCTTCTATTTCTTCTGTCAGTACATCGAATGTTTTAACAATATTGAATGTATCTTTATATTTCTTCTTGACATCTGAAAGAAGGAAATCGTCAGCAGTTGGATAGTTTTTGTTCAGAAATGTCAACATGTCCATTTTATCTTCTGCTGGTTTCTCTACTTCTTTCTTTAAGTCAGCATAGTCGTTTCGCATACGTTCTATCTCTTTGACGGAGTAGTTATATTTCCTCATTACTGCTTTACATTTAGAACATTGTGGGTTCATTTTAGCATTGTACATTGAAATTTGACCTGCTAGAACAACTAAGGCGTCAATGGTTTTCTTTAACTCAAAAGTTGCGGGTTTTATTTGTTCATTCCATACCTTACCTCTTCTATCTTTATCTCTTATCTGCCATACACATTTTGCAACTAACGAAACAAAGTTGTCGTAGGTCTTAAATTCTTCAGATTTATATATGTCAATGAAATATACCATATCGCAGTCTTTGTCCATGACTTTGTGGTTGCAATGAAATCCAAGAAACTCATAGTTAACCTTACGTATGAACTTCTTTATTTCTACTGAGTCAGTTGCTTTGACTTCTATTTCATCGAATTCAGGAATAGTGAGCTTTTGTTGTTGTATTTCAGGAAGTTTAGGTAGATGGTCAATAATATCCTGCATTTCATAAAGATACTGTTCATTTGTTTCATCTTTTGCGGTACAGTCTAAATCTCCTTGGAGAAGTTCTTGCTTTATCTTCTGGATTTCTGTTTCGAAAGTATATGAAGAAGGAATGAAGCTTTTCATCTCTACTAACATTGAAGTTGGGTTCATGACTAACGAGTTTGGTGAAGTTGTTGCTAACATGTTCTTACAATAAAAATAAAAAATATTTTTTTAAAAAAACTAACTTTATTTTTTATGTTTTTTATGTTTTTTGTGAAAGTGTCAAAATTCAAGAGTTTTGTGCGTTTTCTACGATGGTAGAAATGAGGGTAGAAAAGAGGTTAGAAATGAGGTTAGATCTAACCATCTACCCTAAAATATATTTTTATTGAATTCAGCAACAAAATTCAAGAGTTTTGTGTGTTTTCTACGATGGTAGAAATGAGGTTAGAAATGAGGGTAGAAAAGAGGTTAGATCTAACCATCTACCCTAAAATATATTTTTGTCTGATTTACGCTCATGTTTGACAAAACATTTACGATGAAATCATGACAAAACATATACGATGAAGTCTATTTCCTGTGTTGTTGTCAAAATGTCATGTTGTCACCATTTTCAAAAAGATGTTAGTTGACCGAGGGACCTGGTTCCACCTAAAATATATTTTTGCCGAATTCAAGAGTTTTGGTTGAAAGAATACGGTGGAGCCAAAAGTGGCTCGACCTCAAAACAAGCATTTTGTGAAGAATATACCAACCGCCGGAATTCCGGCGGTTGCTTTTTTTATACAAAATTCAAGAGTTTTGTGTGTTTTCTACGATGATAGAAAAAAATGGTTCATTTACTCACAATATTTTTGTACAAAACGACCCCAAACTTTTAACTTCTTTTCTGCAGCTTCTAATGCTATCTTAGCGAGTTCATATTCTCTAAATTCTCTCTTTAAATCTTCTTGTTCCCATTGGTCTAGTTCGTATGGAGAGTCTCTATAACCATAACATATCTCACGTTCATGTTCTATTTGTTTTTCGCACATTTTTCTAACTTCTTGTTCGAACAAAGGTTTTGCATTCTCTACTGTATCTTCAAGTTCTTCTTCATCTAATTTCTCATGAACTTTCTTGTCTATGGAGTCCAGAATTTTTCCAACTGCTATGCAATATTTTGGAGAAGCCCACATTGCTATATAGTTTACAAGTCTTGGGTCTACATACGTTCCTCTAACCTGTTTGATTTCATCAGGAATTCCTGCATGAATTTTGTATAAAAAGCAACCGCCGGAATTCCGGCGGTTGGTATATTCTTCACAAAATGCCTTAAAATACTCTTCCCAGGACTTATTTTCCAACAACTTTCTAAAGTCTTTCCTAAACTGCTGACACATATTTGTTACATTTATATAACCATCCTTGTCTCTACGTAAGACTTCAATACCGTTATAGGTGCCTTTTGTGAATGTTTCGCCATTAGATTTGTTCGTGAACGTTTTTGCTTCGACTGTCATTTCAGTTCTTACAATAAAAATAAAAAATATTTTTGGGTGGTACGTCGGACATTCGTTTGTGGCTTAACCGTCGGACATTCGTTTGTGGCTTAACCGTCGGACATTGTCTTGAAACAGTACAAATATTGTCTTGAAACAGTACAAGACTAGTTCTGAGATCTCACCATCTAACCTAAAATATATTTTTGCCGAAAAAAATGAGTTTTGGTTGAAAAATACGGTGGAGCCAAAAGTGGCTCGACCTCAAAACAAGCATTTTGTGAAGAATATACCAACCGCCGGAATTCCGGCGGTTGCTTTTTTATACAAAATTCAACGGGTGAAAGAATACGAAGAAGTCATGACAAAACATTTACGATGAAGTCTTGACAAAACATGTACGAAGAAGTCTTGACAAAACATTTACGATGAAATCATGACAAAACATATACGATGAAGTTTATTTCCTGTGTTGTTGTCTAAATGTCATGTTGTCTCATTTTTTCAGAGAAGTTAAATTGACCTGGGGACCGAGGGACCGAGGGACCTGGTGACACCTAAAAACCATCTACCCTAAAATATATTTTTCAATACTTTTTCAATACTTTTCCGTAGTTGTATATGAAAGACAATTCGAGATAAAAGTCATAGTACAATGGTATTATATGCTGCACACCATTTGTTGTGAACCAAACTTGAAGGTCAGAGAAACTGTTACTAGGTGGTTCGTAGAATTTAGAAGCAAAGTCATAAAAGTCCTTACCAATACAAAGAAAACTATTGTTGCTTGAACTGAAACTTGCATGACACATAACATTTTGAGGGTCAAACACGTTTCTATAAACTGTCAAATCTGCTGGTGGAAGTATAAATTTAAATGGACCATCTGGTGGTAATGGTTCGTTCTGGTTTAGTAACCGAAGAAATTGTGCCCAAGAACGTCTGTCTACTCCCCAATATAAAAACTCTGTATCTCTTGGAGGGTTAATTTCAATCTTTTGAAATGAAACGGTGGAGTTCATCTTGTCATATTCTAGTTTCAGATAGTATGTTCCATTTAGTAAAGAGTCGTATTTTTCTTGAAATTCCCAGTAGTATTTGTTCATTTGAGTTTGAAAGTCATTTAGAGTTTTTTCAAGACTTCATAGTATATGTTTTGTCAAGACTTCTTCGTATATGTTTTGTCAAGACTTCTTCGTATATGTTTTGTCAAGACTTCTTCGTATATGTTTTGTCAAAACTTCTTCGTCAATGTTTTGTCAAGACTTCATCGTATATGTTTTCTCATGAACTTTCTTGTCTATGTTTTGTCAAGACTTCATCGTATATGTTTTGTCAAGACTTCTTCGTAAATGTTTTGTCAAGTTCTTCTTCATCTAATTTCTCATGAACTTTCTTGTCTATGTTTTGTCAAGACTTCATCGTCTATGTTTTGTCAAGACTTCATCGTCAATGTTTTGTCAAGACTTCTTCGTAAATGTTTTGTCAAGACTTCTTCGTCGATGTTTTGTCAAGACTTCTTCGTCAATGTTTTGTCAAGACTTCATCGTATATGTTTTCTCATGAACTTTCTTGTCTATGTTTTGTCAAGACTTCATCGTATATGTTTTGTCAAGACTTCTTCGTAAATGTTTTGTCAAGTTCTTCTTCATCTAATTTCTCATGAACTTTCTTGTCTATGTTTTGTCAAGACTTCATCGTCAATGTTTTGTCAAGACTTCATCGTCAATGTTTTGTCAAGTTCTTCTTCATCTAATTTCTCATGAACTTTCTTGTCTATGTTTTGTCAAGACTTCATCGTATATGTTTTGTCAAACTTCATCGTAAATGTTTTGTCAAGACTTCTTCGTAAAGACTTTGTCAAGACTTCTTCGTAAATGTTTTGTCAAGACTTCATCGTCAATGTTTTGTCATGACTTCTTCGTAAAGACTTTGTCAAGACTTCTTCGTAAAGACTTTGTCAAACTTCATCGTAAAGACTTTGTCAAAACTTCATCGTAAAGACTTTGTCAAAACTTCATCGTATATGCTTTGTCATGACTTCATCGTAAAGACTTTG